TGGTTGATGTGTTTTCCGTCGCCTCGTCGCCTTTCGGGGGAGGGGGCCGCACTGGGCACGGGGCGGGCCTGTAGGCGGCTTAAGTTTGGTCAATAGTGTGTCAAATTCTCCTGATTCATGTTCAATCTCCCCGTCTCAATCGCAAACTTGACCGTCGCTCGCACCGCCTGTAGGTTAGGTGTCCATTCTTCGCCATCTGACGCCGATTTGCCTCCTAGAAAGAAGGAAAGGTTCCCAATCATGTTTTGCCCAACTGGTTGCATGCCTTCGCGCTGTGCATCCCACTTCGTACACCTGAACAGGAATTGCTCGATCGTCTCTCCTCCTGTCCACAGTCGCACACGTCCGACTCCACTGCCCCTATCTTGTGCAGGTAACTGTTGACCCTCGCCATCCCCGTACGGAGCTGTGAGAGAGTATCTGATTCGGGTCTCTTGAGCATATCGTATAGCGCTTGTGTATGTTTACCTGGCAGCGCCTTATCGAATCGATTCGAGTAGCTCCCTACCTTGTCAGGCAGGGTCCTTTGTTGCCACAGCTGTGCTACCGCTATTCTCATCCGTGTAGAGCGAGCCTGGTACGGTGCTTTTGCTGGTGCGTCTTCCGCTTCCGTTGCCTTTCGAGCTTCCGCCTTCGCCTTGGGCCCCAAGGTGAAGTCCTTGTCTCCGGCGGGCATCCACCGCATCCTGACGCTGTTGCCTCCTTTTTTGAGTCGTTCGACGTGCTTGTAAATCTCGCGGATGGTGCATTGTCCCGATTGCTGCCGCGGTCGCGCGATGGCCTCCAGTGCTGATCGACTGCTCGACATCAAGATTAGCTCTCGGTGGCGCAGCCCGTCAGGCATGCATCTCAGCGCCATGGCTGTCGCCTCTAGTTCAGCCGTGTATAGGTTCTGCTCTACTCTCGACCCGAGAGTGACAGAGTACTTAGTTATAACACCATCTTGTCCACCACAGCCTGTGTCGCACACGACGCCTCCCATGCCCACTGTGCCGTTTCGATCCGAAAAGCTAGTTGCGATGAGGGCGCTCCGTGTCCCCTCAACTGCGTCAAGTGCGGTCTCTCGGTCAAGGTCGTATTCCACCGGTATATGCCATGGTGGCAACGCGTATGCTCGAATCGTTTCCATCTGGTCTATCGCGCCCTCATCTTGTGCAAGTGCGTGTCTCTTCATCGGCGAGATGTATCTTCGACTCTCTGTCACTTTGAGCCTTGACAGCGGGTGCGTCTTCGGCAGGGTTCGACATTGATCAGGAGCCTGATGCCGGCCTGAACGTGTCGCTCGCCGACCGTCTGGATATTTGACTCTGCTTCGGCCACTGCTGTTAACACCGCCCGGAAGGCGCCTGTGACCGCTTGTGCTCCAATCTTCTGCGCTCTATTTAATCAGCCCGTCTCCCTTACTCCACATACGTGGGACCACACGTTGGAGGCGCAGTCCATGGTTGGTGCCACCGTTGCTACGAAAAGTTGCCTTGATGTTCGTGGTGACAGCATCTCCAGCCTCCTCAGACACATGGCTGCCGAGAGGCCTCTGGCAGCTGCTCTGGCCATGTGCTCCTTGTATCGTAGTTTCGAGTCCATCACCACTCCGAGTATCTTGGCGCTTTGCTGAGGATGAACAGTCTTTCCCTTGATCACGAAGGTTGCGTCGCTGGTACGCTCGGGATTGCGTGTGAAGTGAATGATCGCCGTCTTTTCCCCTTCGAATGTCGCTCCACTCCGTCTTTCCCATTCTAGTGCTCTGCCGATGATGGCCTGGATGCCTGCTCTGTTCGTTTCTGCCGTTGGTCCAGTCACCCAGGCTGAGTAGTCGTCAACGAACGCGATCGAACCTCCCATCGAGTTGGTCCTGCTCTGCACGAGGTCCGCGTTGAACAACACCGGCGACAGAGGTGACCCTTGTGGGAGCCCAGCCTGTGGTAGTTCTCACCGCTCGGAAGTGTGACCGTTCACTACAATACTAGCCGCCCGGTTCGAACAGAAGGCGTCGATCCATTTCACTAGTCTTCTGGGGATGCCTCTTGCCGCCACAGTACGAAACGTTACCCATTACTGCACGTACTCCAATTGCCTGTGCTTCTTTGAGGTGACTGCTTTGCATCTTCGGGGTGCAGATGGGCGCGCGGTAGTCCATCACGGGAGCGACTATTACCATAGATAATTGTTAAGTCATCTCCAGTCTGACTCCCTTGAGCCTGCGGAGTGCTTGGCCGCTGGAGGTCATGATCACCGCGCTGAGGTGACTTCTGCGTCAAGTGACAAGGGTACATGGGCATGGCTACCGGCTGGCAAGAGCCTCGCTTGGCCGTACTCGGCATTGGTGCGGAGAAGAATTGTTTTCGTTGTCATTTCTCAACTGGGATCATGAAAGCAATCACACTTGTGATGGCTCTCTGACAAACAGAAAGATGCATCAAGTGTGAAAATGAGAATTGAGTTTGCAATACAGACTGAAAATCTCTCCCGTGCATATAGTGGGAGCGTGCTTGTGGCTGCGACGACGACAAGATGGTCATAAGCCACACGAGTTTCGTCATGGACCGAATGCCCGGTCGATCGCCGACGTTTCCTATTCCATAGCCGGTTTTGCAACCTGAGCCAGATCTTGCTTGCCCTACTTTGCATCATGCACTTATACAATAACCCTGCATGTAACAGCGAGATGGCACACAGGTCGGTGCACGGTTATTGACAGCATCCACGGTCGGTAAATGCTGCAGCTGAATGCCGAGCATCTAGCTAATTTACCTACTCTACTCCGTACAAAGGTAGCGGACAAGTCTGGATCCAATCGTGACACCCATACCCCACCAAAAGCACAGTATATACCTCCGTAGTGTTTATAACCATAACCTAACCCTACGTCAACCTTTATTAATCTCCCTGGGCAGACTGTGGACTAATATCATTATACTTGGGGGATATTACACTACCCGTTGGTATTGTGGGGCAAGCCGCCTACCAACCTCGTCCCGAGGTTGGTCCCAAAAATCCTTGTCAGGTCCTTTAATAGTTGTCACCTTTTTGGTGTAAAATTGTCACGGGCCAGGGCCCATATCCTTGCGGCTGTGCCGCAAGAAGTACTAGGCTCGTGCGCGCCAGGGATGAGAAATCGTTCCACAGCTCAGGGGCACTTAGGAACTTCTTTCTTTCTTCTTCATCTTTGATGTAAATAGCATCCTGGACTAGATAGCTGGAATCCAGCTACTAGAGGCTGTTCACATTAATTTCCTCCAATTTTTAATAAAAGGAAAAAAAAAGAGAAAATATTTCTAAGATTTATATAAGAATTTAAAAAGATAACTTATTCGTTTTAAAGCCCTCAATCTCTATAATCTAGGGTTATTTTTTTTTAAAGATTTTATATATCTAAAATGAAGGCAGAATAAACGGTCAAAAAGCGGCATTTTGCACCAAACAGGTGACAACTATTAAAGGACCTGACAAGGGTTTTTATGGGACCAACCTCGTCCTGAGGTTGGTCGGCGGCTTGCCCCACAATACCAACGGGTACTAACCTTAATACCGTCTGATTTGACTAGTTTTGTACCGAGAAGCTAATGCAACCAGGGGTCACTACTGGAACCAGACTTTTGGCTGCTGCCTTCGTAGTTACCTCTGATCTACATTTTCGTTCAGTTCTCGACCTCGCTCCCTCCATCTCGACGTGTGTCTTGTACCCTGTAAGGAAAAGCTGCTGACGGCATTCTCCGCTGCACTAAAACAGCCATGCCATGCAAATACCCGTTTGTGCTAGAATTGAGCGAGCCGAGCAGGGGGCCTTGTCAACCCCATGTCCGTTTCATTCTAGTTTGCTCATATTACGGGTGAGGGGCAAGGACAAATGCTCGTCCCAAAACGCTAGCGCAGCTTAGAAGACGAGCCGTCGTGCGGGCGATATCTGTTTATGATTCAAGAGCCCAGGAAAACTTTGAACCTGGTGTATATGTGTGTGTCTGTTGCCCCACACCATCTTCCAACACCACACACGCGTTCCCTCTCTCAGCGCGGCCCAACACCCCTGCCTCTCCCTCCCCGGCAAATGCCGCTGGCGTGCCACACCTTGCAATGCAGACAGAGACACCGACAATGGTGGCACCAGCAGGGGTCGTCTATTTTGTTCAGGCTTGACTTCAGTCGGTCAGCATCATGGCTCTGTTTGCGGCGATCACGAACGAATACACCGACGCAGGTTAACAACCACGAGGGGATGCGGGGCATTTTGACTTAGACAAGTCTTGACTTGTGGGCAGGAGCTCTTTGGCGCGCAGGTGTTCTTTGGGCGGGCGAGTCTCTCAGATACCTGAGAATAAGGTCCCGAAACCGGGAGGTAAGGGAACCGAAATACACCAGTACACGCTCTGTACTTCACTCTGGGACGGTCCGTCCCTCCCGCTTAACCCCTCAAAACCATGTTCCAGCAACAAACGACTACATCAGCGGATTATCCAATCGCAACCCAAATCTTGCACTAAAAGCGATTGAATACGCACACATGATTGGTTAGTCTGGAGGATGCTCTTGAGGTGACGAGCGAGCACCCGCCCGACACCAAATCACCCAGTCGCCTTTCCACCACGAGTTTCTAGTCCTCCAGGCTCGTTGGTACCAGAGATACCAACACCCAGCCGCGTATCAACGGCCATCATTGCATGAACCATCATCCTGAACCAAAGATCGTCGCCGTCGTCAGACCACGAGGACCACCGATACTACCATCCGCCCAGCGCCTGTCCAGTGCTACCTAGCTTTTGCCAGCAGTCATGGCGCCATCAATTTGGTCGTGTTTCGTCTCTCCAATTGATTGCTTAACCGCATGCTTGAGCCCATTGTCTCTGCCTCCCTGACCTCTCCCATTTCCCACCTGGAACAATACCAATCCAGATTCCAAAAAAAAAAAAAAAAAAAAAAAACCGGTCTGCCTCGCTTTGAATACCGTCCCTTCAAAGACCTTACACATATTGTTCCCTCCCTTTTTTCTTTGCCATCTAGTAATCTCATCCATCACCTTCCCTCTTCCACCAACTTCAACCATCACCGACCCATCGTTCAATTATCTTCACCACGAACCGCAACGATGCCCACTAACACCACGCCCTCCCACACAAAGGCCCGCACATCGGTGCGCTTCAGCACCTACAGTGTCGCCGCTCCCTCCTTTGCTCTCACAGTCGAGACGAACGGCTCCGCCACCAATGAGATCCGCGACATCGCCTCCGACATCGACCGCATGGAGAACAAGGCCCTCTCCTCCCAGCGCGTCGTCCTCAGTGAGGAGAAGACAGACAACATGCAGAAGCTCGCCCTCTGCGCCAAGCTCGACCGTGCTCTCGACCGCCGCATGAGCAGCCAGGATGCCGTCATGCGCCCGCGCACCAAGAACACAGCCGCTAACGATAAGCTCGACGAGAAGGCGCAATGGAGCGGCCGCCTCGCTGACGAAGCTGTACCGGAGCCCCAACCAGAGTCGACACTGCAACACCAGAACGAGGGTCTGTGACTGGGCGTCGGTATGATGGGGGCAATGAGGCTATGGCCTCTGACATCCAGCGGCTTGAGCGTTTCTGCTGTTTTGCTTGGATGCGGCTGGGATGAGAGATGCACGGCGAGACATGAGTGAAGGACGCTCGTCAAATGTTCGATCAAAGTCTCCTGAGGGTCAATTAGCCCAGCCACAAGCAGTGGATTATGGGTTATGTCACCCAAATGGAAAACAGCACCGTAGGGGTCACAACTGCGGGCGTAAATAGAACCTTCTGTCTATTAAGAAGGGAAGGAACCGTCAGTTACTTCGATGATGCCGATGCCAGATGCCGGAAGGCTGTAGGAGCGTCACTTGTCTAAATTGAAACGGGGTCTAGGCATGTCTTCCTACTGTACAACGCTACCTCGTTTCCTCTCGCTTTTTCATTTCCTATCGCCCCCCCAATCCACACGCTTGCAGGGTTTTATCTCGCCAAAACAACATTTCTGTCTGTACACCCGGGTTTTGCCTCGCTAAAACAACATTTCTATCCATGCGCATCTTAAATAAAAGCAAGCCTACTAAACAACCGCTGCCACTACTATTACTATTACCATCCTACCATCTATTATATCATACTATTCTCCTCCTCTTCTTTCCCTTCCTTCCCCCCCTCTCTCTTTTATACTACAGTTTCATAATAAACATTAATATTACTGCTTATAACTAACTTATTCCTTGTTTTTTTTGTTCCTTCTGCCTGCAATCGTACACCTTCAACTAATCTCAAGCTTAGGTTAGAAATATCAAAACACCTATTATTGATAACATCATGGTTCAAGTCGTCCAGCGGAATATACTGCGGGATTTTGATTCATTGTTCACTCAAGATTGGATGGATGATGACGCCCTGTTCAAAGACGTCAGTATGGACCCTGACGCAAGTCCGAAGGCTGAAAGGCAATCGAGACTCAATGATGAAATTAATGTGTTATCTTCGGCCCTTGAAGATATCAGACCGTTACTAGAGAAATTATTACATTAAGGCTGTGGTATCATCTGGCCGTCCATGGTCATAAATTAGGTTGGTCAATTACCATAGAGGCAGCATTGCGTTAGAACGGCGAGTGGCGCAACTGTAGGTACATCATCTTTCCCTAAAGGGTTCAGGGTTCAATTTCAGCTTAAATTACCTGCAAAAGTGAAAATTTGAAGATGCCAAACGATAAATTTACTTACTCGCTCACCCATGCCTCAACTTAACATAAAATGACCACCATTTCCTTTCCATCAGCTCATTCCTTATTACCAGGTTCTCCCTTACCTTCCTCTTGTAGAATGTCCCAAAGAATAGTTTCTAGTGCCTCTGCTGTCTCAATAAACACCTTGCTAGCCTGTTCAAGATCCAAACTCATATTCTGCCCATAAGCAGTAAGGATACATTGACTGAGGGACTCAATACCACCCAAAATCGTTGTCCTTAGGCGTGCGCTCCCAAGCCAGCTGCCAGAATACTGGGAGGTCTGGCTGAGCGATTGCGTATTCAGCATCAACCAAGTGAGGGCGTTCTCGTTTTCTTCATCGTATCGTGGCGACCAACCGGCATCCACCAGCTCACTTAACTTGTCCAACATGAGACTTTCGTCGTTGCAGTGCTCACTCAGTCGACTATTCATTAGGCTATTATAAAGCCTACTAAGTATACCAGAACGAGTATCCCCTGGCTCGGAGGCAATATTGCAGATGGTTGTGAGGATGGTTTGTATCTTGTCGGAATAGGAAAGACTATAGTCGAGTATATACTTCCTGCTCCGCGTTAGTACATTTATGCACTGGAGAACTCTAGTCAGGACAACTGACCGGTAATCTATAGCATTTGTTATATATTAGCTGCGTGGTACACATATCTAGGGGGCTTGTAGAATTGACTTGCCTCGTCGTTCGCGAAATGTTTCTTCACAATGGACCCTAAACTCTCTCATCCAGGTTTCCTCCTCCCAATCGTGCCTAAGCAGCGCACACGTGTGTGCGATCTCGAGCATAAGAAGCTGTCTCAAACAGCTACCATGCACCACCACCCTTTCGTCAACCCCACCCTTTCGTCAACCCCACCCTTTCGCCAGGCAAAAAAAAAAACCACTACCAAAACTCAACTATTTCACTTACACACAACTTGGCCAAAATAAAAGTTATTTGCAAGTAGTTGCATCTATCAATTATAGAATTGATTTAAATTTCCTTTTCCGGTCTCGTATAGTTGAGTGGGCCACGCGATATATGCGGGCCGTTGCAAGGAAATATCACTAATTCAATCACCAATTTCCTCACCGCTCTTTCCCAACATTTCTCCCGCCAGTCTCTCACAACGCGGTCAAAATGCCTTCATCGCGGCCTCGTTGGAAATATACAGAAGACGACATGGCCGAGGCTATACTAGATGTTACCGATAATGGCTTGTCACCCCCTCAGGCGGCTCAGCGACGGGGACTGCCTCGAACCACTCTAATCGACAGACTTAACGGCCAGACAGCCATAAAAGAGCAAATTCAGCCTAGTCAATGGCTATCCAAGACTCAGGAAGACAAATTGGCTTTCTGGATTCTTCGTCAGGAGTCTCTGGGATATGCTCCGTCCCACAATCAGATTCGCGCTTGCGTCATAGGCTTGCTAAGACAACAAGGCGACCAACGGGAATTAGGACGCAACTGGGTAGCCAGATTCATTGAGCGCCGCCCAGACCTTAAGACTAAGATCGGTAGACGTCAAGAAGCCAATAGGTTTGACTCCTTTACGCCTAAAGCGGTTCATTGGTACTTCGATATCAGGGAGGGCCAGTACGGCTGGATTCGGCCTGAGAACACTGTTAACGTTGACGAAGGGGGTATCATGATTGGTTTTGGCAAGCCTCCATGTCTATTTTCTCCATAGTTTTGAAATTTGACTAACTAGACTCTCTTTCTTAGGCTTGGATAGCCTGGTGGTCGGAAGCGCGGACCCAAAGCGAAAGGCTCTTCTCAAGGGACCACAAACTCGAAATTGGACCTCGTTCATCGAAGCTATCACTGCTGACGGCCGCGCCTTGACTCCTGGCATAATCTTCAAGGGGAAAGAACTACAAAAACAGTGGTTTCTTGATGAATTCAAGAAGATAGCCGGCTGGCATTACATAACTTCACCTAACGGGTGGACTGACGACCACATTGGCGTTGAATGGCTTGAAAGAGTCTATCTGCCCCAGACTATGCCTGCCGACGACTCTGACGCGAGACTGATCATTTTAGATGGTCATGGGAGTTATGCCACAGTATGTTCTTCGTTTTCTTCAGCTCAAGATCACTACTGAGCGACGGAAGGATGAATGGATGGCCACGTGCTTTTTGAACGTTTATTGTTGCTATCTGCCAGCACACTGCTCTCATGGGCTCCAGCCGTTGGACAATGGAGTATTCAATGCCTCCAAAGCCGCATATCGACGAGAGTTGGAAAAGTTCGCTTCATTGACTGATTCTGCTCCGATGGATAAGGTCAATTTCTGTAACGGTCTCAAGGTAGTATATTGCAACTAGCTAGGCCACTCTACAGAGTATACCAAACTTAAGGAAAGAAGAAGAAGAAGAGAAAGAGAGTAGGGGAGGTCCATCCATAAATATACTCATCATGATGGCTTAAAGGTAAAAAGTGGGCCACGAAAGGCCGAGGGTTTCCGAGGCCACCTACGGGCACAGCCCGTTACAATTTCATCAGAGCCTACGCCAAGGCTCGTGAAGCGGGAATGACGAAGAAGAATATACTCTCCAGCTGGAGAGTTACTGGCAATTGGCCGATTTCACGTGCCAAAGCTCTGCGGCACCCAGAAATCCAAGGGGATAAGCCGAATGACAGCCCAAGGAGGACTCCAGAGCGGGCGCCGTATTTTGGCTCGGACGATACACCAAAAACCAGCCGCCAAATTCGCGATCTTGGGCTAAACAAAACACCAAAGACACGGAGACGATACAACGTGATAGCCAAAGGCTTTGAGACTCAACAACAGACGTTAATGGCGCATAGCGTAAAGATTGCTAGTCTGGAGGAGGAACTGGCCCGTCTGAAGAGAGGGAAGAAGAGGAAGGCAGTTCCGAATCCCAATAAACGGTTCATGACTCTTAGCGAGGCTCTAGCCTCTGGAGAAGCGATTACCAAAAAAGGAAGCGAAAGGAAGCCTGTTGTGGCGAATTATAGCTCTTCGGGGGAGTCAGGGTCAGAATCGGAGGCTGCTTCGGTAATTGAAGTCGGAGAAGAAATCGTACCACCTCAGCGCACCACCCGGTCGGGGAGGCTGATAAAAAGGCCTAAAAATCAATAGATACATCAATTGTAGGTTTACACCAAGCAACCATTTGCAAATAGCTTTTATTCTGGTCAAGCTGCGTGTAAATGAAAGTGTTGAGTTTTGGTGGGGGAGTTTTTTTTTTGCCTGACGAAAGGGTGGGGTTGTCGAAAGGGTGGTGGCGTATGGTAGGCCTCAGCTGCAAAAAGATAGGTTCCATCGTTATGAAGAGCGAATGGCACTATCACAGCCCAGATGGGCCGACTCTGCACTCGATCACTCGTTCTTAAACCACTTCGGCCAACGAAACCTGTCTCGCCTTCTCGAGACACCTCTAGAAACTCAAAGCTTGCACCTTGGGGAACTGGAAGGAATACTCTACCTTTGATTGATGCGTCCAGTCCCACATGCTGATTTGGTATCTCCTAAACTGGATCTCGAAGACAACCCCAGTCACGGACTGTCCTTGCAACGCCTTCACGGATTGTCCTACGGGCTTGTATACATTAATATCGGCACAACATATGTCTAATAAACTTGGCTACGGCAGGCCTGTATGCTCAAAGCTTCTGTTTCATGCGTAGTCTACCTCGCCCTTCATTGCTCCCCGTGTTGGGTAATAAGGCAAAGCAGTTGGCGGATCGGGAGCCCATCATGCCTTCTGGGGGTATTCTGGGAGGAGGATCATCTATCAATTTTTATGATGTACACTCAAGGTCACCTCGTGCTGAACAATGCCCAAAATGGGGCCCGGGCCCCTGTGCTAATGAAGAAGGGCATCCTCAGCAGTGAGAGGTCATCGTATATGAAAGCCACCACCACCAGCAGCCCATACATAGCTATGGGTAACTGTACACAATTGGCATTCTTGATCCCGAAACCCGAGTTTTCAATCAGGGATAAGTTCGTAGAGAATTAAGAATCTGTTTTCAGGCTTGATTGTGTTCTTGGGAACAGGGGGGTGCATCTGATAGGTATGTGCGTGTTGTTCCTGGGGACAGGCGGAATTCTCTTTCTTACTACAATTAGCAAGCAGGCATGCTTACATGGTATGCGGAGCAAGCGGGGCTGCGCACGCAATGTGCCTCGCAAAATACAAAAAGGCACCACTTCCTCCAGTTCTTGCGATCGGGCTTCGGGAGGAGATCCAGCTTCATGAGGGCTTCGATTTGGTAAAATAACAGTTATGCCATATAAGGTAGTCACTACGAGCTGCCCCTTTCTTCCTTATATGTTTCGCTGTGTCCTCATGGGTATCGATCTATCGTCGCCGACGCGCGCAAATGGCCCATTGTGAGCCCTCTCTAACTGATGACAGCTCGGGCGCCTTTCTTACCCAACACACCCCTCTTCTTGGGTTTCGGGCTGTTGTCCCACCCTTTCTTGCTCTTCAGGAATCCAAACATGCCGCCTGAGCCCTGATTCTCGCCCTCAGCGGCATTATTGGCATCCGTCGGTAGGGTCGCATCCTGGCATACAAACTCTGACCAGCTACCACCTCCAATGAGCGTCACCTGAACCCCCCCAATGGGACTTGTGACTCGTTGGCCCGCGATAATGGGGTGGTGGCGGTTTGGGAAGTCGTTCTGGTACCGGGGGGGAGGGGCCGGCATGGGGGTAGTCTCATCAGTCGTGATGGCCTGAAGAGCGTTGTCCGGGTCGGGTTGCGCCTCATCATCAAGGCCTTGGGCGGCTTCAGTGATCCTGTTGGGGTTAGCACACGGGCTACAGGTCAAAAGGATGAGCCACCTCACTTCTTGTATGCAGCCACATTGTAGTCAAACGGCCGAAAGTCGGTCTCAATCATCCGATATAGCTCATCCTCGCGGATCTCCTTATTGGTCGCATCCTCTTTTAACCGCTCTCTCGGCTTCTGGCGTCTTGCTCGGGCCTCGAGCGGCGCTTCCTCGAAGAGTAGTTCTTCCACATCGTAGGTGCCGTCGAAGTTGGTCTTGTGGGAGCAGGGAACAAAGATGGGCTCGATCCGCTTCTGCTCGAGGAGCTCAAAGTCGAAGACCTTGAAGAATTCGTGATTGGCGAAGCTGTCCCATGTCGATCCCATGCGAGTGTTTCGGTTGGGGTCGAGGGCGGAGCCGATCGCATAGAGGCAGGCGAGCGACACGGGGGGGTGAGTGATGGGGTACTTGGGGTTGGCGGCTTGGATTTGCGAGCTGAGGGAGCCTTTGGAGTCACCGCCAAAGGGTCTCTGTCATCGAATCAGTTCTGATTATCTAGCACACGGAGGGGGTCGAGAGCAATGTCGTCTGCTCAGAGAGAAGCGTGCAGCCACTGAGGCGTACCTTGTTGTAGATGCACTCATAGAATAGGACACCCAGTGACCACCAATCTGCGCGGACATCGTATCCCTTTCCAGCATATACTTCGGGGGCAAGATAGGCCAGAGTACCGGACTTGCTGGTCAGAGTCCTGCCAGCGACGACGTCCGAGGCAACATTCTAGCTCAAGGTTAGCAAATGCACACCTCCGGGGCATAGACGGCAGGAGCGTACAAAATCGGTCAAGTGGACGTGGCCGTCGGCGTCGAGAAGGACGTTGTCGGGCTTGATATCTCTGTGAATGATGTTCTGGCTGTGGATATACCTCAGGGCGCACCCCAGCTCGGCGATCCAGAACCTGACCGCCTCCTCGGTGAAGGTCTTTCTGGAGATGTGGAATCGCAAATCACCGCCGGTCATCAAGTCGACCACAAGGTAGCTATCGCTGCGGGTAAGCCACCAGCATAGCACGCCTCGGCATGGGGTTGGCGGGGTCGTACATGTACTCGATATCCTGGAAGCTGTATCTCAAGTTGCAAATGAAGGGGTGGTTGAGGTATTCGAGCATTCGCCGCTCGCGGATGATGTTTCGTACGCTCTTGGACCGTACGACTGCAGTCATGGCATGGTGGTCAGCGTCGGAGCAAACACATTGCGCAGCTAAGGAGACGTGGCTTTGAGGCGGAGGGACGGGATGTCGTCGAGACGGGAACCGTGGGACAGGAGTCGAGGGGACGGGTGGGACGGAGAAAAGAGCGAGTCGGTTGTGTACCTTCATCCTTGCGGACGTACTTGAGAGCAAAGTACAGGTTGGTGTCCGTGCGATTGACGATGCGCACCTTTCCAAAAGGCGCCTCGGCCGACGACTCTCAACAAGCGAAAGTGGTTGAGGCTGACTGCGGCGGTGGGGGTCAGCGTGGGTTCGTGAGCGAGGTCGGTCTGATCTGGCGGTCTCACTGCTACGATGGCACAATCTCAATTGCCCCGGGCCGGGTGGGGGGCGCACGAGGACGGGAAGGACGCCGCACCATGCAAGACACAGTGGGAGAGACAAGAGGGCGTGGGGACTCGCGGACAAGGGCGCAGGGGATTTCACGTACCTTCGCCATTGAGGTCGACGGGCTTTCCTTGGCCGTTGCCCATGATGATGGTCTCGATGCGGACGGCGGCGTAGAATTATCGTGATCGGTAGGCCCCTGTGATAGTGGAATAAAGGATTGTGGGAAATGCTTAGGAGCAAGATCCTTAGGTGTAGACTCTGAGAATTCATCAAGGCCGTCGACATCGAGAGCCTCATATAGTCGACCCTGGTTGGTCGTTGCCAAAGCTTGATCCACTTTTTGACTCGGCTAGCAGATATTAGAAGTAAGTAACGTGCATGATAAGCATGTGCACCAAACAAGCATGTGCACCAAAAATCCCTCAATCTCTACTCTTTCCATCTAATCAATTGTTTCTCAACTACAAAATATGTCACAGTCAAATAAAGAGGCAAATATTCTTCTTGCCCTTCAAGCTCTTCAAAATGACCCCACATTGGGCCTCCGGCGCGCCGCAGGGTTATACCAGGTCGATTACTATGCCCTACGCCGGCGACAGAATGGCATTCCTTCTCGAGGCGATTGGATCCCTAAATCACGAAAACTATCTGATCTAGAGGAACGAATCATTATTCAGTTCATTCTCGACCTAGATTCGCGAGGATTTCCCCCACGACTGCGTGGTGTAGAAGAAATGGCTAATCGACTACTCGCTGACCGCGACGCGTCACCCGTTGGCAAGCGCTGGGCTTCCAACTTCGTCAAGCGACACCCAGACCTCAAGACGCGATTTTTTCGTAAATACGACTATCAGAGGGCCAAATGCGAAGATCCGACTATTATTCGCAATTGGTTTTCGCTCGTGGCGAACACAATCGCGAAATATGGTATTACCCTTGCTGATATCTACAACTTTGATGAGACTGGCTTTATGATGGGTATGATCGCAAGCGGAATGGTCGTTACAGGCGTAGAAAGGCGTGGAAGGCCGAAATCAGTGCAGCCTGGAAACCGGGAATGGGTTACAGTTATCCAGGCTATCAATGCGGAAGGCTGGGCGATCCAGCCGTTCATCGTGGTTGCGGGCCAATATCACCTTGCCAGCTGGTACCAAGAAAGCAACCTCCCGGGCGATTGGGCCATCTCCACGACCAAAAATGGCTGGACTGACAACGAGACGGGTCTTGAGTGGATTAAGCACTTTAATCTGCACACAAAGACCCGATCAAATGGTCGCCATCGCCTTCTGATCCTCGATGGGCATGAAAGCCACCACTCGACCGACTTCGAGACATATTGTGAGGAAAACAACATCGTCACGCTTTGTATGCCACCTCATTCGTCTCATCTACTCCAGCCTCTTGACGTCGGGTGCTTTGGGCCGCTCAAAAAGGCCTACGGTCGGGAAATAGAGCATTTGATCAGATGCTCAATAACCCACGTTTCAAAGACCGAGTTCTTTCCGGCCTTTTACGCTGCCCACCAAGCCGCTATGACAGAAAACAATATCAAGGAAGGTTTTAGAGGGGCCGGGCTTGTTCCTTTAGACCCGGAAAGTGTTATATCAAAGCTTGATGTGCAGCTACGGACTCCGACACCTGTTGAGGACGATGCGAGCCTCCCCGACCCTTGGGTCTCAAAGTGTTACAGGCTGGAGCCTGGGGACATAGCTGCGGCTGTGCCGAAGCCAGAGTCAGACCAAAACTCAGCTGCCGGGATCTACCGAGAGGGCACGGGAAGTCCCCTGGGCAACCGGCAGAATAATCTCCGAGAATACGGGAAGTCACCGGGCAACCAGCAGAAGACTTCCCGAAGATTTCCCAAAGATTTCCCGAAGACTTCCCAAGGACTTCCTGAGGATTACTATAAAAACTATATGGAGACTCCTACCGAGGGAAATCCTTTCTTGCTCTTTAGATTTAGATAGACAATTCACAGCACTCTTTGCACGGAAGATCCTTAAAGGGCCAGCCCTTAACACAAAGACCCCAAAGACCGTCCTTGAGGCTAGCTCTCAGTCTGAATTCCTCAAAAGACGAGTTGAAAGGCACCAAAGCAGCTCCCCGACATCTATTTTTGAAGCGATTGAGTCGCTTTCTAAGGGAATGAGGGCAATAATGCATCAGATGGCTTTAATGAAGTCTGAAATCCAGATCCTTCGACAGGCGAATGAGACCCTTAATAAGCGGCGCAGAGCAAAAAAGACACGCCTCCGTAATGGAGGAAAGATGACTCTAGATGAAGGGAGGGATTCAATTGAACAGAAGGATGTTGATGCGCAGGTAGTGGCCGAATCGTCGAGAAATCGTGGTCAAGGAGGGTCGGCGCGACTGAAGGAAAGGCATTGTGGAACATGCGGCAAGACCGGGCATAACGCAAGAACATGTCAGATAGTTGTTGCAATATCTGGGGAAGAGCATAGTGGTTGATTTTAATTGATTAGATGCTTTGTTGTGTTTTTTTGCTATGTTTTATCTTCATGGTTAAGTGAAAGTGGTGCACATGCTTGTTTGGTGCATATGCTTATCATGCACGTTACTTCAACTTCAAGTTTCTGCTGTTAAGATACGAATCGTATAATTGGCGCTACTGTTTAAGCTCCAGACGCCGGTGCGAAAACTCCTTCACAGCAATTGGATAAGGATTCGCGTATCACTCTCTCGACCACGGAAGTTCCCGTGTGGGAATCGCTATAAGGGATCGACGTAGGGGTTGCAGAATCAAGATCCAGCCCCGCGCTCGGTCCTGCGGTCGTGGCGGTCGTGGCCGACTCTCCAATCCCACCGGTCCCAGCCAGTGCGGTACAGGGGTGAGGTCGAGGAGTTGGCCGTCGCATGACAGTTAGGCACTCGGCTCGAGAGGCTCACTCTCGCGCAGCGTGGCCGCCGACTCGAGTTCCAGGAGAGACAGCTGGTCCGCTGCTCCATCCTCCCTTTTTCAAGAAACCATCCTGCTCAAGTCCGGCGTCTTTTGACAGTTTATTAGGCATGCTTGACGGCAAGCCACGTGGAAAAGGGCGTCCACAGGTGGAGTAATCTGCGACTGAGTTCGGATTAATGTGGGGTTCCAAGGACGCATCGTTCACAAGCTCTTTGGCTTGTGTCTCGCGACTGGTAGCCTACCGCCTATCGCCATAAGGATTCTCGAAGGGAAATTGGGTGTTGTAAGGCCCGCTACTCCTTGGGCCGAATCTGGGGAATGGAGTAGGGGAGCTTCTCCAACAGCCAACAGCGCACTTTGCATGACATTTCCTCACCGTGCGTCTCGTCACCAAGAAATCGGTATGAGTTACGGATACGTACCGCGCGACATGGATGGTTTGAGCAGGGGAGCAGAACGGAAGTTGCCATTCATTAACAGGGCAAAAAATCATGCGGCAGTCGGGCATCCGGTATAGCGGCCCTCACACTAAATTAGGCCTTGTGCCCTTCCACTCTGAAATGATTGCGGGCTGGAAATCCCCACTCTGGACCGCATACATAAGCACGGATCCTAGGATCCATGAGAGTATCCTCTTGGTCCTACCCCCTGAGATTTGCATCCCCCACCTGTTCCATCACACTATCGTACTGCCGCGCAAGGTCATCGGCACTTGACTTCATTGCTGTTGCCCATGAGTCTTCAGTTTGGATTCTCTTTCTTAGAGGGCCACGATCGAATCGCTGGCACGCAGGGAATGACGTTTTTTGCTACGTAATGTTGCCCGAGACCTAACTGGCCAAAGCAGACTGAGAACGAGCATTACACTCGCTGAGAAAAAGGTGCGTGAATTCACCCCAGGATCTTATCGCAAGGACTCTGCCCCTTCCCTACTACGGCAAATTCCGTTCGACTCTATGTAGGAGCCATGTCAGTATGAAGCCGTGGACCTTTGATTTGATGACAGGTTCTTCCTGCAGCCGAGTCTTAGCATCGAGCTCCCTGGCACCAAATTCCACTGCACTAAAACAGCCATGCATATACCCGTTTGTGCTAGAATTGAGTGAGCAGGGGGCCTTGCCAGCCCTATGTCCGTTTCATTCTAGTTTGCTCATACAGCGGGCCAGGAGTCCACAGGAGGCATCAGCAGCGACCCCGAGCAGGACGTTGAGATGGTACTCTGATATGATGGCGGAGCCTATCAACGTAACTGGGTCTCTGAATCAGTCTCCCGCCCCAGTTGCTTGGCCCAGCGGGTAATGCTAGCCAAGGTCCAATAAGACTGAGGGGCTGACATGAACCCTGCACCACCCAGCATGGCCCCGCTCGCCCGCACTGGCCACGACACAACTAGCAATGTAGTCTGTGGCCAGCCGTACTGAAGAATTTTGTGATGTGTCGTGAGAGATGCGGAATAAACCTCGCTTGTCACTCGACGCTTCCCAGCGACCTCAACCGCACCGGAAGCGGCGAACAGGTATCCCGACCACCTGCCGTGGAGAATGAGATGAGCTGCTCTCGCCGGCAACGGTCCATGCTCTTGAGTCAGTTCGACGATCCGGTCGTCCAGCGAGAGGGTCTTCGAGGCCCGGACTTTTTCATGCCAGTACGAGTTGACGGGACTGCCAAGCCCCACCCACTGCTGACAAATCAACCACATGTCAACGGCAGATGGCCTCTCCATCAAGGAAAATTACCGGGATGTTTCGTTAGTGACATGGTCTGGGGAGGTTTTTGCTACTGCGGGGTTTCCAGACACCCTGTTCAAGATTCTAACGGAATACTGCGTAGTAGACAATCTCGTGGCCAGGGTGGTTGCATTACATTTCTGAGTACAAGCGGCTACGGATACTGGGCCAATGATATTCCGGGAATATCACACACTCTCAAGATTAGTCAGGGGCACGTGGTACTGTACATGGACGGCAAGCGAAGGAAGGCTAATTTGTGGATACTCGACATATGGGACCCTCCTGTTTTCGTTCATACACACTAATTGAGCAGGAATTAGGAGTGCAAATAGGTCTAACACGGGATATTGCGACTTCGAACTTGTTGTAAGGCTAATGGTACCAGGAACTAGGAGTCTTTTGAGACTCCAACCAGATGACATGTAGGCCGATAGTTATAATACACGACTTACTCTATCTCCTCAGTGCTCCTAAGACTGCACCCCCGTACCAGTGAAGGGGCCGGTCCAATTAAAATGCGCAAAAGAAGAGGTACATTAGCTCTCACCTATTTTTCTATGATAATAAATGTACCAACACTTCTTGTTACATAATGCGACTTTGCATACGGAGTACCGCACACCAATATCTCGTCTGAACCCTCACTTTATTCCCTGCATCATCAAGCTTCCCCAAGGGCCTCCTTTTCTGAGCTCTGTGTGGGGGGGGGCTGGCGCTCGAGCCCTACTAGCCGGGGGTGTCATGGACCCCAGCCACAAATGGGTGCTTGATAAACCTCCCCATCATTATTGGTCCTGTTGCTGCCCAGACTCATGTCGCGGGGGTTTGTCCCGAATGGAATTGCCTTCATATCCGCGCGACCAACGCACATCCAGATTTTAGCCTAGATGTTATGAACGCGGTATGTACAGAGAAACTTTATCGGTAGGGCTAACTGTTGGGCTGTTCAACGCTCCAGACCGACACAGCACCTTTTCTGTATCTTGCCCCGACTTAATAGGCAGTACAGTAGGGGAGGGGGAGGCGGGGAGGAAAGCCCCTAGTCGCTAGTCGCTGCAGTGTAACAGATCCGCGGCCAGGATATCTTGCATGGTTGGGAAAGGGTTGCTTTGTTGGCGGGTCCGCATCCCCCTCAGCGAGATTGATGACGGGGCGGAGGGAGGGTAGGCAGGGAGCGGCGTGGATTTGGCGGCGCTTGTTCCTTCTTGGCTGGCCGTGCATGCGTCTGACCTTGTCAAATCCGACTCAGAATGCATGATGGCGCTGGAGGCAACCTGTCTCCATAGGGATAGCTTCAGAATAATGAGGCTCGCTGTGGCAGTAAACCTGGTGCGAGAAATAAAACCTACACCAAAGGGGTATTAGTTGCGTATCAGACATGTTAGATTGCATCACTACTGCGTTCTTGGATGTACTGGATAGTACAGGACGACGAGAAGGGCCAAGTCAACACTTGTCCCTTAGCCAACCCATCTTGAGATACTATGTGATATGGTTCTAGGACTTGACCGGTCTTGATAGACAGTTCATAAGCGACCAAGCCATGAAACAATTGAAAGCCAGGGAAGCCTTGATTGAGCATCAAAACTATCCAGCCACCGGTCAAGAACCGCTCATCCGCTCGCAATAGGCAGACAGAATCGGGAAAGGGAGGATTGACTGATACAGGTACAGTACCTGGGCGTCAGCAGGGCCATCGCTGTTCCCTGCAGAGGCAAGCATATCGGTCAGCCCTGTAGTGTCTTGCACTTACCCCGCGCTGCACAACGCCGTTCGACCGCTAACCTAAACAGTTCAAGTCTGAAGATTGACAAAATGGGTCAGGGACTGACCTGCGGAGCAGTTTGTGGTCTGATGGACATCTATCTTTTTCGCAGGGACAAGGCCTGGCCAATAGACTCACATGACGGCGAGGACCACGAGCAGGCAAATGGCTACTAAGAGATGTCAGAGTGGAGCAAAATATGCGCGGGACGACGGCTGCACTGGATGGTCTCGATGCCGATGCAGTTGGAACCTGGAGCGCTGCGGCCACCATACGGTGATACGGTGATGGGCCTTAATTTTCGTTAGCTTTGAGGCCGATGGTTTCCTGGCCAGGCTTGGCTCAGAAACCGTTGGACCGTGCCGTCATGTATCGGACTTGAGTGGGAATGCTGTGGCTTGACCTGCCGACCGTCTTGGGGCGAATTGAGTTCATTGGGAAGCCATCCCGTATTGGAGATGGCATGATCGATGAACTAGTGACCCTCCCTCTCAGAGCCGTCTGTGTGGCGCCCTCAGCGACGGCATTAGGGCGGCCGGTAACCATCATCGTATGATTCGCGGCACTTTTCAATGGTAGCATCGTTAGGATGCCCATGTGCAGCCGTTCAGGGCCATGTCAAGCGCTTTGTTGCAGGGTTCAAACCTGCTCCCACGTGCAGTGTCATCCCTTCGCTCTGTCAACACACCTACCTACACGACCACGACCGGACGCTACGCTTGGAGCCACTATTCCAGGTTCTCTCCCCTTCATCTTTGACGTACTAAGGTAGGTAGTGCCCGCCCCGTCTCCATCCCGCCCATCCCATGTCCACCGCGCCCACCAAGGCCACTACGCCCACCACGCCAAATACCACGCCCACTACCAAGGCCACCATGCCCCTGTCCCATCATCCACCATGTCCACCATGGCTCATTGGCCTTTTTTCTCCCTCTCTCGCTCGCTCACTTCCTCCTACCCAAGTCAAGCTACGACGTCTCTGCTCCAGTTGCCGAATGAGCCCCACTGACACCCGCCATATCAGGGCCCCCTGGCCTTTTGTCTTTACCTGCTGCGTGGCTCCTCCTCTGGCTCCAGCTTCTCGCCCTCCTCCTGTCACGGCCACCTGCGCTCACACCTATAACTAACAACCAAGTGCATCATCGTGACCGTTAGCCGCGTGCTCCCTGGCCCCCCCGTCCATTTTTCTATCGCCCGGCCCTGGTCCTGGCTGATATCGCAACGTTCCCCCAGCCCTTACCCTCTTGATCCCTGTCGAGCCTGATCAAGGCCCAGAACCCACTCACCTCATCGATATCTCCCACTGCTTCCCCAACTCAACTCTCTCGACTCAACCTGGTTCGACCCCAATCGACATGATTGGCCCTCCTCCACCACGACCTGAGCACTGGTCACCTCTATCGCGCCTCTCTGGTCGGCTTCTAATATTAAAAAGCAAACCCCCCTCCACTACCGACTTCCTTCCTCCCCTCCTCCCCAGACTTCTTTAAGTACCCCTCGTCGACCTCACCTCTTAATCTCCCATCTCGTTCTCTTCCTCGCCTTCTTAATACACCTATATGCCCCCTAATTCTTCCTCTGCCACCTTCGCCGCGGCCATCCAACTACCTACCTGGTTGGCATAATTGATCACCTGCCGACCCAGCTCTCGCTGCTACACACTCCCGCACACAGAGCCACCTTGGTCTTCCTCCGCGCTAGACATTGCCCACTCCGAAGTCACACATCGCCAGATCTGAAACCCGTCGCTCCGCCGAGGACTGTCTCTGTCGCGCAATCTCCCAACTCGCCGCGAGCGTGATCAAATCCAATTCCCGCCAGCGGGATCCTGGCCTCCGGCGCCTCTGTGGTCTCGTCCGCTGTAGCGTGGATCACTCAAATCCTTCGTCTGGAACTCAGACCAGCCGAGCAGCATCTGCCCCTTGATATCACCGACACATTCGATCGTCTGCAGTCTACAATCTAGCCGGGACACCCGAGACCTTGCTATGGAGCTTTTGGAACTTGTTGAGAACGATCCTACGGCTCGCCCATTCCAGTGTGATTGGCAGTCGTGCACCAAGGTTTGCTCCCTCCTAGTCCCCTGAGCTATCTAGTTCGCTAACATTTAGGAAAAAGAGCTTCAATCGCAAGTCTGACCTACAAAGGCATTATCGAACTCACACCAATGAGCGACCTTACTCTTGCTCTACCCCAAGCTGTGGGAAGAGCTTCATTCAGCGAAGTGCCTTGACTGTCCATATCCGAACACACACCGGTGAGAAGCCTCACCAGTGCCAACATATTGGCTGCGGGAAATGCTTTTCGGACGTAAGTTGCGGCGTGTGCCTACAGCAGCCTCAGCCACTAACTGGTAAAACAGTCCTCCAGTCTCGCTCGTCACCGACGAATCCACACTGGGAAGCGCCCTTACAAGTGTGGCCATAACGGCTGCTTGAAGAGGTTAGCAAGGCCAAACAAGTTGACTTACGTCTGCTAAGAAGACAACAGCTTCTGCCGAAAAACCACCATGGCTAAGCACCAGCGGAGGTCGCACCAGCAAGGACTGAACCCCAACGATACCCTGGACGATTACTCATCGGACTCCGACTCTGATGAATCTCCGTCCACTCCACAGACCTCTGCGATGACCTGGTCTCCTCAAGACATGATTCCTGTCAACTCGATGCCACAGGGCTCGTTACACCGCGCTAGTTCCTTTCCCGAATTTGGACAGCAAATGCACGCCTACCCCCTCCAGCAACAGCAATACGTTGGCCGGCACGCTATCCCATCCAGCGTGCCTCCCGAGTTCCACGCGCAAGCCGTCGCCGAACAGCAAGCCGGCATGTATATGCTCCATCGACCAGCGAGCATTCCTCGACCAGCATATTATGTCACCGACAAAAGCAACCCGGGAATCGCAACAATGAGCACCAACCCCATTCAGCACCAATATCAGCTTGCCCAACAGCAGGTTGACAGATCTTCCTTGGAAATGTCGTACCCACCTTCAGGGATCGCAACGTCTATCCAAAGCAGCCCGAGCACCTTCTCTGCGGCCTCGGTACAGAGCCCCTTGATGCAGGATGGCTTTTACCCGCACCAACAGCAGCACCCGCCGTCATACACTCTTCAGGCTGCGTCGCCAGTGGATTCCCACCATAACATGCCCTCGTACACTCAATCGATACACCAGGCCATGAACCAGGCTCAGCAGCCAGTTACTTCCCAGGCGCAGCAGAACCAAACCCCGACCACCGAAAACTACCATCAACCAGCTGCTCAATCTCAGGAAGAGCACTGGCCCCAGTACCAACCCCCTATTGAGGTGACAACCATTGGCCAGTTGCCTGCCTACGGCACTGGTGTCTACGACCTGTGCGGTCCGAAGATCGAGTTTGACGATCCCACGATGCAACTGCCTAGCAGCAGGCTTGAGAGCCGATAATGCTTTGCAGCCCGCTTTGCCACCTGTCAACGCTACTGATACCCACCAGGCCACCATGCTTCTCCAAAAACGCGGATATGAGATCTCTTTTGGTCTCAGAAGGGCTGCCTTCGCTCCTCACGCCGCAATCGCACGATACGGCACCCGACTTACGCTTAGATGGGACCCGCGATTTTGGCTCGTAGTGCTTGCAGATGGAGCGCCCGCGCCGCGTACTGATCCACTCTGTTGCGGCTGCTGGACTTCAGGAGCTTCCTGTTGATTCACCATTGTGCAGTTGAAGGACCAAGACGTTCTATTCGGGTAGAAATTGATCTCTGTTGCCTTACTATGTCTCAGATACAATGCAGTTGTAAAGACGTTATGTTACCTCCACCGAGTGGCAGCACTGCGATTGAAATCACGAAGGGATTTGCGACCAGGCTACCTATCTGTGCCGGTTCTCTCCATCAACGCCTCCCAACGAATCGGTCGCTTGTCCGCCGATGCTGAACATCTTTCAATCCACGGGATCGGGCCAATATTTGAGCTTGGTTGAGTACCGAACTTGGATTGTGCCCTTAGATCGATGTGGAAGGGCGCTTTGTATCTTGTCCCAAGAGAAGTCTTGTCGTCTCATGCTGCGGACGTTCTCATCCTCTTCCGGCGTCCACTTAGTACCAGATGACTTTGAACCCGGGGACGACACTTTCGGCCGTGTTCTTTGATCATTCGCCAAGGGGCCTAACACCAGTTTCGACGGTCCGTAATCAACCGCGCTCATCGGCAGATTAGCATATCCCAGGCCGCGAGGGAGCGAAAACTCCAAATGGAACATCCTCTCATCGCCGATTGCAATACATTTCGCCACACCTTGAAAGGGCCACTCCTGGTACTCAGCGGGCGTTATCTCTCCATGTTCATGAGGAGTGTCGATGAAAGCTGTTGACGCGTCTCCGGAGGGGAAAAAGTTAGGGATTATGCATTTAATTGATCTGAAACAAGTCCCCAAACCCGACGCGTGATAAGCTTGGGGAAGATTGGAAGAACCATGACGGTGTTGGTGCGTTGACTGACGTCTTGAATGGTCTTAACTCATTCTGTCCGAGCATATAGTCAGTGGGACCAGTCCTCGTACGATCCATTCGGTTGGGCCCTGTGCCTGCTCTGATTCCTCAACTGTTCTGCGACGACGTCAAGGAGCTGTCATTGTTGCATGCAGAGGGAGCTCAGAGCCGGGCCAATAGTTGGTCCGTGGTAAGGCGATAGCTTGAGATTGGATGGGGTCTATATTATCTCCAATATACCCTCCCCGAAGAATGACAGCTCGCCAACACGCTGGGGGTCCCCGCCGTGGTTCGTTCGGATTTTATTTATCTCGGCGATAGACGTTGGAAGTGAAGGTTGGAATTGGCTTTCCGGTCAATGCATGAGGATGATAAGGAACCAGTTGAATTCCGTGGAATCACCACACTGATAATTCTGATCCCACGTTATCCATAGCTTCTCCTGATCACTGCAAGGCGGCCTAGAGAACCGGTGCTAGCTGCGCAGACGAAAACTGTCCCAATCGTGTCAGAATTCCGCGAGCTCCCCAAGATAGCAAAGCAGTACCTACATAGCTAGATCTCCCCGCCAATCGATCGATTACACCTGGTCTTGGGCGCGTTGGAGCGGGGTAATGAGGAATGAGGAGTGCAAGGGCCACTTTTTCCTCTTGCATCTGATTAGCATCCCATTGCCCCTGTGGCATCGCTTGACGCCTGTTATCCCAAGTGTGCATACCTCTCCATTTCAAGCTCAAAGATAGATAGCCAGCATCACAATGAGTTGAATATGCCAAGAATGACACCATGGGAATCGCCTGACCGTCAGCTTTACCTTTACGGTCATGTCGCCCATATTTTCTGGCGCTCTTCGACGACTGCATTGGCAAAATCCACTGGACATTCAGCCGTTGGGTCCTGTTCGACTTCGGCCTTTGTCTCTGTTCCCTGACTTCGTGGGGCACGCGTGATTTGACTTATTTGCACCGAGCTCCATACCCTACGCTTCAATCCCAAGCCTGCTTTTCCTAGCTGCACCAGGATAAGCTGGCGGAATGGGTACATCATCGTATTTTCACTAATCTCGGACCTAGCATACTCAAGTCAGTCAGTCTGTGCGTGTGTTCCGCTTCTCTAATGTACTGTGGAGGAGGCCGCATGCGACATTATCAGCGTGGACGGGACCCTGCCAAGTCCTGCGTGTCGAGAGCGCAGGGCTAGTCGATCTAGTATGTGGTCGCCACTGGCATGAGCCGTGGAATTTTGTCATCTCTTGTGCTGGGGATGCCCGATGGTAGAGCATAGCAGACTATACCCCCAACATGATGGCGATGCCGCGTTGAACGCAAACCCTGCCGCGCCGGTTGGGAGACATTTCGAAAATCTCCACTCGAGAAAATAGATCGTAATGGATCCGTCAATAGACGTGCAGGAACACACCGTAACGTCGGCCGTCGGGTATGAAGGTATGAACAGAAACCTCTTGAAATGCCGCAATATCGCCTAGTACCAGTAGAATGCCCTTCTTGTACTCCCATCCTCTTCCAAAATAAAGAAAAAAGTCTCGCCGTGCCCACATGGTGGGTAGTGTCCGAGCGGGGCGCAAACGGTGAGAGAACCGCAAGGACCCCTCTCATGGACTTTCTGAAGAGGAGGTCAAAGCTGCAGCTTGAACTCTCCGCGTGGCGCCCTGGGAGTGCTGCATGTGTTCCGGGATGGACCATAAAGTAAGACGGACAAGTTGAGAAGTGAGAGCTCTTGTTGAGCTCAACAGGGGAGCGGCCGCCATGGAGTCGAAAATCCGCGAGCTTAGCTCAGCCACAGCACAGCGGGCAATTCTCGGGAATCACGATGTAGCGCTCATGAGGGCCTTTGGGGCAGGATTGTTTTCGGTTTCCATCCGTGGAAGTCTTGCAGAAGTGAGTCCCGGGATCCACGCAGGACGTGTAAATGTAGTAATTTTTCGTGAAGTCGCACATGGTTGCTGGAAGCAACTGACGTAGGTATTTGTTAGACTGGGAATGGTGTTGTGGCTGGCCACTTTCCGGAATGGGCAAGCTCACCAAATGCTTAGGTTGTAGGAGCAGAGCGCAGTGCGGCCTCGAGGATGTCTGCACTAGGGGACGAGCAGAGGCAGAGCGAAAAGGGCGTGGATACAGGAGGGTTGGGGATTTATGGAGAATAGAAAGGGCCAGGGTGGCGATCAACTCAATCAACTTGCGCCTCGGGTGGACGAAAGATCATTATGTGAACCGTGCGAGCGTGCACGTACCATATATCAAACAGTGCCATCCCTGACATCAACTCAACCGAGGCCTCAAGTTGAGTTGATCGCCACCCTGGTCAAAGGGCTATTGTGATGGTATGCCTCGTGTCGGAAGAGCTGGATGAATAAATGAAATGGGCACCGAAGGGGAACTCGGCATACGTGAAAGTGTCCTTGTGGCGTGAGGCGGCGGCGTTTATAAGAGGCAGATCTATGCCGTTGAAGGAAGTTGAAGGAAGAGGAGGGGTTTAGATCAGAGACAGGGAGAAGCAAGCTCGAGGTAGGCTATATCAAGGGCATACGGACACTTAAAAGCATGATGTGAAGGAAGGGGAGGGTGGGGTGCAAGGCTCGAGGTATGAGGTGTGAAGTGCGTGGTGGTAGTGAAGGGATGCGGACATCAGGGCCCTTATGACACGGCGCGCTGCGCTGTCGCCCTGGCCCATGTCCCATGTCCCATGTCTAAGGAGCAATGACGCTGCTTCAATATGAGAGGGGGATGGATGGCAGCGAAAACGTAGGCGGCCCAGGGTCCCGAGTTTACTGCCAGGGTCCGGGCTTGGTACAGCGGTACCCACGGCCGGCAGAGTGTCTTCGAGCCGGTGGGGGCAAAATTAGGCCTCCTCCAAGTTCCAACTCTCGAACGACTGGGGCCATGCGCAAGCGCAGCGATGGTACCAGGAGCCGACGTACCCTCAGACATCGCGCGCGGGGCCCGGGCTTGTACTGTAGTTCTGGCCCTGGCTCTGGTGGCTCTGGTGGCTCTGGTGGCTCTGGTCTGGTTTCTGGCGCTGTGCTTGTTGGACGCTGGGCTATTTCGGGTTCTAAATGCGAGCCCGCCATCGATATTGAAGTCCATTCAGCGCGCGAGGGCACGCACCAGCCTGGCTCCGACCCCTGGTCCCACGCTGCTCGTACAGTGCTCCGTACGCACTGCAGTCCGCAGGCAGACCCGGCACGGGCCGATGAGGGCAGCACAGGCCAGGCCATCCACGACGGCATTCCGCGCTTTCGCCTCGCCGCGTCTCGGCTCGGCTCGCCTCACCTTGCCCCATCCTTAACGTCGAGGGACAGAGAGACAGAGGTATCGGGCGGAGAGTCACCGGGGAGTCACGGAAGGCATTCTGTGCACCGGTGTACCGGTATGTCGGGGACCCAAGTCCTGGACTGGGGATGCTGAGACGGCGTCCAATATGGTTAGGTGAGTCGCTCGCTTGACTGAGTCGCTCGCTTATCATGTACGTTATAGTATTTTTCTTCAATTAATTAACCCAGTAAGATATTTCCCTACTATAATTACTAGATTTAATAGGCGGGAAAGGATAATACCCTAACCTAATACTAAAGCAGCCTACCCTAGAGGAGGAAGGAAGAGAAGGAGGGAAAATAACTGACTTCTAGTCTATCAGACAATGCCAACCATTTAGCTATATGGTAAAAGAAGTAAAGGAAAATAGAGTAGACTAATTAATTAAATGGTCTACTAAGAAAGGAAATATAGCCCTTGCAAAGAGTGGGCAAAATGAAGACTTAATAACTAACTGATGAAAAAATTTACTCCTTCCTAAGTATTATTATTAGGAGACGCAACTGGGCCTCCTTGGCGGCAGAACTGGAGAGTAGTTTGCCTTGCCAGCCTGTATGCTGAAGCCATGGCGTCGTCTCGCTTGGTCCAAGGCATACGTGCTCCTTTCCCTGTCCTCTATCTCGAGGTCTCTGCATTAAGGTGTCAGCTGCTGTGTTGTCTTGTTGAAAGAATGTATCCGAAGATCGAGTCATATTATCGAATTACGCGGCTTAAGTATTCAAAGACAATGGGATGATGGTGTTGAGACCGTGTGACTACGATGGTCCGACCTGCTGGTGGCTGGGATGTGGATACTATGTACTGAGCTGTGCTCCTCACAGACCTTCAGAACTAAGACCTTTAATCATCAACAAAAACCCGTTTTTGTCTTAACAGATGGAAGTGATGGAGCGGTGATTGAGCAACACTAAGGCAGTGACATACGAACGTGTAGAAGACGCGTTTCAACGTGCTCCTACTCCTGCCCAACAAGTTTACTACTCAATATGCTTGCTGACTGGAAGATTAAGCAGCTAACGCGTTTTTCCTCGTCGTGGTTGTTCAGCTTGGCTGAGGCAAAAGAAACGGTGGGCAGGGGCTGCAGCCAATCAGATTAGCAGTTATGGTCCTTTCACTTGAAAACCACGTGTAGAGTGTAGTACCAAAGTGTTTTTTCAAGTGAAAAGGCAGCTTGCAGGGATCACGGACGAATGAGGAGGCGGGAATGCGTCTTTTGACTGAAAAAGCGAGGTGGCATAGAGATGTAGTAGTAGTAGTAGTAGTAGTAGTAGAACAAGACAGACCTGTGAGGCCAATATCCAATCATATTTATCATGACTTAAATTTGTCTCAGCCTCAATACTAACTATCGAAACCTTATGCCCAACGTGACTCTCATCACATGCAATCATATTTATCATGACTTAAAATTTGTCTCAGCCTCAATACTAACTACCGAAACCTTATGCCCAACGTGCCTCTCATCACATGAGCAACTGTCAGAGAGAATGGGATTATCGGAACGACTGAAATCTGCTCTCAAAAAGCCCTGTTGAAACCTTGCAGACAGCCTTGTGACTACCCGCCAGTTACTTGGCGGCATCCGAGCTGCGTGATGTGACGAGGATGACTCCATTGCGACGCTTTGGCAGGAAGGGCGCAAGCGGCGGCTGTACTCTCAATGAAGCAGGGATCACATAAGCTATGGCACCTAGATACTCCATTATAGGCAATTGTTGGGGATTCCCCTTGGTGTACGGAGTAGTCTTACCTCACAAGCAAAACCCTGTCTCCTAAGCGAAAAGTATAAAACCTAACAACAGACATGATAGTTAGGGAAATCCCTAATCTCCAAGGAATTTATTCTCGTAATATGATGACGCCAACCATAGCTCAGTCAAGATTCACACGGCCAACGAACCAACCAAACTGGCACGAATAACGATGCAGCCAAGACTGTACGCTCTGTCGGTACTGGCTTGAGTAAAGCTACGTAGTGATGAAGCCAATCCGACGTCTCTACTACTAAGTATGCTGCCGGCTAGGTACAATTTCCCAATGGTTGGGAACATACGATCACGAAGAAAGAATCATAAAGTCGTAGATTTCGAGATTTATACAAAAACTGTAGCGAGTGAATATATACAGCAAGTAAGTCATGTACACATTGAAACCATAAGCATGTCCTCCTCGGACATGCCGCACGCGGTGTTGGCGGTTTCCCTGCAACCCAACCGCAGTCGACAAAGGGAACACAACCACAAAGTGGTCCTAGGGGTAAGTAACAGATCAAAAAGAAAGTATGTACAGATTATAAAACACGAACGCGACGCCAGCAAGCTTCCTTGCCACTATCGAGGCAGTTCCCCTGAACAGAAGTGAAGCATCCAACCCGTTCAAGCCATTCCCGCAGCAATATTGCGGTATTGAGAATTGGGGTAGTGAAGATAGTTCTTCGTGAAATTTAACGACCCAAGAGACTTAAGGCTGGTGCCGATGAGCGAGTCCGAGCCCTTCTTGTCTGCTGAGGCCTCCCAGAACATGCTGCCGCCGAGGCCAAGACTCTTAAGATAGGATACCTTCTTTTTGATCATATCAGGAGTGTCGAAAGAGATGAGCTCCTTCGTGCTCGTGTCGTAGCTATAGTAGCCCTTAGCTACATCGTCGTAAGAGACCGTAGCCCCACTCTTTGGCAGAGCCTTGTAGTCCCAGACTCCGTTCTCCCAGCTTCCAGGCCCGACTCCTGAAAAGGGCTGGCCAATGCCCGAGGTGCCCTGGAACGAGCGGCCGTAGATGGGCATACCAAGTACGATCTTCTTAGCGGGGACGCCACCGTTGATGTAGGCCTTGACAGCGTCATCGGTGTTGAAAGGAGTCGAATTAGGGTTGTCGGTTCTTTTGTAGACGTTGGCGTTGTGGCCCGAGTAGGCGCTCCAGGAACCTGCATAGTCATACGCCATCAAGTTGATACGGTCAAGAAGGGCTCCAAGTTCTTTCATATGGAGCTTTCCATAGTGCTCGGAGCCAGCTGGGGCGGCGATTGATAGCTGAAAGTGGTGCCCGGGTGCGTACTGTTTAGCATACGAATCCAGTTCATTTCGGACAGCCTGGAGTAGAAGGATCATATTGGACGCCTCGGTGTCATTCGCGGGGTATTCCCAGTCAACGTCAATGCCATCAAAACCCCAGTCCTTCATAAGAGTAACAGCTGACTTGGCGAATGTAGCTCGTGTAGCAGCGGAGCTAGCAGCAGCTGGGAAGTTGGCCGACCAAGTCCAGCCACCGATGGAGAGCATAACCTTAAGCTTGCGGTGGGCCTTCTTGAGAAGGTAAAGTTGCTTGACACAACCGTATGCGTTGATGCCAGGCTCATCCCAAGCTGTGAAAGTATTCGTTAGCAAATACTCTGAATAGGTCATTGAGCGAGATATCCTTACAGTCGCCTGGATAGTGTTTCTCTAGGTCGGCGTAAGAGTCACCAGTGTATCTTGGATGGCATCAGCGAGATGATTAAAGCTAGTAGTTGGTTGGTAATACTGCTTACACAGTTCCATCCGCCCGCACATTCATGAAGGAATACAACACGTGTGAGATGTGGGAGGCTGGGAGGTCCTGAGGCTGATAGTTCCTCCCATAGATGCCCCTGCAACCAGTGAGACTTATGCATGCTTTCGCTTACAAGAGGACGGCACGTACCAGTTTGTGAAGTAGACCGAGTTGGCGTAGCTAGTTGCTGTCTTGGAGATGCTAGTCTCATCCGCTGAGTTGATTAGACTCCCCAGGCCCACGGGGGGTTCGATTGAGGCGACCATCGCGAGCGATATCACAAGAGGGTTAGACGTGGTGGTTCTTTGATTGGAGGGAATGGGCAGAATAGAACAGGGTGGATCAGACCGCTCAAGTTTCCAGCATCAGCTTGCAATGAGGAAAAGAGTGTCGAAGAATGCGAATGTGTGATGCAGAACTGGACCAAGGGGGCGTTCATGCTGCTGTTTTATACCCGTTCGTTCGTTTTTGGCAGTCTGAGACAGGTGCAGTTTAGGGTTACCATCGCTGGCATCACGTTCAACCTTACCAGTTGCTTTCGGTAGGATCTCAGTTAATCACAAGGGACGTCGAGATGGTTACGTTGCGTGCCCGTGTGTTCATCTTAAGTCATTCCTACAAGATGAAGCGGTAGGAGCAAACACATGCTAAGGCACATCAGAGAGGTGATCACGACTAAAACGACGTCTTCTTGGAGTTTAGGATCGTGATGCTACCGTCATTTTCTCATCCTCGGCTCTCATCTGACTGCGAAATCTAGCGTCAGAGGCAGCTGGGCATGCAGCGGAGAGATAGATAGACTAGACAAGGGTCATGCCCTCTCATCTTGCAGCCGTCGAGATGTGATGGCAGTGCAAGGGGTCATTTGATGGAGGCACAAGCTCAAGACGCAGGTGGGAGGCGTGATAGTGGCACGAGATTCCTTGCCTGGGGTCTCGCGCCAGACTGAACCTCCTGGTAACGATCCGTACATGTTGACTCAGTTCAACATGGAACACACACTTACACTGAACGGTTTTCTTCCGTTGATGCCGCTCTTGGGCTAGGTTGGTGTGGTGAAAGAGACATCCTGGACACTCGTCGGAACAAGAAGTTGGATATGTAATGCTGAGCAGGGATTAGAAAGCTCTCGGTGACCATGGCAGCGGGGGAACAGCTGCTCCAGGACCCCTGGTCGACTGATCATGGGATGAAATCTCGGCGGCTTGCTTTAAGGGCCTGATGTTGATGTGGCGGGATGTTGGGTCTGTGGAATACCGTTACATCTGAGCAGGGAAGGGCGATGGCCAATGGGACATAGGAGCAAGACATATAGCGGCCGGGACAACGGACAAGGCCCGGGGTCGACGCCACTGAAGCTATCTCCATGTTGCCAGTGTCGCTGTAAACGATTGATGGATTGATGATGTGATGAGGAATGGGGTCTCGGGTGCTTCAGCTGGATAGCCTGCCACCCTCCCTCACGGGTAAAGCCGAGCGAATGAGCGCGCTTGGTCCAGCGGTCCTACACTCCATCTTGGGGCCCCGCCAATTGTGGTACAGGGGGTAAGTGGAGTAGTGAGAGTACCAAGATTCGGCCAGTCCCACGGCAGTTAGGCTCACTTTCACGGTCCGGGTCCCCCAGCGGTATTTGGAGACTGGCACACAGGCACAGGAGTCTTGTGAGCTGAGACGCGCAGTATGGACGCCGACTCGAGTTCCAGGAGAGGCCGTCCAGCGCTGGTCTGCTGCTCCCTCCCTTTCAAGTCCCCGAGTAATTACACAGAACTTGACCCTCGGCTCACCTTGCAGGGCCTGGCAGGCCGCAGTGCATGAATGAAATTTATTCCGCCCGGGAGGACAAACCCCAAAGGGCCAGCACGCTGTGCAGTTCCAACGATTGGTCTTGATCACCTAAAAGCCGCACATTCTTACTCATACTCAAGATCAACGCAGCGGTAAGCAGCAGCCAAGCAATGCAACACGTCTCGACGTGCGGCAGATTCTTCAGCACGGCGGAAGTGGCAAATATGATGCGCTGGGGTTATGATAGAGATGGAGAAGCCTTACAGGTGAACTAGGAGTTTTAGCGGGCGTGGCATAGACAGGTTTGGACTGGGGACGCGCAACAAAGACGATTGTTAAGCAGCGATTGGCATGTCTAAGCGCATTGTACCCTGTTCTGGAATGCCATTTTCACTTTGAGCGTGATCGGGTTGCGTGGCAGCCCTGGGGAGGATTTTCATAGCCTCGGGACCCAGGAAGGCACATGGACGGCTTGTGGTCGCTAGACTAACTACGGCGAATTGTCTCAGTATCTGACAACGCCTCTTTGGTGAATGCCACCTTGAGTTAAGTGGTTGGGAGCAGAAGAGAGACGCAGTTCACGAGAGGCATGTCTCTAGACGGAAAGCCAGATGACTTGGTGTTCAGCAGGCGTCGTCATCAAATCAATAGCGTGTCTGAGCAAGAGACACTATGAATTTTTTTTTTCTTCCTCTTAGCATATCACTAATGTTACCTCACTGGGCTGAAGCATGCGAAACGATAGTCAACAACTGCGGCAGAAAGCCCCCCCCCCGAGCTTTCGTCTTCAAAACATCAAAATGACTCAGAGCACCGCGCTGGCGGGTATTAAGGCCTCAAAGACGTGTCCAGTTACGTCTTTTGAAGCTCATTCAGAGCGCCTTTTGTGCAAATTCGGGGCTTGTCTCCTGGCCGTTTGTTGACGGGATGTGGCGAGCTCAGCCGACGCCGTCCACCTGGTGACCCTCCCTACTACAGGCACACGCAGCCACAGGCAGGCCCTTATGGATTTCCCTTTTGGATTGGATGCCAATCGGTCCATCCCATTTAGATACTCACCATCATCAACGCCCAGAGTTTGAGACTGAGGACATGCGCCCAAGACACTTGATCTGGAATGCGCGAGCGGCCTTGATCGAGGCTGGCACTCGCCCCAGGCGCTCTTTCTGAGTTTTATCAAAACTTGGAGGCAAGAGACAAGGCGTCTCGACCACATGGACCCGCGAAATCCATCGATGCAACCCGAGACCTCCAACCATTTCCTGTGCCTTTCCGTGCCTCATTCACCCGCCGTTCCTCTACGGTACTTCCAGCCAATCTGCGCCATCCTTCGTCCTAGAAATCCAATTTCTCGAATCAGTGCTATCCTTGCCCGCCATCTTTATCGGTACCTGAAGGGTCTTGAGCCCCGTTGCTGGCGTTAACTCACTAGTCCAGCATTGCTTTTGGTGGTCGATTCTAGCCTTAGTCTAGCCTCCAGCTCCAGTTCCAGGTAAGCCACGCGCATCTGCCCTCCCACGCCCCGAGACACGTTCATTTCTTCCCGATGCTGGTGTCTAGCCTCATTGGTCGGTGGCCACCAAACTAGTGGTTTGCGCATGCGATGGTATCTCAGTCCAGGAGCATGGCTCTCGGCCGACTATATGAACAATGGACCCCCGTACCCATTAGACAGACATCCACCTCCGAGGAGCAAGCTTCCTTTAGTCTTGTAGAGGTTGCAGTCCTCTTGAGCAAGGCAAAATCCCATAATTCTTTGCCGTCATGAAATCCCACAACGTCCTCCCGATATGGCTTCTCTGGCTAACCCAGGGACAAGGGTTGACTATTCCCAGGAGACCTCGGCCGGTTCCTGGGACGAGTCCCATGAGGAGTTCAAGCGAGCCGAGACGGATGAGTTTGAATACTTAACAACTTACGCCAAAGAAGACATTATTCCAAAGAGCGAGACCGTCACCGTCAGCACCATCCGTGCTCCCGCCGGAACTGCCCTGCTTCTCTCTTCACTTTCATGCGTCGAGCCTCACACTGAAGGTTTTGTCATCACCACGGTCTCGAACCCTCTTGAGACGGAGCCTCCTCTTCTGACCGGCTCGATCCCGAGCCCAACGAGCCTGTTTCAGCCTGTCAAGACCACCACCGACAACCCCGAGGAGACGGGTCTAGTCAAGATGGCCACCAGCAACGACATATTTGCCAATCCTATCGACACCAGCGTTCCCCTCGCCATGTTTCAGAGGCAGAGAGATCACCCGTGCCCTCGAAAGGGAATAACTAAGACGGGTCCCCTTTCGACCAACAAGTTTTACTCCAACTTCTTCCTTGGAGACCAGAAAGGCCCAGTGTATACCTTCCCTTACTCGCTTGCATGGTCTGCTGGAGGAGGTCCCGCGGCGAGCTGGGGTATGGCTATCTCTCTCATCGACGCGAGTCAACGAGTATTTGGCCCGGTTCAGTCTAATGGCGCCGCGGAATACTACATCAACCCCGTCGGTATCCAATCTATGATCATCTCCGCCAAAGAGCTGGGCACCAACACAGTCCTGACGATGGACTCGCTCTCCCCTCACTACGCCAGAGCTATGCTTAGAAAGGACAGCTCGTCTGCACCCGCCATCACTTTCCCCATCGCTCAAGGTAGCGTCTTTACGACTGCCTACTTCAGCGGTGCCACGCCCTTCATTCAGTCCGGCGTCTACTTCAAGAGTATGACTCGAGTGGCAAAGGACCCCAAGACCAACGTGCGCAAGTTCAACTTTGTCCTCGAGGACGGCACTACCTGGCGCCTCTATGCATACAAGACCAAGGGCGACCCTCTTGACCTGAAGGTTGCCAACAACGGTCTTGCTTCGTCCTCGAAGCCCTTCTACGGCTTAATTCAGATTGCCAAGGATCCCAAGTCGAGCAAGTCGGAGGCCGTTCTTGATAACGGCTGTGGTATCTACCCGACTGGCATGACGATCAGCGGCTCCGCTGTCGGTGCTAAGGGCACCTACACCTTCACATGGTCAAAGTCTGGTCATGCTACCGGAACCTCTGGATGTTCGCCCTTCCCCACCACGTCAGCTCGTTCGACTCCAAGACTCGCACCGGGTTGAGGGGACTACAAGTTGCAGACGACGACCAAGGGACTAGGCATGGCGGTGGGAGGAACCACGTGGACCATGGTCGAGCCATCAATGCCCGTCAATATGAGATTCGCTCCTTGGCACACAAGCCTGGGCAGTCGAGGATTGTCCACTAGCGCCCAGAACATCATCAAGTCTATCGCGCAGTTGGAATTTTCGCAAGACATGATGGGCCAGTCTGATTTGGAGTCGATGTACTTTGCTGGAAAGGTTAGTTGCCGCTTCTCAAACGGTGGAGAATGACGATCTGACATAATGCAGGCTTTGGCCAAGTTTGGCTCTATTGTCTATGTCATTAATACCCTCTTGGGAGACAAGGCTCTCGGACAAGCTGGTCTGGCCCAGCTCAAGAAGGCTTTTGCCAAGTTTGGTTCAAACAAGCAGAAGTACCCTCTTGTCTACAAAAGTAAGCCACATGAACAACAACATTCAGATAGTACCTAACTGAAGGAGCCAGCCACTTGGGGTGGAGTTGTCTCATCCGCGTCGTATGTCACAGGAGACGCGAACGTTGACTTTGGCAACACTTACTACAACGATCACCACTTCCACTACGGTTATCATATCCTCACGGCTGCCTTTATCGGCTCCATGAATAGCACATGGCTTGCCGCGAACAAGGCGTATGCAGGCTGGCGATCAATTCAATTCCATCAATTTCGCCTTCGCGTGGCGTTGCGTTGACAGCTTACTCAGCATTTGGCCCGTGGAGTTGAACCACCGCATCTCCAAATTGAATTGATGGCGTTGAATTGAAGAGGTTGAACCGTATACGCGCGCCGAGATCCCCATCGCTTATTCCCTAGCGTCTTGGCCATCCTCCTCTGCCTCCCATATAATGCTATTCCCAGCCTCTCCTGACACATCAATTAACGTATCCACCGCGTCGATTAGGCCATTCCGCACCCACGACCTTAGTGTCTGAGTTATCCCTATCGTGCTAGCTTCCAATCGAGTCCGCAGCGGTGACACCATTTGCCCAGCAACACTAAACAAACGCTCGCACTCTGCCGACATAGGCGGCACCGACAGCAAGTCGAGAGCCATTCGTGACAGTCGGGGGTAATCTTTCCGTCTCTCCCACCAATATTGGATGGGATCCGTGACGAGAGAGTCGTTCTTAGCGTCGGGACTCGACAGCCAGTGGTCATATTCGTCATGGTCTGCATTCAGTGAACTTTCCAAAGACCATCTGCCTGCCAGAGACGAAGTCCTGTGGGCTCGGTGTCTTTCGAGCGCACTCATTGCCTTCAAACGCTTGAGTGGAGGTTCTTCACCCGAATTCGAAAGAGTCGGTAGTGATTTGTACTCTTCGTCCCACAGTGTCCTCACCATTCTTTTTGCCTCCTGAAGCCATGGCAGCTGTGCTTTGCCGGTCCATGTATTCTCGAAACATCCCCAACGCGAGGCTGGATTCAAAACCGCCGAAGCATAGTACGCTGGCGTCTCGTCAAGCTTCGTGTAGTAGTCGTTCAACTTGTCCCAACCCAGGTTAATGTTTATCTTGAAGTGTTCGGGATCCGGGTAGTTCTCCGCTGTTGCTTTCCACTCCTCCAGCCTGTCCATCAGGAATTCGTACGTTGAGGCAACGTCCCACATTTTGCCATATGCCTCAATACGGCCCCCTTTGCGTACTCGTCTTTGGGCGTCGCCCTCAAGCATTCGAAGTGCCTCCTCGAAGTCAACAAGCACCTTGTCCATCAACTCAATAACGTTCCAGTCGTTTTCGTTCAGAAGACTCTCCTCGCGGAGACACAAGGGCATCTCTTCCTTCCTTCTAACACCGTTGCGATGTTTCCTGTTGAATTCAATCGTGGCCTTCTCAACGAGGTCTTCGAGGAAGGGCCGCAACCTAAGGCCCCGCCGCATCATGTAGAGCGTCGACAACCAGCGAGTCTGGTTATCGCGGACAACGTCCAAAGGTTTCCTTGCTCGAGTCTTCGGACTGTCAGAGTGTTGAAAGAACTCTTCCTGCAGCGCACGGAGACGGTACGTCAGCTTGTCGGACCGATGGATCCAATGGACCAGGTTGTGGAGCTTTCCGATGGGGCCTTTCTTTCGCCAGATTTCGTGCTGGGCAGCACCAAAACCAGACTCCCCATCAATCTCTGCTTCGAAAGCCTCAGCCTTATGCCCAAACAACAGAGCTTTTACCACCAGGTTGAGGACGTGGCCGAAGCATCGCACTCTCCGTTTCTTCGGATCGAAACCCAGCGCCCCCGCAATCTCCTCCGTTGCTGTATCCATATTGCCAGCGTTGTCAAGTGTGATGTACCCCACCCTATCGAGTATCTCATAGCTCTCTAAGATCTCGAGGATCTGGACCGAAATATTCTCCCCCGAGTGGCAATTCTTCAACTCCGGCAGGCCAAGGACCAGCTTCGAAGGGACTCCATTTTTATCAATATAAAAACAGACAATCCCATATAGAGCGTGCCGATTCCTTGAGCGCCAGCCATCGAATGCAATATGGATTTGACCTGGGACACTCCTCAGGTGGTCGATTATGCGTGTCTTTTGTCGGAGATGAAGGTCGACAATTCGCCTTCGAATGGTATCGTGGGAGATATGGGCATTCGTCGCTGCGACCGATGGATTCAGGTATTCGAATGAGTCGTGCTATTCATACAGCCGTATTTTACTACCCGTTGGTTCATGTGGAGCAAGCTCCATGGCGAACCAACTAAGCAAGCTTAGTTGGCCACAAAATTGCGAGACAGCCACAAAAACGCGAGACAGCATCAGATTTAGTAGTAAACTAGGCGTAAAACCGTTAGCGTGGGAAGTACCCCTTGGCATCAAAGATCAAGTTCCAAAAATTTTCCCCGGTTCCTCTTCGGTTAACATCGACGCACCAAATTGCAAGCAAATCTGATATTGTCTCGCATTTTTGTGGCTGTCTCGCAATTTTGTGGCCAACTAAGCTTGCTTAGTTGGTTCGCCTTGAGGCTTGCCTCACACATGAACCAACGGGTAATGGCACAGCTCGTCACGTGAAACTCGGTAATTTCTGCCTTCTTTCCCCACCTTCCCCTCTACATACCCAAAATTCTATGACAGCTAGAGGTGGCCAAGAATCACATAAAAAGTCCCTCAGCCCAGGTCCAAAGACCTGACCACCATCTCATCTCGTAGGGACGATCGAATGACCAGGATGAGGTTATCGTCAGACGGCGTTGGTTTTACTGAGAGCCTCGAGCTAGCCCGGGTTCGCCTTTCACGTCTGCCTTGTGTTCCCCTATCCCTTGTATTTGTAGCTATTCGTGATCGACTCGATGACGGCGTTGAAGTCCGTGATGTGGGTAAATCCGCCTCGATGTCGGCTTGCGTCAGGTCTCGGCGGATACTCGGATTCAGCTGCCGTGTGTTGTGACGACTTTGGGGCTGCCTCACAGCAGCTAAAGCTGTTGATGATGGTGTTGATGACTGTGTTGATGATGATGATGATAATCTCGCAGTCTTGCTGCTATACGATATTGGTGATGTTATTGAGGAGTGATGTTGACATACAGGACTAGGTGATGTAAAGGGGAAGGAATGTCGGGCCGGGAGGAATTTCTAGGTCATGTGATATTTCACGTGAAAAGCTGTGCCATTAGCAAAACAGGGCTGTATGAATAGCACGACTCATTCGAATATGCGTCGAAGTCGGCAGTGCTCGGGCTGGCGGAAGGAGATGTTGGCGTCGACCACCCACTCGAGAAGCAGTCTCTGAAAGTGGTCCCTATCGAAGCGTTGAATGAGGGCGTTCGCGATAGCTTGCTCTTTAGGGTCTGAAGTGTCAAGATTCAGCATCTCCACGATGTTCCTTGAGGGAGTCTTCTCCTGCATTCCCTTCCAAAGAGCGGGCGGCCTCCTCTTCCCGGACTCGTCGACATGTCCGTGCTCCCTGAACAGATGCTTCTCGATATTCTGGGTGCCAACAGCAGAGAAGTCCGTTGTCTTGGGCTTAGGCTTCCGGAGGCAAGGCCCGCAAACCCATTTCCTCTTCGTGGGAGAATCGCGGGCTTGAATGTCGAAGCCATGCTGCCAGACCCACGAAGTCTGCCTGCCAGCACGTTCAGAAATCGAAAAGGCCGGGAACTTGTTCCATGGGAAGATTTTCCAATCGTCTGGCAAAGCATCCAAGTTGATAAGCGGCGCACTGGATGCGTTGCAGTCCGAAGGCCGCCGGCGCTTGACAGGTACGTTGGCGTCCATTTGGATCCCAGGAAGGAACGGGATGCATGTACCGGTAATGTTTTTGCTGAAGGCGGTCCTGAGGCGCGACGACAAGCCGAGACGCGTTCGCGAGCCCCTAGTACTGGGTACAGTTGGCACGTGCACAAAAATTGAGGGGCAAGAAGTACCAGTGACAAAGTCTAGCGGACGCGTCTGCCGGGGCTGTAGGTGCTACCCTGAACCACCGCCATTCTTGACGGATTCAACCGGTGGTCAACGTTGAAGGCATCTAGATGGAATTGAGCCCATCAACGTGAATGTGAAATGGAGTTGATGGAATTGACGCACGTGACTTCAACTTCCACAAAATTGAAAATGTGGAGTGGAAGGTGGAATTGATCGCCAGCCTGGGCGTATGCCAACACTCTTGTCCGTGGCATTGCGAATCCGAGCAGCAAAGACAAGTATTACCCCGAGTGGCGAAGCTTTGACTGGTACCACGGCCACAGCTGGGCAAAGGGCTTGTTCCCGATGTGGGACGGCGCGGTAAGTCTGAGGGTATCGACCGACGTGTATTGGGCATGAATCTGATTAGGATGCAGAACTAAGAGTCTAGCTCTGAGGATATCATGGCTCAGTACGCAATCAAGATGTGGGGTACAGTGATTAAAGACACCAACATGGTCGCAAGGTAAGCCGGGAACAGCATGAGCGATTGCAAAAGGCGCGGAAACTGATACTAGACACAGCAGAGCCAACCTGCAACTTGCCATCATAGCACAAAGCATGCAGCGGTACTACTACTATACCGCAGACAATGTGGCTCAGCCTAGCAACTTCATTGGAAACAAGGTCGCTGGTATTCTGTTCGAGAACAAGATTCATCATACGACGTTCTTCGACGCCAACATCGAGGCAGTCCAGGGCATCCACATGATTCCTATTCTACCCCCATCGAATCTGGCACGGACAAACAAGTTTGTCAAGGAGGAGTGGGATACCTACTTCAGCAACGGCCGAATTGACCAGATCGACAACGCATGGAAGGGTATTATTTACGCCAACTATGCGACTATTGAGCCTAAGAAGGCGTGGGACTTTTTCGCGGCCAAGGACTTTGATGCCAAGTGGATCGATGGCGGAGCATTGAGGACATGGTATCTGGCGTATGCTGGAGGTAAGTTTGATATCCTGGCTCCTCTGAAGGAACTAAGGCTAACTGTGATGCAGCGCTGGCTGGTGTTTAATAGACTTAGGCGGAGTTGATGAAATGCGTCATTCTACACCCCGTGATGTGCCTTGTGTACGAAGCCATCGGGTCAGTCGAAATTACCCTTTTGAGTTTCGCGGTCATTGCACTAGCCTATTTGGGACTTAGCACCAAAATCTCTAGCCAACCAGAATTTAGCGGTCACGCACTAGCCTAATCAGGATTTCGCGGTCAACTCGGGGGCAAGCTCATTTCATCAAGCTGCAGGAACTTCAACACAGCCCAAGTCAATCACTGTATCAGTGTGGTTTGTAGGATAGCAATGTTAGCAATGTTGGGCTTCGGGTTGCGGGTTGGGACGTGCATTGCAATTATTACACAGCCGTTCCTGCCGACAGTCGATCTTCCGCTCGCCAACCTTTTGTTGCCTTTCTCTATGCTGTGCTTGTCGTGAAGCATTCGCCAATGTTTGAGAGCATTTTGAACAAATTCCAGTATGTTCATCGATTAAAACGGCTGCCAGCCCAGGTCTGACTCCCCGACACCGAGATTGGTGACAAGGCAAAAGAATTTGGTGTCTCGCGCCAAGGAGCTTAGTGTTGTAAAATCCCCGAGACATCCCAAACACATTTCATGGACTCAAATCTAATTTAGTCCGAATGGTGGTCCTCGGAGCCTGCCTGGGGAACGGTCGCCTCGGTGCACCTTTCGATGGCGTCGCAGGTTAGATGCCACGGAGAAATGCCGCCCACAACCTTCAACATCGCACGCAAATGCTACGTCTGTCAGTAAAATTACTTCGAAAATATAGAATTTAAGTGGCCTCCTAGAAGACGTACGTTTGTCGCCAGTGTGGCTGTAGAAATGAGTCCGCAGCGAGCTTGGGCGCCTGAATAGCTTGTCGCAGACCTTGCACTTGTGCTTCTTTTCTGGGATGGACGACACCTTGACGCTGAACTGGCCCATCATTGACTGGGGGGAGGGCGGGATTTGGGAGGACATCAAGCCCTGGGCCCTACGCAAAGTCCGTGAATTGACCGATTCGATATCTAAACCGGCGGTGGAATAATCGGACGCGGAATCTTCCCCATAGTAAGAGCTGAAGTTTCCAGTGGAAGAAATCGTGGAGCTGGTCGAGTGCGTCGAGGGGAAGCCGTAGGAATCCACGGACGACCGATCGTTGCGGTTGCCGTAGTTGTTCCGAAGGGCTGCGTGGCTCATGGCGACCATGCTATGGCTGGCATCGAGCGCATCAGCAAAGCCTCTCCGCTCATCCTGAAGCGACCTGGGAGACATCAGCAATTTTGAGCTGCGGCGCGGTCTTGCAGCCAATAGTAGTCTCAGTTGAGTTGACCAAGCAGTCAGAGAAAAACTCACGATTGGCTCCGAGTTGAGTCGGCCTGGGGAGCCATACTGAAGTTGGCTGCCAGCACTGGGGCAGGTGCATACCCCACGGTGTCGTACGGGGCCGCAGAGGTCGGTGCAAAATGACCACTGGCGGGAGAGGCAGACGCGGTATAGGAAGGGTCTACGTAAGCAGACGAAGTAGTTTGCATGCGGTTCATGCTCAAGAGATCTAGGGCAACATTAAGCCCTGCTGTTAGTGGATACCGGCCATAGACGAAGGGCTGTGGCTACCTGCAGAAGAGGTGGCAACGGGTATTGATACCATCGACGAACCACTGCTAGTGCTCGCACGGCGGCCCAGTTGCGGCGATTTTTCAGCCATGATGCCGGGCTTCATGGGAGGTTGCTGCCGGTTCTCGACGAACAGACCGCTCCCAGCCCCAGGGTGAGGCAGCGAGGAAGACGATGACATGTTTGAGAAGGCGGGTTGCTGAAAGGGAGCCTGGTAATGGAAGCTCAACGGAGGCCGGCACCGCAGGTGCGTCGTGTCTAGAGTCATGGCCATAGTGACGCCAGGACGGCTATGAGAGGTGGTGGTTCGCTGGACGTGCACGAAGTGTGTGAGTGAGCGTCGGGCGTGAGTGTGTGTGGAGGGAGAAAGGTTTGTTGATTAGATGCGGGATCCCGACTAGAAGAAAAGCCAGGTTGGGAACAAGCCACGGTTGGCATAGCACTCCAAATCAATAGCACGACGTGCAGCTCACGCGTAGTCAAGACTTCAAGGCTATTGGGTGTTATATGAAAAACCACTGGCAGCATGATGTGGGCTCCCAGAAGTTGGTCTACGCTGCGGAGGTTAGCGAGGAGATTTGCCAGCACGACGAATGACGCGGGTGCTCAGGGTTCCACAGCGGATCGCAGTGTCTACTCGCGTGGGGATTTCGTCGAATCGGTCCGTCGTCAGTGACAGCCGTTAGAACAATCCCTGTCTAGCGACAATAGTAGCGGCTCTGAACCGAAAATTGGGCTGGCCTTGACGTCGCGAATCAGCCAAAGAATAATTGCTCATATCGTGTGGCACGAAACTACGCCAGTATTGTCGCACAGATATGGTTAGACCGCCAAGATTCACAGTAATAGGTAGCGTCAAGGTCGGTCATAATAAGATGACTCTCAAGTCCCGGTACAGTATTTGAATGGTACGAGTATGAAGTTTAATTCTGTGGTCGAGCGCAGTAGAACGTCGCCCATTGCACGGGTTGGCAGCGATGGAGATGGTCAAATCTGCCTGACGCACAAGGATGTCCTTGTTGGTGTGCCATCTCGGCCTTAGCTGTCCCCGCTACTTCGGCTCAGAGACGTCCTATTACGTGTAACCCCTTATCATTCTTTTTGGTCAAACCATATGTCTGACTCGCAAGTGAATCCGCAATTTTAAACACTTTTCCCGATGGTCACCGGTCCTTCGGCATATTCCGTCGTCTCGCCGGGCTCACACGCAAATCAGCTTTGTAGGAGATACAGTAGACGCGCTTTGGTGCGGGGAATTGTGGGAATGCTAGTGAAGTCGATATTCTAGCGCGGTGGTTGCGCTTGCAAAAGATATCCGTGCACCGTCAACTTAATCCAAGACAAGCAAAGCGGTTCAGAGGCACAGCAGTCTTTTCCAGGCTGACCCTGGATTAGCGTTGCGGGGGGGATTTCCGCCAGGTCATGGAGATGGGCATGGCAATGTGCTCTTGGTCCGTGCTAGTAAGGTGACCAACCCACTAACGGGTCAGGCCCAGAAACGGGCCACATTTTTGTCATCTGCAACACCATAACCTTGTGCATTCCAACAGTGATTTCTCGCGCAACTTACATGATATCGCCAACCCGATTCTTACATTGAATTCAGCATGCCCGAATATAATGAAGTCGCGTTTCACCGACTCGACCCCGCTGGGCAAAATTACCTTCCCCACCTGTTATCACAAGGCTCGTCTTGCCGGAATCACAGAAAAGAACATCATCGCAGGCTGGAAGTCAGGTGGTTTATGGCCTGTGAGTCTCTCCAAAGCCGCTGATGAACCCGATGGTCAGCAAGCTGCCTGAGCATAACCCTCCCCCCCCTCGGGAAAAAAACGCCGCCGCAGACGAAGGAAATACCGCCAGTATACCTTTTCCGAACGCCTCATTCACCGAGTCAAGTGCGAGATACACTTTCAAGCATCTCATCGACCGTCAAGATCGAGAAAACTGTTCGGCTGGTTTTCAGGAAGATTGGGCAAGAGTTGGATCGCCAGGGAGCTAACTTGGTAGCTCAGGATTGGGAGATACAGTTACTGAAGCATCATATTGAGGAACTTGAACCAAAGCAGAGGCGAAAAGTCGTTCCGGACCCCAAATCTCCGCTTTGCACATGTTCCAGTGATCCCGGAACCTCGTGAGAGGATGTGGAAGCTTCTAGACCCGCCAGCGACTTCAGCTAAAGTCAAGAAATTAGAATTTGAGGATGCGTGCTTCGAGTGGCAGCTGGAATAGCTTCACATGTAAAAACCAGGTCATTTTAGTGTTGTGCTGTTATTTAATTCAAGAGTGTTATGTGTGCATGATCTTGGCGATGTGAATCCTTCGTGTTAGTCGGCGTCTTGATGACCTGCGGGACTGATAGCCCAGGGACGCTGACGACTGGACGAGCACTGATTGTAGGTAGCAATGCATGAGCACCTACCATTGTCAAGCAAGGGCCTTCGACGAAATGGGATCGCCATCGCAGACTCGAGGGCCCAGTCAGCCAGACTCAGTCCCTGACGAACCGAACTCTAAACCTAATCCCTGCGCGGGGTGGTGGGTCATATTTTGGGCCAATCAAAAAGGCACCGCCTAAAGCTTGTTTCCCCACACAGGGGTGCGCTAAGCAATGCCGCAAGCAAGTGGATATGCACGGCAGCACGACTCGGTTGCATGTAAAAAAAAATTCTAGCCTGGCCCACCAGACAGGGGTCACTCTTGGCGTAGTTTTTAAGGGCCTTCAAATACATCTCGATATTCGTCATATCGAGATTACCATCTAGGAAATTTAGCTGAGTGGGGTATGGGACAACTCCAAGGGACTCCTCGTAACTACGCCAAGCATACCCCTAGTCCAGTGGGGTAGACTAAAAATTTTGGCCTGCAGGCGTAGCCTTCACTAACTGCTCCGAAAAACTACGCAGAGATTAACCCCTTGACTGGTGGGGCGAGCTAACCAACGTTATGCTGGATACCGTAGTAACACCTGTCCTACGGTGGCGTTTCAGCAGCGAAATCAACTGCCGATCTCATCATTGCCATGTCTGGTAGGCGTGACTGACCCAAGAACCAGGATACGGTCGATGATAGCTAGTCTTGTAACCCAAGGAGCCTCACTAGCCCAGGGGGTGCACGAGCCGAGGTGGATTGGTGACGCAACGGAGGCTCCTTGGGTGACTCCAGAGGAATATATGCTCAATCGACCCCAATTCCGCTCTGTACCGCGACCATATCGACCAACATTCAATCTACAATTTGGAGTGCCTTATACAGGCGCCGTCGCCAGTGAGAATCACCGCTTCTCAGCAACTGACGCGCCAGCATGCCAGGCTTTCTCGTTCCTGACACTTATGTGGTAGTCGCACCGACCCTCGACGACCTCCTAGTAGCCAGTATCATCTGGGGCTTCACACTCGCGACGGGAGTCTTTGCGGGCAATAAGGCTCTCAAGCAGACGTGGGCACAATGGAAACGTTCTCGACGCATCAAGCCGTACGTGATCATGATTTGGGCAGAATGGATCGTCTCCATGGTGATTGGCGTTTTAGCGTGGGCTTTTCTTCGGGGGTTCATTGAGCCAAGGTGCGTCGAGAGAATACCTTTGCATAGTACAGGAAACCTTGTGGAGCTGACAAGAAGTCGTTGCGCAGCTTTTGGATTTACCTCGTTTTTCGTATGTCACCTCTCATCCAAGCGACTTCTGGAGCGACTTGAAGCTGACAGTCTGTTGCAGTTGCTCTTTGGGTCGTTCAAATCCAGTGCATCTGCGGTATCATTATCAATCGAATCGCTCTCCTCATGGTCGACCAACGCGATGTCGGCAAGATTCGCTGGGGCGTAGCCATCTTGCTAGGCCTCATCAACATCAGTGTCTTCGTCATCTGGATCCCCGCGCAACTGCAAATCTCTAAGACGTGGGTGAATATCAACCATATTTACGATCGCATCGAAAAGGCTATCTTCCTAGTCATCGACGCCAGTCTGCATCTCTACTTCATCTATCTGATCAGAGTCAAGCTCATCGCCAACGGTCTCGACAAGTATACTCCTCTCTTCCGGTTCAACATGTTTATGGTGGCGATATCCATGAGCCTCGATGTGAGTCTTGAATCCTTCGGAGGGCAACAGTGGCTGGTGACCGCGGACTGACCCATTGGTGTCTAGATTATTCTTATCGGTAGCATGTCTATCGGCAACGGTTTTATGTAAGTCCGGTCCAATTAGTTGATCCAAACGTCCTCGGGCCTGACATTCACTTCCTAGCTACGTACAATTCCATCCTCTTGTCTACATGCTTAAACTTCATATCGAGATGAACATTTCTGCCCTCATTGTCAAGGTTGTTCGCGCTACGGGTAATCACAGCTCCTATCAAAACGACTATGCACAGGGTACAGAGCTGCGGTCGAAGTTCAGGGGTAACATCCAGGCGGCCGGGCCCTCTGGTAATCGGACCGGTCTAGGGACCATGGGCCAGCTGTTTTCCAGCCATAATGAGGCGCACATCGAGGTCGATGCAGGCAGCAAGACAACGTCCAAGGGCATTACGAATATTGTCCAGACGCGGGTGACAGTCACGTCGAGACGCCATGAGGAAGAAGACGAAGACAACAGCTCGCAGTCGTCGACGCGTCATTTGAAGCGTAACTCTCATGTCTACCAGGATCAATTCGCTTGAGGGCATGCCAACCAGTGAAGAGGCTGGGAGGCTGGGATTAGCGCAAATCTAGCATAGACTACGACATCCATAGAGATATCGATGCATGCAATTTTCTTTGTCATATAGTTCTGCAGATCTAATATTGTACTCAAGCAATGCTCTTCGGTGCAGTCCTCCGACAGGGCCGCCGCGTGGGATACTCATTCGTGCATCAGTCTGCATACCGCTTTTGCAGCGCCCCCTTTGATGATCATCTTAGACCAAGGCCAAACGGCGCCGTTGCTACATGGACCAGTACCAGGGGCCGGCGCGAGCTGGAAGATGCGACAACGAACTGTCCCTGCCAAGAGACCCGGGCTCGATCACTTGCGAGGTCCCGCTTAGTGCGCTATGAGAAGAAGACTACAACATCCCTTTGGCTGTGCGGAAGGAACTTTCGGGTCTCTAACAGGGATCTTAACAAATAAGAGCTTGAGGTCAATGGGAGACATTTGATGCAGGGATTATTACCCGGATCTACATGGACTCTGGAGGTTCAGCTGTTCACATGAATACATTAGAATCCCCGTTTTCCCGCCTGATTTCAGCTGCTCATCCGTAGCTTCGATAAGAGGGACGAATACTCAAAAACTCCTTCTGCACATACGGCAGACGCGAACGATCGACAAGATAGTTGTCGCACCCAAAAAAAAAAAAAAAAGAAAGAAAGTTGAGACGGTGAGGTTGCTAATCTCGGCCTAGGGTCCGCGGGGAGTTTTCGTAGTCGCGGAGCCAAGTGGGCTGGTATTGGTTGTTTGGTTTCTCTTGTGTGGGACCCTGAAGATCATGTACGCTTCTAGGCCCTTGTCGTATTCCCAACTCCTACTTTCGACAAGGCTAACCCTTACGACCTCTGTTTAACCCCGGCGTTCTGTTACATAGTGTGTGGAGGGAGGGGGTTTCTGAGCTCTATCAAACGCGGCCACCCCAAAATGTGGAGATGCTGGGGTCGTCGAAAGTGGGGCTGACGACAGAAGACATACAACCTAGCCAAGGGTTGGAGAACCGTCGGACGACCAAGAAGCAGGCGGAGGGATATAAAGAGCCGGAGCAAGGGAAAGACGGTCGGGTACGCTGGAGACAAGCTAGCAGAGCTCTTCATTCCAGCTTTTGAACTTGGACTTTTGTTCTCGCTTCCAGGATGCGCGTGTACACGAAGCTTGCCGATGATGTGAACGAGGTCGATGTGATCATTGCTGGAGGTACAGTACTCTTCTTCTCCGCCCCACCATAGATCATGGAAGGGCTAAAACCTCCATCATCATCATAGGTGGCACCGCAGCATGCGTCATAGCTGGACGCCTGGCCGAGGCCGACCCTAGCCTGTCGATTTTGGTAATCGAAAGAGGCCAGGACAACCGCGGCGTTCAAAACATCGAGAACCCTGTGTTCTTCCTAGACCACCTACTGCCCACTAGCACGACGGCCATCTTCTACCAGGGCAACAAGGCAGGCCAACTGGCCGGCCGTGAGTTTATCGTCCCCTCCGGTGGCACTCTCGGCGGTGGATACCGGTAATCCATTAACTTCATGATGTATACCTGCGCCCAGCGTTCCGACCTTGACTCATGGAAGACCCCGGGCTGGTCAGCCGATGAGCTGCTCCCGTTCATGAAGAAGGTATCGTAGTTCGCAAGTGCTTTGCTACCTGAAAGAACGTCGCGACTGACAGTGCCAAGCTCGAGACGTATCATGGTAGGGGCGAGAAGGGTGTTCATGGACACGATGGCCCTGTCCACGTGTCTGATGGCACATTCCGCTCCGAGTATTCTGAGAACGAATTCATCAAGGCTGCTGCTCAGGTCGGCTGGCCTGAGATCAAAGACCTGCAGACGTTGGACGCCATCAACGGCGTTGAGCGCTGGCTGCGCACTGTCAGCAAGGATGGCAAGCGTCAAGATACAGCGAGGGTGTACCTTCATGACAAGCTCAACGGGAGTGACTACCCTAACCTCCATGTCCTGACCGAGTCCAAGGTGGTTCGTGTCTTGCTTGACGGCCAGAAGCGCGCTGTCGGTGTTGAGTACACTCCAAACCCTGAATTCCAAGCCGCAGTTGGTCCCACTCAGCACCCCAAGCTGACTGTCAAAGCACGCAAGCTTGCAGTGGTCTCTTGCGGTGCTTGTGGTACGCCCCCTGTGCTGGAGAGGTCCGGTCTAGGTGACCCTGAGATCCTGAAGAGGGCGGGTGTTCCCGTTACTGTCAACTTGCCGGGTGTAGGCCGCGACTAGCAGGATCACCAGCTCATCCTTTATCCCTACAAGACCAGCCTCCAACCACACGACACAATTGACCGGGCTCTCAGAAACCCGGGGGGCCGTCAGGTGTTGATCAACAAGAAGGACAAAGTCTTGTGTGGAACTCCATTGACATCTCATCCAAGCTTCGGCCAACGGAAGCAGATGTGGCAGCTCTTGGTCCTGACTTCCATGCTGCGTGGGACCGGGACTTCAAGAACGCCCTGGATAGGCCTTTGACGCTCATGGGCCTTGTATCATGGTAAGCTCCCTGTTCTTCCAAAAGCAGCTGGGCACAAACGAAAGACCAATGCTGATGGAAACAGTTTCCTGGGCGACTCTTCAACCGTCCCGGAAGCGCAGTATCTCACTGTCGGTAACTACACGGCATATCCCTACTCGCGCGGACACGTCCATATTACAGGCCCTGAGGTCGACGATCCGCAGGATTTTGACGTCGGTTATCTTAACGATGCGCACGACATCGACCTGAAGAAGCAGCTTTGGGCGTACAAGAAGCAACGTGCAATCATGCGGCGCACGGCAATGTACCGCGGTGAGGTCGCGGCTGGCCACCCGCGCTTCCCGGCTGGTTCAGCAGCCGCCTGTGTCGACCTCGATGAACCTCTTCGTGATGTTCAGGACCTGGAGTACTCTGCTGAAGACGATAAGGCGATTGAGCAATGGATCCGAGAGAATGTCGGCACTACGTGGCACTCCATCGGCACTACGTGGCACTCTATCGGCACCACAAAAATGGCGCCTCGTGAGGAGTTTGGCGTCGTAGACCAGCACCTCAACGTTTGGGGCACCAAGGGTCTCAAGGTCGCCGACTTGAGCATCCCGCCGATGAACGTCGGCGCAAACGCCAACAATACTGCGATGGTAGTAGGCGAGAAAGCAGCAGACATCATCAAGAAGGAGCTAGGCCTCAAGTCATGAAACTCATGACCGATGTTTAATAGGAATAGTCATTGCATCTTGATGATGTTTATGGAGTTGAATGCTGGTGTAAAACATGTGAATGGCGAAGATAGCTGAAGCATGCAGAACGTAAAAAATCCTATTTGCAGTCACTTCCAAGGTATGTGTGGCTAATCCTGATTACGTTCTAGGTCGAGGCTATACATGGTTCACTGAAATCTGGGTTTCCTACATCTTCGACGAGTTCTGGGACGAAGATGGCGATCAGTACGGAAGAGCGGCAGGAGACCTCAACAGCTATACAACTGGCCGTGTGGGCAACTACAACGTATCAATTTTGACCCCAAAGTTTATTTGATTGACATATGATGAGCGCTGCTCCACACCGATTATCACAATCATGCCCCCGGCAATAACCCAACTCCATCAGCTCATTGATCCCTCCGCTGATGGAGATGTCGACGGTGGCACGGCCGTCGGATCCAATGACTTGACCGGCTTGCGGCCATAAACCACATATCTGGTTCTGTTAGCAACTTTCTGCATCAGGAGCACGCGACTCACATCGGCCAATAAGCATGCACAGTCGAATCCCTCAGTGCTGTCCTCGCCCTGGCAACCAGCGCCAGCACCTCCTCCCTCGACCAGCCCAGCCCGCGCGTTAGAGGCGCCAGTGCCGCCGCCTCCAACCCATAGTCAATGGTGACCAGGCTCCACTTACCCAGGTCTTTATACTTCTTGTCGCGCGGCCAATGATTCGTCGGCCACTTATACACAGTCTCGACCACGCCTTCGAAGCCCACGGCTTCCATAGCCGACTTTCGCTCCTGCGCAGCGGTAGTAGACCGCCCCAACTTCTCCAGACCCTCCTGTATAAGAGTCATCCACCTCCACAGGTCCGAGGTTTCGGAGAGAGTGCCGTCATCACAGCGTAACGGGGCTATGTCTTGGGCTTCGAAGTAGCCACCGGGCTGAAGTTGGCTAGATTGAGTCTGTTGTCAGTCATTAGACACGGTAAGACAACAGGAATAGGGTTAAGGCGGACTTGAAGGCATTCTCCACAATCTTGAAATCATCATCGAAACTCCCTGTCGTCATCCGGCAAAAGATAAAGTCGAACGTCTTAGACCACGTCCACTCCTTCTCGAGGTCGTCTATCTTATTATAAGAAGTTAGCATCTTGGCTCTCAAAAACATGGTTCGATTCCTCTCGATACCTCGAAAGAACAATTTGTTGGTACGCTACGATCTGGTCAGTAATGATACCTATGGTTATGAACGGACCGGGAGCTTACAAGTCTGGTTGCACGGGGCTGAGATCAACACCGACTACCTAGCTTATTCATCAGCAGAGGGGAGTCGAACATAGTAAAGGAAAGCAGACCTCAGCCTCAGGATGACCGTCGGCTTGTGGTTGAGTTAGCCATAAACCAGGGGATCTTGAACAATATATCAGCGTGGGAACACACCGTACTCTATCGCCCAGATACCAGTGCCTGTACCAAGGTCAAGAACCCTGGCGGCACCATCATTTTTAGGACACAGGCAATATCTGTCCCCGATCGTCAGGGTCATGAGATGGTGCTGCAAGTCTGGGTTGCTGTCAGTGCCTACTTGCTGTTGGCCGGCCGAGAGACTGTGGATCAAACCTAGTCTTTCTATCTCCCTCTAGGGAAGTAGATGGTTATCTTAAAGTCCTAAGAGGTTCGACGTGCCACGGAATGTGTGCGTGTACTTACCTCATCATTCGGCATGAAATATTCTGTTGCATGTCTGTCAGCCAAAGGGCGATAAGGCCCGACGGCGGGGATTCTCACTGCCTGCACTCATGGCATGATATGTCCGGCCGTTTTCCTGCTGATACGCAAAAATGCTTGATCTCAGCGATACCAGAGACTCGCTCAGCGGCTATGACCAAGTTAGTGGGTCGTTCGCCTGTCAACCTGTGGTTCCACAGCCGCGAACCTACCACTTCGAGGGCAGAGTCGGCGTCGGCGTCTTCGTCTGGAGCCTGCGAGCAATATCAGCCCGGTTTCGAGTACGGCGGGGCGCCAGCGCCAGCGCATCGCTCGAAGGAGACAAATAACATACAATCCGTGTTCCATTCTCCGGCGATAATTCGTCCATGATGCATTCTACTGCTCCAAGAGAAGGGTAAGTGAAAATTCCACAGGAACGGTCATCCTTAACGTACAGTCAGGATTTTTGGATCATGTGTCTTTCTACTGAGCTGACAATGGTGTGGCTGTCCCTCATTTTACCGTCCGATTAATCACATTACCCTAGTCGTTTGGGCAACCAATCCGCCGCCACTCCAGGCTACATCGGTGGGAAACTAGTTCTCACAAAGTATCACAATTTTTTTTAGGTGGCGTCTAGGGGCTTGGTGGGGGACATGGTCGAATTTCGCCGCTGAACGCATGCTGACTGAACGGGAATATGAAGGGCGTTGTGGCTTGAGGATCCCGGTACAATGCCCGCTATTCGTATGGTGCAGCATGCGCAATAGTCCACGTGGACCCGCAATTGCTTCCTACAACGGCCACGCAAGTGCTCTGGCTGCTGGGCAGTACGTTGTTGGTACGGCACTACCCGGAGCAAGAGAGGAGCTGTGTGTGGGCGGCAGTACCTAATTGGTCCGGCATTCACCGGGCGTATGAAACACACATACGGAGGAGCCTTTCAAAAGTCTCTGCTCGCGTGGACGCTAAGGTCAGCCACAAACAGGGATCGTGCCGAAAGCGAATGTACCCAGCCAAATTCTTAGGTACCTCACCCCTCTTCCACTTTTCCTGTTTTCCCCTCATCTTGACTGCCAAAATGCGCCAAAATACCGACATTGCAACCCGGGCTCTTGTGGTCGTCTTCAAGAGCCCATCGGGAGGGAAAACAACAGCTGAAGTTGCAGAGATAACAGGTCTTTCGCCCCGTACGATCAATGATATCTACGCACGCGCTATTTCTCGCGGATTCGATCCCAACCACCGACCGATGACCCTCCATGACGAATTCCTTCGTGATGCGCACCGCTCCGGGCGTCCCAAGAAGCAGACAGACGAGGCACGAATAGAGATCATCGCCAAGGTTCGCCGCGATCGATTTGGCAGGGAAAAGACGTGTGCTGATATTGCGGGCGAACTGAGCAGCGATGGGATCGAGATCTCGGCCGTCACTGTGTGGCGAATACTGAAGAAAGCTGGATTCCGAAAGACAAAGCCAACGAGGAAACCTGGGTTGACGAAGAAGATGAGGGAGGCACGTCTGGCTTGGTGTCTTGAACATCAGTACTGGACCCTGGAGGACTGGAAGAACGTCATTTGGTCTGACGAGACCTCTGTTATCTTGCTCCATCGACGAGGAAGCTATCGCGTATGGCGAAAAGCTAATGAGGCATTTGTTCGAAGTTGTATCCGGGAGCGATGGAAAGGTGCGTCTGAATTCATGTTCTGGGGTGCCTTTTCCTATGATAAGAAGGGCCCCTGCCACTGTTGGAGTCCAGAGACTGCTGCCGAGAAGAAGGAAGCTGAAAAAATTATCAATAAAATGAATGAGGATCTTGAAGCTGTTATGCGAGAAGAGTGGGAAATTTCAAATGGAATACGACGATTAAATCTACACCAACTGCCCGGCCCGAAGCCAACCTGGCGATGGAATAAGAAGTCCGGAAAGCTGACGAGGGGGTCTAAAGGCGGTATTGACTGGTATCGCTATCAGAAGACGATCCTGATCCCTAAGATGTTTCCTTTTGCTTTGGAATGTGCCAAGGACCGCCCGGGCACTTTAGTCCAAGAAGATAAGGCTCCTGCTCACAGCCACTATGTACAGCAACAATGTTACGATGCGAATAGCATCAGCCGGCTGCTATGGTGCGGGAATTCCCCAGACCTCAATCCTATTGAGCCGGCTTGGCCATGGATGAAGAGACGGACTACAAGGAAAGGAGCCCCAAAGTCAAGGCCTGAGGCAGTCAAAGCTTGGAAAGCAGCTTGGAAGGAGCTTCCGCAGGAAGCTATTCAGGCTTGGATTGAACGCATCCCTCATCATATTAAAAAAATCATTGAGTTGGAAGGAGGAAATGAGTACAAGGAAGGTCGGACACAACGGTAGGTACATTGGGAATCCTACTATACATTTTAGGTGGGACCCTGCTCTTTCCCGTGACGCTAGTGTCCTTAGCGTGAGCAGAGACTTTTGAAAGGCTCCTCCGTACACACGTTCAACTTCCCCCGACGGCTCTCATTCGTTGGTTGCCGATCAACGCACCTTGGGCTGCAGCCTGACATGGGCGCCATGGGCCAAATTGCGCGATATTATTGGCTCATACGGAAGGCCGGAGGGATCAACTGGTCATAACCCCCCTGCTGGCCCAATTTCAATCAAGGCACACCAAGTTAGAGGACCTCACCCCCTTCAGTACTGAAATAACTCTTCCACTTACATCGACTCCACCTCTAGTGATCGTAATATCCGTATCCTCATTCGACCCCCTTGTCATCCTGGTGTTGCTGTGGCACCCACGAGCCTTACTCTCTTCATGCTACTGCTGACGTGGTGTTTATGTGTGTTCACATAACCCTCATCAATTCAATTTCACTCCAATGGCTCAACAGACAAGACGCTCTGCCTCGGCGAGTACTGAACCTGAACCTCTTATCGGTTTCCCTTCCAGTAGACTCTGCTTCCTGCCCAAAGAGATCTTTGGTATAGAGACACGTGTCTTTGACCATGAAGCTGCTCAGCCTGATGCAAACCCAGACCTCACCGTCTGGGCCCTAATGAATGCACTCAAACACTGTTCGACTCGAGTGCTTCCGATCCTCGAGCTCAATAAGGTTAGTCTCTTGGTCCTTGCCCCGGTCTGCTCTGTAATAACCTATACAGCCGGTCCGAGAGTTAGAGCTCCGATCCCGGTATGATATGCGGAGTCTGAAGCAGAACCCCTACGTCTTGAACTTCAGTCGCAGTCAGAACTGTGATGCGATGATCCGCCATCTCATGGGAGACGAGCGGGAGGCGCAGGACTGTTGTACTAGGTGTGCTCAGAAGAAAGGCGCCCTTATTGGCTGTATCGTAGCTGAGGGCTCTACAATCTGTGGTAATTGTGACTGGAATCGATCAGGGCTTGGATGTTCTCTTGCTTCTCATTCTGAATCACGTATGTATCTATATCTTGGTCTCATTTCATTGCTGACTATCTCTAGCCAAACCATCTACGAAGCGCAAAGCGGTTGAATCTGATGATAGTGAGGATGGCCGAGATCTCTTTGATGAGCTCGAGCCTGACGAAAAAGATGCATTTCGGGAGGTCATGAAGATCTTTACTAGAGCCTTAAAGCGGAGGTCAAAAAGAGCTCGCCAGTCAAGGTCATCAAGAAAGAAATAAATCGCGATGCAGGTCTCCCTTTGTTTCATGTAATCTTAGGATATGGCGTAGGAGGAACTAATGGATTGATACCCCTCCTTCTCTTTAAGTATAACTCAGAAATACGTAATGACTTCACCTTGATATTATATATGCCTTCTTTATCTTGATCTCTTGATAAATTTTCTTGAATTATTTTCTTGAATTGACATAGGTATAGGGTATGAAGAGTATTGATCATCAGGGGTAGACCAGTTCTCGTCAGGGGTAGACCAGTCCGCGTCAGCACTACTAGGGGGGTCTCGTCATTTTATTTCAGCTCAACCCCCCGTTCGTCCCTCACGGGGGGTACGTTGACTAGCCAAATCGTCAGCGAGTAGCCAAATTTAGGTACATCATTACACACCAAAATCTTAGTGTAGACGAGGTACCTTCATTATAGCGGTTACACGGGGTCAGTTGCATCAGTATGTTTTAAACGAAAAGTCGGGCTGGTGTAAGTGACTGACCAAAGTGTCATTTTCTTCATTTCTAGCATCATTTCTAGTCATCTTCTTCATCTTTTGGGATTAGGAACTCGCCCTGACTATCCTCAATTACATCTTCCGTGATAACCTCAATTCCATCAGCTTCTAAAGTTAACTGTTTCCTTCTAAGAGCCCGTTCCTGTGCATTGAGAATAGTAAAGTTGACCGCTTCTTGGACCACTTCGGGGTCGTAGTTTCTCGGCCAAGATACTGTTCCTTGCCATCTATCGTCAGCTATTCCTAGCTGCTGAAGCTGGCGATGAAGAGCATATTTCTGAGTAAGCCACTTGTTGGAAGCAAGGTGAGAACGCCGGTCAGTTTTGGACCACCAGTTGCTGCGTTTTAGCTGCAACTGGCACAGCGGCTTCCAGCCTCTTCTAGGGTTACTATATATGACTTCGACCCTCACAGCTGTGATACTAGGCCTCACATGTGACCTGATATCACGCATCCAACGGCGTAAAAAGAGACCTTCATCTTGGCTGTCTCTTCGTAAAATTCGCTTCTTCTCATCGGCCTGTGCAGCTTGTCGATTGTGTTCATCATTTAGGACTCGAAGCCTTGCATCACCGACGCTAATTGGGCTGTATTTTGCTATGACTGACGTCTGTGTTTTGAGAGCTGACCGTCTCGTAGCCTTCTCTTTGAGACGATGTAGCTCCTGAGTGGCGGTAATACCATTCAAGGCCAGTGTGTTGCTAGCAGTGACTGCATGATCAAATACACGCATGACTGACGGGGTTAACGGCACCCCTGATGTAATTGATGTGTGTATACGAAGCATCACGTAGTCCTGATATCTCTCAATGGTCTTTATTTGTAGCGGTGGTGTAGCTGCCTCTCCCCAGTCATATGCTTCTAACGGCACCCTCTGAGGAGTTACAGGGGTTGTGAAGCTATTACAGCTCTGCTGTTGTGGTGTTGTGATTACTGATGAAGAGCCAACTTCAACATAACCCGGGAGACTCTCAACAGAGATGTCTGCGGTCAGTGATGACAGCGGATCCTTGAGGTTATCTAGGACCTTAGCTGGGTTGTGAGGAAATAGGCCGCATTTCTCCCAAGCAGAGATAATTGTGCTCTTCTGGAAGGTCCGTTCTCGTATCTCTTGGAGGTGGTATAGGAAGTCGGTCTTATTGAAGTCATTGGCGCCGTCAGCAATTTCCCTATAGAGGATGTGTTGATGCCACTGCTTGTATCCGTTGAAAAGACCAACATCGAGAGGCTGAAGGTAGTGTGTGAGATTTGGAGGCAGAGGGAACAGCTCGATGTTATGCTGACTGCAAAAATAGAAGATTTCATCTGTAAAGTGGCTCTCACAGCCATCCATGAGAAGGAGCCGCTTCTCTTCCAAGTTAGAAGGCTGTGTAAGTCGCTCAAAGTGCTTAGCCCACTCGAGAGCTAGTACGTCATTAACATACCTCTTGCTGCTAGTTGTGATCGTAGTATCGTTAGTGAGGCGATTTTGGACCTATTTAACGGGAATGTTAACACCGGGCATGATAATAAAGGGGGCAATAGAGGCACCAGCGGCTGAGATCGACTCAACCGCGGTCACAGAGACAGTGGTGTGTGCATCAGTTAGAATAGGCTGTTCAACCTCTCGAAAAGTCCACACGAAGGTGCCTTTCTGGAGATATCCGATCATAAAGCCTGTCTCATCGAAGTTCCATATATTCTCAACTTTGATGCCATTTTCACGCACAAATTCTTCAAAGGCGCAGAAGAAAGCCTCGATGTGGGCGCGGTCTTGCATCGCCTTCCGCTTCACATCTCGGGTCATAGACTGCTTCACGTAAAAGGTGCTTTTCCAGCGCTTCATGAAGCGCCTAGCCCAGCTATGTGAAGCTTTGCGTGAGTGGCCGGAAGCTCTTAGTATAGCATTCGCATTGTGTTGAAGAGATCGAAGTTGAATGTGGTGGCCCTGTGTGACCCGGCGATGTGCCCAACACAGGACTGCCTTCTCCTGCGTGTCGGTCAAGAGAGTGTTGTTCCCGCCATTTTTGGCGGTAGGCTTCGCTCCTTTAGTACGGCTCAGGAGTCTGTCATACGGGACCCTCAGGTCTCGCGATGCCGCAGCAACAGAGCGATAAAAACCTTCGTGGAAGAGCTCTGCTGCAGCAAGAGTGCGTTCCTCGAGGTTGCCGTCATTATGCCGCGAGAAGTCGGGCTTCCCGGTGCTGGGATTGATCCATCTTTGCACTGCAGATGCTCGAGGCTCTGGGCTACAAGATGATGTACTCTGATCACAAATTGACGAAGAACTCATAATGTTGTGGTGGTTTGAAGTTGTAGCGTTTTTGGTGGATGCTACCAAATTGAGGATGTGACGATGTAGGGTTGGTGTTGCAGATGTGTCACAGCGCGGGGTTGTGCATACGCCTTGTATGTAAAAGAGTTATTCGATTAAACATTGGTACTTAAATTTACTAGGGCGCGCACCTATTTTCTAGGTATCTTTCTTAGCTCGGTGAGTCGCTGACGATTTGGCTAGTCAACGTACCCCCCGTGAGGGACGAACGGGGGGTTGAGCTGAAATAAAATGACGAGACCCCCCTAGTAGTAGCATACGAGGCGGTATGAAAAGATTCTATTCTCCACTCTTGTGTATGAGACATTTCCTCCCCCTTTCTCTCTTCCCCACTTTTCTGTCCTGTATTACTCTTGTTGACTTATCCTCGGGGATGAGAGAACATGGTTCGGCCAACTCACGATCTATCTCTCTATCAATTCCAGCTTGAGGAATGGAGGTCTCACGATAAGCTCACTAACCAAGTGATTCTGCAGCGACTCGCATCTGACTACTCCCTAGAGATAAGTCAATCAACACTTTACCGGAACTTCCGTAAATGGGGCACTTCCTTTCGAACGTTGACGCAGGATACAGAGGAACTACGTGATCGTATCAAATACCTCTTCTTTCAACAGGTTCTCAATGATCACTTCCTCCTCCTCCAGCTCCATTCAGACGGTTTCATTATCACTAAGACAGGTCTGAGCCGTATACGTCGAGAACTCGGCCTTTGGCGCCGCCAAGATGAAGACAAAATCGCCCCCCAACTCGAAAAGTTACGAGAATTTTTCGAATCCCAGTCCCGGCGCAATACAATCCTCAATACATACGGCCGAACATATCTCTATACCTACGTGCGCCAACAAGGTCACGTACTCAGTCGGAAGGTACTCTATGATGCATTTCGAGAGTTCCATCCTGCGAGTGTTACAGATCGATGGAAGACGATGAGATACCAGCGCGTTGGATGGACTGCCCCAGGGCCTGACTTCATCTGGTCAATTGATGCACATGACAAGCTCAAGGCCTGGGGATTTGAGATCTACGCCTCAATTGATGCCTACTCGCGCTACATAACCTGGTTCTATATTGGAATCTCTGCTGGTACATCGCGTAGTGTAGCAGGCCAGTATCTACGTGTTCTCTCTGAGCGAGGGAAGATGCCGAATCTCGTCCGCTCTGACCGCGGAGGAGAAACTGTTCTCATGGCGGGTGCACATTGGTATCTCTCCCAAAACCGACTACGTGTGCGTGATGATGGACAAAGGGATCCCATTACATTCCGACAGTGCTGGATATATGGAAAAAGCACTAGTAATGAGAAGATTGAGAGTTGGTGGCTTCGCTTCTCTCGAGGAAGAGGAGGGGCTTGGCGGGTATGTTCTCTCTCTTGACTCATTACTGTAACTAACATAAAGTCTTTATCTACAGAAGTACTTCATAACCCTCACACAGACCAGTCATTTCTCTAATGACTCCCTCCCCGACCGCATTGCCTTACTCTATATCTACATGCCAATCCTGCGCAGGGAGTTTGCCGACTTTGTGTTGATGTGGAACTCCCACTACATTCGCAAGCAAAGCAACAGACCACATGTTGTGCCGGGCCAGCCTTTTGTACTATATCATCAACCTGAGGCTCATCAAGCTACGAACTTTGCTGAAGTCATTCCTCAAGACCGCCTCGAGGAGTTGCAGAATGCCTTTGCCGACGACCCCTATGACCTTGATGCATATTTGCCGGACGATACGATCGATGTGTGCGAAGTCTTTGCAGAAGAATATGGATATAAAGATGATCCTAAGGAAGAAGAGGAGGATAACGAGAGGGATTCTGGAGAAACACCACGCCTGTCTGCATACCTCGCCTTGCGTGATTATCTACAGCGTCATCTCGAGCAGAACACAGCCCCGAGTATTGGCCTTTTAGAGACGCCTGTTGGTGGCCTTGATCGACTTAGAGGCCATTTAGGAGACAATGGCATCAATGTGGAAGAACTCAGCCAAAGCGTTGCTGCGGCAGCTGCAGAGGATGATGCTTTTTAATTGAGCCTCATATATATGTATGTTCTTTCGAGTTCTCTTCATTGCGCACCTCCTCTTCGTTGCATACCTTCCCTTCTCTTGGTTGCGCAGCATCATCGCAATTACACAACCTGCACGCCAACCAGCCCCCCCCAAAAAAGGCAAAAACAGAATTCGAACCCAAGGCTTTCTTAAATAGCGCAAAAAGGTTACTTGTCAATTGAAACACAGGTCTTGAACTTATCGCAAGTGCACACACTAAGACCCGCTCTCACCCCTGATACTTTGGAGGCTTCACTTGCGATAAGTGTTACCGGTAAGGTATCATGAGGCCTTCAATGGCCAAAGATATCACACACTAATTGTAACCCTTTGTCATATCAGGACCGTGCTGTGCATATACATAAAGCGTCTGTAAGGGACTACAAGTATTCTCTTTGTTACGCAAATAGACTAAGAGTATTGATCACACACCCGTATCTAAAATTACAAGAATAAAGAGATCCTAACGCCACAACAGTACACCTTCCTATGTATCCTGCTGCACCTTCCATGACTTCTTGGATACACGAGATGATTGTCTCTTTGAAGGGGTTGTTTCAACCCTGATCTCCTCATCCCCAGCGACAACAATCTCGGCCAACAACTCATTCATAGTCTTATTCTCAACGTCAGAGAGGAAGGGGTCGTCATCCTCGATATGCTCGTCTTCGACGATGCGCTCTTGTTTGATTGCCGCCTTTATTGCCGATAGAGGCGTGGTTGGTTCCTGCTTAATAGCTTCTGACTTCACAGTCACAGTCCGCTCTTCTTTGACAGCTGGAAGGCGTGCCTTTGGGCGAGTGGCCTTTTTCTTCTTGGGACTTGGCGAGTATGTCTCTGAGTCAGCATCCGACATGATCTCGTAACCCCTCTTGGTCCTAGGCTTTGGTGGCATCTCCAAAGGGTCAAGTTCAAAGAAACGCCAGAAGCTCAGAGAAGCCTTAGAGCTCCTGATGTCCTTGTCAAAGTTGGTAGAAGTCTGGCGCAAGAGGTCGTAGAGTCTAGTAGTTGTGTAAGCCCTTTCGGGCAGTCGTGCTGGTCCAGGCGCGCTGCCACCTTTCTCGACGGAGAAGACAACTTCCCACGCATGCTTGCTCTGCTCTAGATCTAGTTGCTTGACTAGATAACGCACCATCGCCTCATGAGTCCCGTGGTCGCGATGGAGGACAACTGAAACATTGCCCATGCACTTCCGTACGGCTTTCGGCGCGCTGCTGTACTCAATGGTCTTAATGTCGCCAATATATTCATAGGCTCCAGCACCAACCCAGAATGTAGCTTGAACCCCAATAGCAATTGGGTCTTTGCGGCCCGTATTGGCAATGCTTTCTTGACGCCTAGCCATTGCGTCAAGCGTGGCATTTTCGATACCAGCGGGGAGTGAAGTCGAGCGATTGGTAGGAATAATCGTTGATGATAGTTTGCGGCGCTCGTTGGGGCGAGAAGTAGGGACGGCAGTAGGAGTAGGGGCATCTTCATCGTCGTCCTCCGTAAGATCAACACAATCAGTGATCGGTTTGAACTGTTGTCCACAATGGGGGCAGCAAACTGCACGGGGGTTCTTAGCTTGGAAGCTGGCATGCCTGCCTCCCCCAATAGAACAGAATGGAGTCAAAGTAGAAGGCATGATGGGCTTGTGTAAAAGAGACAGAAGGTTTACCTGTAGATAAGAATGGGAGGAAGAGTGATTTCAGTTCAAGTTCAAGTATAAGAAGAAGAGCACTCTCTTATAGTAGAGATGAGAATGGTAGTTTGTATATATGAAGCCGGTACAGTATGGTTACATACAGAGAGATATATTATTATAACAACTGGCAATTGTAGATCTGGGGTTGACTGGAGAACGGCAAATTGCGAATGGAATCATACGAGCAATACTGCCGTAGTGCCACTGCCTCAGCTCTGGCACTTGGCTGTTTTGGGAGCAGCGTATGTGGCCAAGAGTGATATTTATCTAAGCAGGAATGGGCTCACACGCCAGGGTCGACCTAAGAGACAATTGGCAAGGGTCTGTGAGGCTGTCACGATGTGTATTTGGGTAGCTGGGCGTGTATACGGCGTGTGACTGCTATAGCTATATCCTTGTAGCTGGTTTCAGTATAAGGATGTACAGGGACTCAGAGCGGGGATCATATGCAACTCAGAATATACACACATCCAATCAGACGCCTCACAGAATCAGAGCTCGTAACAGAGGCCAGGGGGGTTATGACCAGTTGATCCCTCCGGCCTTCCGTAATAGCGGGGTCCGGCGAACAGCCGAAGCCTCTCGGATCAGTATTGATCCGCGGTGCCCCACTTCGCCAACCTCAACATCGCTGACCAGCTGTCCCCAGATTTCCTGCTTTTCTCTCCCTAACCACTATTTACATTTGCGTGCCAGCCTTTGTAGACAGCGGTTCTCTACTGATTCATACATAATTTTAGGCTTCCCCGGGTCCTCTGACCCTCTGCTTCGCGGCCTTGTACCTACAGTCTCCACCCAGTGCTCAGCTTCGTCTGGTTAGGTCTCGATCCTGAATTGCCCAAGGATCTGAGTCAGTTCCATGAATTTGATTGCCTTTGTGGCTGCTTTGCGCCTCCCTTTTGCCGTAGTGGCAAAAATGCAACGCTGCCAGAATTTTTGAATGCGTGTTGAGCTGCCATTCCTGCCCAGCAGTTGAGGTGGGCCGACATTCAATCTCCACGATGAAGGCGTAGTCGGTGATATGCTCGATGTTATGTTGAGCGGCGTAGTGGAAAATCTGGGTTGTGAAGTGATTTTCACAGCCGTCCATGATGATGCATATGCCGGGTATAGGAAAAGCCAGCGCGGCAGCAGTCGCCGCTAATTGTCAGGCAAGTTTCCCAAACGCCAAGCTTGCCCACCGTAGTTCACCAGGGGCCAGAAGCTCTTGTAAGGTCCATCCTCGCCAGAACCAACGGCTAGAGAAGAACTTCGATCCCGGATCCCAAGAATTATCTCCACGAGGAACGGAACATCCGAAAGATAAGTGTAGCAGAAGGAAGCCTTCCTGACATCGGCTCCCTCCCTCTTCGAGCCCGTTTTATATCTCCGGCTTGTCAGCTTTCCGGCGGTGGGATTAGTTCAGGGATCACTTTTCTACTCCCTGGTTCGACTCTATAATAAGAATCAGGAACAGAAGGAGAAATCCTGGACAATGGCAGCGCCATAATCGGCACTATCATATATTGTCTATAAACGGCCTCCCTCAACGACTCAAGCTATCCGAGGAAACGCCCCTTGTTTTTAATATATCCACTCTCTATCCGAGCTGCCTGCAGATGTCTGACGAGCATCGGACAATATTCGGCTTTCAAGCATTTCACACTCGCTCAGGACGAAGAAGGCATGCGTCGTTGTATCTGCGTCGATTGGGGATGCCCTGAGGTATAGCTTGGTTAGAATAACAGTTTCAACCGCTGAACACACTCGTACATTGGGAGGGCAAGTTTAGACACAAGCGATCTGAATGAATTTATCCTTACTACCATTCTAATCCTTGGATTGATGCCCTCGTTAAAAAACCCAGTGGGAAAAAAGAGTGGCATCCATCCATTTGTCCCAGGCATAATCTTTCATTCCTGTGAGGGAACGATCATGTGACTTTCATACTTTATGAATAGTCTCATTTTATATTGTGTAAATAGCTTAAGTCAGAGTTTTCCTTACGAATCTCTTTCTCTCCTTGTAAACAATCATTTTGCCCAAGTCGCACTCGACCTCGTTCGTGCTCTTGTCCCGTCACAATTCCTTCACCCCATTCGGCACTCGCACCCGACCTCTACTACAGAACCTTAACGCATTGCACTTTGGTCCCGAGACCGAGGACAGTAAGAACCTCATTGTATCAAGTAGCATCGTCATGTCCGGATCCTTTCCGCATGGGGCGAATATCCCTCTTTGTATCTCTATGCTGCCTAGCCGGACATGGCTATGTAGCCTCCTTCCAGGTTCACAACATCACATGTGTGACACGCTATCTTCATGCAGGCCGGCCTGATTGACTCAGGGAGCCACCAGCTACTACTGAATGATACCATACCTGTTCACGGCTACTAGCAGGGGCTGCCACCGAATGTTCGGTTCTATGTTGAGGACGTTGAGCAAGACTGGGTCGAGTCTGAGGGTTACGACCTCATCCACTGTCGCTACATGGCCGGCTCCATCGCAGACTGGCCGGCGCTCGTTTGCCAAATCTATGAGAACCTAAAGCCAGGTGGGTGGGTGGAGCTTCAGGAAACCATCAATGCAATTTACTCAGACGACGAAACTCTCAAACCTGACAACGCCCTCGTCAGGCTGACTGACAACCTCAAGAAAGCCCATGATATGATCGGCCGCACGCTGGATCCCGCTCCTAAATTCAAGGGCTGGCTGGAGACGACGGGCTTCTGCCACATTACGGAGCAAAAATTCAAGCTTCCCGTAGGCATGTGGCCCAAGGACAGGCGACTGAAAGAGATCGGGGCCTGCTTTAGAACGTTCGCGTGTTACTTAAACTTTGGTTAATTGCAGTACTATACTAGACCCCTCCGCATTTGCGTTGCGGCATTGGGAAAACCCAAAGGGAAAACCAATGCCGAGGGAGAAACAGATTCAAGAAACCAGGGCCATGCCCAAAGTGAAACGACCAACCATCGCCAAGCCAGAAACCTCATAGAAAGGAGTGGTTATAATTCTCAAGTGGCCCAAAGGCTCACACAAGATAAAACCCAAGTAGCCCTCAAGTCAATTTCCCAACATCCTAACTGCTTGCCACTCCTCTCCAAGTCGACAAGATCCTAGTCGCGCATTCAAAGCACCGAAACACAGTTGAGAAAGTTGAGATTCTGGTTTTCTGTGTTACCATCTGGGAAACGGAAGTCTGCAAAGAAAAGAAAGAACTTACCCCATCGACATCGCAGCAGCACTTCTTCCCGCGTTGGCAGCTGCTGATGCCACCGCGAGCCTCAATATCAGCTGGAGCGGCAATGGCAATGACAGCCATGGTGAGGGCGGAGAGAGCAACAGAGGCCTTCATTTTGATTGTAAGAGGTTGGTTTGGTAAAAATTTGTTGGGGGATTGGAGCTTGTGGAGGATGCTGTGGATGCTGGTGAAGTAAAAGTTGGAGTCAAGGTGGGAGTCGAAGGGGGTTTATATAGACGAAGTCGAGTACGATCAATACAGGTTTATGTCCACCATGCAAGTGCTGGAGTTACATCACATACTGGCAGCTACGCCGATGAGGCCATAAAAGCTCAACATTACATGTGGCTTGGCAGGTTGAAAAATGTCTTGTAAGAGTTTAAGAATATGGGAAAGATCTACATTCAGAACGCATCCTTGAACCTAAATTTAGAGGACTAAAATGATTGATTCGAAAATTTGTCATCGTGGCTTGCGATATGAAATAATACAACTATCCCATATCCATAAACTGCTCGGTAAACTCCGTCGACTTATCTATGCATGCATTAGTTAGACATCAGCCACTACAACATTGTTCCCACGCATATACCGGATATAGGAAAAGCCAACGCGGCAGCAGTCGCTGCTAATTACCAAGCAAGTTTCCCAACGTCAAGCCTGTCCTCATAGAGCATCAGCGGCGCTATTACCCTCGACCCCAAAAGCAAGGAGATCATTCTCGGCAACGTCATCATTAGCATTGACACCGTTCAGTATAATCTTGGATGGCAGTTATTGGAGGCTTTTCTCCGGCAAGACTTGCTGTTACTCTTTAGGGCTCAAACGGTACTAGCGCAATTGAAAAGCTTTCGTGGCCAGCCGCTGAATAGAAGATGATAACACCGGAAGCAGAAGAGATATTGAAAAAGATACTAAACGCACGTATAGCCAAGAACCAATATTAGAAGGCAAGAATGGAATATTACGTCAAGTAGAAAGACCACCCTCCTTTGTGGTGGCCTCAATGGGACCTAATACCTGGCAGTAAGGCTTTGCTCTATGAATTCCATAACCAGAACCCAGATCGGCAATTACCATTATAGCGTCATAGGAGCTCCTAGCTACGGAGGTGGGTTGTATTGACGACCCTCAATGTAGCACCCAACGAACTCCCCGGTCCAGTATCTCCTGTGCCCCCCTTGTTCATCCGTTTTAGCGCGGTGCCACTCGGATCATCGGCGACTAACGGCGGGACGGGCCAAGGAGGGATCAAGAATATACGGTCCAACTTACGGAAATGCACCGCAAAGGAGCCAACTACATGGGATTTGTAAACTTTCCGTTGGTGGTATCCACCAGTAAACATGCACAACCGTCGTACGAGAGGGGCCTTTTCATGACGTGCGAAGTGAAGGAGGCGATAATCATTCCCTTTGCTGGGATGGTGTATTTTGAATCCTCTTACACCTCAATGATGGGATAACCGATCCCAGAAAAGGCAATGATTATCGCTTCCTACAGCTCGCATGTGATGAAAGGCTGCAATCTCCACAAGCATAACGTTGTCCCATGTACTATCAGCAGGTCCAGGCTACCGGTATGTAATCTGATTCCCTGTTGGGATCCAGATGATAGAACAACACGATTTTCTCTTCGGAAAGTGTGCCTTGGCATTACATTGACACAATCTGCCCTCAATTGGCGTATACATACATACTGTTACTCAAAATAATAACTTTTGTCACAGCAGAGGTGTGCCCTTTGGAATCAGAGTGACTTGATCATTGGGGAGGTAGGGCTTCCCAGAGAAGCCAATAAGGAGCGTATTGTGGGGCCGGTTGCAGTGGCAATCCTGTTTCAAGGCAGCCCGGTGGTTGGGATCGAGTTTTCAACATCCCAGCCAAGATACTGAACCAAATCTCAACGTTCAACTGATTGCTGTGGTTGGTTCGGAAAGTGCCGTTGCAATGCCGATGGCTTGCTGACGAATTCGTGCATGCCGTCAGATACAAGTCCTTCATCGGCGGCACGTGCCGACCGCCTCAATCAGTGCCTGACTACTGGTCAGCTCCGGTGGCCAACATCCAATCATAATTTTTTGTCTCAGCCTCAACGCCAACTATTCAAACCTTAACCTCATGCCTGCTTCTTCCACGGCAATCGACTCACCCGCGGAATTATCCTACGTCGTGGCTCGTCTCAAGTCTTTAAGTTGCCAGGGCAGCGCGTGCTATGCCGAAAGGTGCCCGCGAGATTCTGATGATTTGTGACTTCGCGAATCCATTAGTGAATGATCTCCAATTTACTCTACCCTGCTGCATTCGTCATTCATTTCTGCGAGCGCATTCAGGCTGGCCGAAGGCAGGCGGGCGCCTCCGTGGAATATGTCTTTCGGAATGGTGTTCGTGGAAGCCGACCTCGCCAGACCTGGCAAGTTCGCCTGTACAGGTCCGAAAACTCTGTGATAGTAAGTTCCCGCGCGAATTGCATGGACTAGGATCACAGGCGACGGCACGGCGGTCAGACATGCTCAACAAAGTTCATGTGCTTTCTCGTATACGGCAACCTCCGTACGCCACCGAAGGACTAGCTCCCCCAGTAATCTCCCAGAAAATGGGGACTATTAGTGCGATGATCGTACGCTTCCTCCCAGCCTAGTGCGACAAAGGTTTAAGTCCCTGCCTGCCTACGACTCCACCCGCTCCCCCGCAGTCAACCTCCCTGTTGCGTTGCGCTTTATCACGCTAAACGCAGCGGTACTTGGGACTTTATGCGTATTAGCATTGTGTGCACCTCGCAAGATTTGCGAGAGTCGAGCTTGCGTTTCAACAGCTTGTGTGGTGAGGGGAGAGGGAACTGCGGAAGGATCCTGAGGGTGAGTGCCGAAGAGGCTTCGCATGTTGAAGCCCGGCTCTGTTGCGGCTTAGACTTCCGCTTGAGATGAGGGCCGCAGCCAGAGACGCTTTCGTGCATATCGGAAGGGTTGGCGCGACACAGTGCATCCATATTTTGGGAGACAAGCAACGGCTGGTGGTGAGAACGAGCACGAGAGTATGTTTCGTTGAGCCGCTTGCTCCTATCAATTTCCGCTACCAGCAGCGGTCTTCCATGACCGCTGATATGGGACGCCCCGGTGGGCAAACTATTCTGAAAGGGCACATCGGGACAGTTGTACTTAGTGCGCAAGGGACGGGCCGCTCGGCCCTGCTATCGGTTCGTCAGCATTGCGTTCTGTGACGGAAGAGGCTGAAGTCAGCATCACATTCATCATAAACTTGCACAAAAACAGGATGAAAGAGCTTTGTGAACCTATGGCATGGATTCGCATGTGATTCTAAAATCTCACCGAGGGGACATGGGTCTTGTAGCTATCGGAAGTTGCCGTGCGGTCTCTTCGTCACGCACGTTCACAGAGACGGAAGTGATCGACAGAGTGACCGACGGAACGAGAGCTCCTAGGCTACGTCTCGTCTGACGACTTCAAACGCAGGCCACATTTCAAGTCGCAGTTCAATTTAACTAAATTTAACTCAATTCAGCGGCCTACCGGCTCAACGAATTCAGTCTGCGAATAGCATTAAATTGAACTCGATGGAGGTCTAGATTAACCCAGTCTTCCAGCTTAGAGTGGCTGATATGCGGCTCAATGTCCCGCCCTTGCTCGATCTCCGGGGCCAAGCTACGACCAATTCGGCACTTCTGCTACTTGTGCCCCTTTTACCGTCAAATGGAACCCGGAGCGGGGCCTGAGCCGCATCCCCTTGGGAGGATTTTCTAACCAATGAGCTTGATTGTCATGCGGGAAGGCTTTTTTTGTGGAAAGACGCCAACCCCAAAATGAGCCAGGTACACGTAACTTTCCCTCTGCACGATGTGATTGGCAAGCTGTCACTCATATGACAACGGCACTTTCCGAAGCAAGCGCCGACCACGGAAGTTAGCTGATATGTTACGATTGGTTCAGTGTATTGCCAGAGGTGTTGACAACTCGTTCCTGACCACTAGACTACCTGGGACCAAGATTGTTACTGTAACCGGCTTCATGCAGTCAAAATACACTCGTCATCGAGATTCTCCAAGAAGCCCTACTTACCTAGTTTTGCTCGTGGAGACGGCTGTCTCGGTGAGCAGCCTCTCTATCACATGCAAGCTGCAGGAGGAAGTGATAATTATTGGCTTTGTGGGATAGTTTTATGATGATGATAGCTCGACTGCTCTCTGTGGAGATAGAGGATGTTAGATGATCGACGCGGTAAGATCTAATTACATAAGATCTGCAAACTTTCCGTTAGTCTGCTAGTAAATATACATAACTGTCAATGAGAGAGGAGCTCCCGTGTGGTGCATTTCTGTAATGTCAAGTCGAGCCGCGTGACCTTAATCCCTCTTCCGCCTTGGCCGGCCCCGTCGCTAGCTTGCGGACGATCCGACTGGCGCCGCGTTAAAACAGATCAACAAGGGGCGCACGGGAGATACTGGACCGAAACTAGTAAGCCTGGTTTAAAGTTTCTACAGACTTCAGCTTTGCACAATTAAAGCTGCGTACAAAGTGTAGTCACATAGTCTTCGATAGAAACTTGATCGTATTCGAAGTAATCAGGATCTCTAGCATTGAAGAGAAAAGAGCGATCTCTGGATCCCGGTTGGATATGACGTCGAGTTCCACTGGCGCGCCTGCGATTTGAGTTCACCACCTTGTGTCACGCCGGAGTTTGCCGAAAGCTCATGTATGCAGGGCATCGAGCTAGTGCGAACCGCAGCACTGCCCTCAAATCAATCAAATCAAATCCCGAGTCATATTTGGAATAACGTACATGATAAGCGTGCGGTCAAAACAAGCGTGCGGTCAATTTCAAAATCCCATACAAAACGCCGTTTTTGACCCCCTTACAAAAACCATAAGTTTTTAATAAAACTTAATGAGATATTGCCTGTATATTTTACTTTAATACTGTAATGAGTTAATATTTTCCAGAGAATTTATATAACTTTTATTAGAGAGTTATTTTACATTCTCGTTTATAAGAATACTTTATACTGAAGTTTTGAAATAATTTCTCAAATTAAATTACATAAAATCTGAGAAAAGTATCACTCTATTAATATACTACATCAAAATATACAGGTAATATTTCATTAAGTTTTATTAAAAACTGATGGTTTTTGCAAGGGGGTTGAAAACGGCGTTTTGTATGGGATTTTGAAATTGACCGTATGCTTGTTTTGACCGCATGCTTATCATGTACGTTATTTGATTTGATTAAATATTCCAAACAACAATCAAATATTTCAAATGCCAACATCTGTGCTCTCCATACTGCTCTCCATGTTTCTTGGCATCCTCCGGACGGGTGGGGTGGCTTAGACACTGATGGTTGGATGCCACTCAGACTGCATAATATGCTAACTAACCAAATTAGCGGCCAAACCTGGCGATACTAATCTGGTGGTTGGGATATTTGATCGGGTATCTTCATCGAGACTGTTCCGTTCCGCCAAGTCTCGGAATTCCTCCACTTCCTTCCCTTCCCTTCCCTTCGTTCACAGTGACTTATTCTTTATGTGACTTGTCCTATCTCGAGTGGTGTTTCCGCAAGTATTCTGACTTCTTGACTTCTCGCCATCCTCGCTCCCGCTGGTCAGACGCCGACGCTCCTCCTCGTACCAAGTACTTAGGGCCTTGCCGTCGAACATTACTTCGTCGTCTTCGATGGCGGTGGGTTGGATCCAAGTGTAGGCGTCTAGGTCGACTTCTGGGACAGAGGGGTCTAGGGCTTGGAGACCTGGGAGGAGGTAGCAAGTTGTTTCTGGTTCTGAAGGTGGAGGAGTCATGGCGACGGTAGATATGTGGAGTCGATTCAGGATGATGTTCGAAGTGGTGAAGATGTTGACTGAAGGAAGATCATGCTGTTTAGGAAATGTGCTGTGGGGTTGGCGTTTTGCTTCTTTTAATCCTAGGTCTGACCTGCGCGAGATATGGAGTTCGTCGTCGAGTATGCAGCCTTTGTTTGGGACGACGAACAAAGGATCAGACGATCAGAGGATGACTGAAGAGAGCGTGTCAAGATCAGGTTTTTTTTATTTTTAATCCTGTGTCTGGAACTAGTACTGTGATGATGGATATCTAATGTTGGCCTGGTGACTTCATCAACTCGCTGTGCCTTGTATTATCTGAAATCCTTTTTTCTTTTTTGACCTCCTTCGTTTTGATGTTTATAGTGGCGATTTACTGTGGATATGTATAGACTAACATCCCCTGTTCTACAAAACCGCGTTTTTGTGCATGTGTTTGCCACAGTTCTTGATGTAAATTGGGGCATCATGTAGGCTAGGTGGCTTGCATCATCAGACCGGACTTGGGACGGTGGGTGTGTGGCCAAAGTGGTGACGGAATACTGTGTTTAACTACAGTTCTGATCTAACGGAGTTAAATCTTGGCGTCTGAGGGGTACTATGCAGATATCCATCCCGTGCCGCTGCTCGATCTTTAGAGGTAACAATATGATTGGCTGCATTTAGGTGATGACGTAACCTCGTTGAACTGCCGACATGGCTGGTGTTGCCAACATGCGACAGAGGCTAGCCAAAGGAAGACTCTTGACGACGGGGAAGCGCTCGTCGATGCGGTCGAGCGACTTGGGGAGGGTTGAGGAACTGCTTCACCACGCAACCGAGCATATGTACACCGTCACCCGGAGCCAGAGGGTCCTTGAAGAGGGAAAATCTCAGCTCCTGGGACTGTGGCGCCATTTTCTCTGTCGTCCCGGTGTTGTCTGTAAGCTGCAAGGGCTGCGGTTTTTAAGTTCGCAGTGATTGTGATTGTGGTGGCCACGCGGCATTCACCGCATCAATCCTGGGTGGCCGTTCTTTCCTCTGCTTGAGAGAAGAGACTGGGCCTTCGAGCCTCATCGTATTCACCTTTCATTGTGTCGCATCAAGCCGAGCTTCACCTGGCTCAACTCACGAATCAGCCTTCAGATTGCCTGACACCTGTCACCAAGATGGCGCATCAAAGCACAAACAAGCAAATAACCTATCGCATCGAATGTGCACTTCCGCGGACAATCTTGCTTAATCCTGAGTGATTGAGGGAGCCATTTATTTCTCGTAATATTTATTACAGCCTGTCACGAAGACGGTGAAATTCAAATGATGCGGTTGCAAAACGGACCGTGGTGCATCTCAAACCAAGCATCGTTGTTGACAGTTGAATCAATATAGCATCGTCGAATCTCCAGAGATGGCTTTCCCCATTCGCGTCGCCGAATTGGCTGAACCAGGAAGGCAAGGCTCCGACCGAGATTGCTAGCCATTCAACACCTCTCGCCGCTGTCGACGTCTGGTGAGGCAGCTCAGCCATTTGCTTTAATTACTGAACCTTGCTGTACGAATTGGTGATCACATCGGGTTCAATTTGCCTCCGAAGCTATTTCTTCACTGACAAATTCAAATTTCCCGCGGGAAGCTTATTTTTTAATCCATGTCTACAATTACTCATGGTAGAAACACCGGAGGTAATTTGAAGCCGCTGCGATGCATAGTATTTCTCTTTCGTCTTGGCATGAGAGCAGTCCGATTTTTCTTAAAGAGGACTGCTTTCGCTTCCAAAGCTCACAAGTGATTTTCGTCCACACCGCCCAAGCACTCTAATCCGAGAAGGCTCAATTCATCTCACCCAGGGTTCCGCTCGAGAAGGGGCACAAGGGCATAGTTAGGCCCCGGAGGTCAAGCAAGGGGGACATGGAGCCTCATATCAGCCATCTAGAGCTGGAAGATTGAGTTATTCTAGACCTCAATCGAGTTCAATTTAAAGCTATTCGCAGATTGGATTGCGTTGAGCTGGTCGGCCGCCGAATTGAGTTGAATTGAGTTGAATTGGGGCCTCAATTCCTCAATTCAAGCTGGATTGAACTGCGACTTGAATTGTGGCCTGCGCTGAAGTCGTCAGACGTAGCTCAGGAGCTCTCGTCCCGTCGATCACTTCCGTCTCCGTGAACGTGCGTGACGAAGAGACAGCACGGCAACTTCCGATAGCCGCAAGACTCGTGTCCCTTCCGTGAGATGTTAGAATCACATGCGAATCCAGGCCATAGGCCCACAAATCTCTGTCATCCTGTTTTTGCGCAAATTCGTGATGAATGTGATGCCGTCTTCAGCCTCTTCTGTCGCAGAACTGACGAACAGATAGTGCTCTGGCTTGTTCCACCCGGACATCCTGGAAACGGCTCTCCGGCCCGGCAGCGTCGTTTGCCGAATCTCAATATTGGCATTTACTGCCTTTGTATGCCGTAAGTCTGCACTGGGGTCAGGGCTGCTTGGTCGTGATCCCAGCGGTGTGGGACTGCAGATCCTTCTAACTGCCGACATGAGACGAAGGTTTTGATAGTTTGCGTTGAGGCTGAGCCAACAAGATATGATTGGATGTTGGTTCTTATTCGCGCAATCAAGCCCGCAAAAGAGCTACCCGGTGGGTCGACCTTATCCCCCACCTCTCCTCGCCGGAGAGGTGGTAACATTACCCGTATCCGCGTCGCATGCGTATCCAGCTTTTCCAGCTTCACTAATACATTTGAATACCACCACGTCAGCCAATTCAATTAAAAAATATATCATCATATAGCCAGCGTTCTAGTTTAGTACATATCTCGACCTAGTCAAATTTCCGCCAGGTTTGGTGTTGTCATTAGGTTGTAAAGTTGGCACTCAGTGACGCCGCTGCGACGGCGGCGTGGGCAATTTGACGACCGTAGCATAGTAATTTGGGTACCGCTGTCAGTCATTTCAAGCTTGCGGCTGCAAATCCTCCTAAAGCTAGCCACATCTAATATCATTAGAAAGAGCAGAAAAAGCTCTTTCTAATGATATATATATTACTATATGAGGAGCTTGCTAATAGAGTGTAAAGGTGCGATTTCTACTGTGGTCTCTGCAATAGCTGCTTTAGTGGGGTCTTTGCGTTATCTATGTGAAAAAAGACGGAATTGGGCAATGTGGGCTTAAATGGCATTGAAATTAGCTGAAATTTGAATTATAATGAGATTGATGTATAGATATGTTATGATTTCAATCTGAAGTCAAATGGGCTTAAATTGGTGATGCTGGCTGGACTACAAGTTGGCAACAGGCGACTTCTACAGTGATCAATAGTGCAGGGCCCCCTTAACTTGTCTGTGTGGTGTCGTCACCAGCCAGATAGCTACGGACAGTACGAGCCGCAGCATTACGGAATTAATCTATGATTTTTAATATAGTGAGAATGACACTTAAATATGCTAGGGTTCAAATTTGAAGTTAAATAGACTTAAATTGGTGATGCTGGCTTATACAGAGGTTGGAAAAGCTGGATACGCATGCGACGCGGTTATGGGTATTGTTACCCCCCTCTCCGGTGAGGAGAGGGGCAGCCAAAGCTAGCGAAGTCTGCTTAGTCAAGCCCCCGGGTAACTGCACGGAATCTGTATACTCTTCATTGGTGATAGTCCACCACTAAACATACACAAGGTCGAAGGAGAGCAGGCTTTTCATTACATGCGAACTGAAGGAAGCGATAATCATTGCCTTTGCTGGGATATTTAATGACAATCACACCTCCACTGGTCTCTACATATACAGATGGTGTGTGTCTTGGATCATCTTACCCTATTGAGAGCCAGCAAAGGCAATGGTTATCGCTTTCTGCAGCATGCGGGGGATGAAAAGCCTGTCACTGCGACAGCAATCTCCACAAGGATAACGCGGTCCCATGCCACTAGCAGCAGGCCCAGACCATGTGACAATGATTCTCCGTAGGAATTCAGGTAACAGAACAGCACAACTATTTCCAGGAGGTGTGCCTTGGAATTATATTGACTCAAGCCGCCCTTAATTGGCATATACATATACATATCTGCTGTTATTTAAAACATCACCGGTTTTCACAGCAGGTATATGTCCGTTAGAACTAAGTGACTTTAATATTAAGAAGGTAGTCCAGAGCTTCCTGGAGAAGCCACAAGGGGCGTATTTAGGAGCCAGTGGCAGTGGAAATCCTGGTCCCAGGCAATCAGCCCGGTGGTTAGGAACCAGTTATCGACACCGAAGCCAAGATGGTCCACCAATCCTCAGTATTGAAATCGACTTAGGTGGTTGGTTCGGAAGATGCCATTGCGAATTCGCACAAGTGATAGGTGGCTTGCTGGAGATGATGCATATGGCAAGTTCCACGCGCTTGGACCATATCGCATTGACGCATCCGCTAGTGCCTTCGCACTTGTCCCAAGTCGTGACTGACAGCACAGAGGCCCGACCAGTTTTGGTGTGCAATTCCAGAACGTGACGTTGGACAACCTTGATCTCCTCCCCGCCGGACCTCCAGCCAACTACGCAGTAATCCCATCTCACGCCCCCGAACATAATGTTGGATACGCGGTGTGTCTTTAGTGAAGATTCGGGATAGCCAGATAAATGTAGATCAATTCTTGATGATATGTTTGGTTGTTCTTGATGTTCTTGTTCTCGTTGACTCTCGTCTCCACTTCCTCTGAAGCGGGGTTTTATCATCATCTTCAGTCATAGATGCAGATATCCCAGTATTCTGATACCTGAATAACCTCTTTGATGCATTGCACAGCCACAATCTAACATAAGGTCAGGATATCGATCTATCCGAGGTTTCGTCATACAGGGTCATCATCCAACAAATGGTGTTGGATTATGGACCTGATTACCACTGGTTATAGCAATACCTAGGGTACCTTATACTTTTGGCTCAGCGGTTAATCTAACAAATGGTATTCATTTTAGTCCAGATTTGATAGATTCGCCATTGCATGGTTCACAAACCAAGATAACAAGATATAACCCAGAAACTATCCAATTGCCAAGACACAGCGCAGGCTTCTGCGCTGTCCGTCATACGTACGTATTCAAGACGTGCCCACCGTCCAAAGCTGAGGCCGTCACGGCGCCCGGATATATCGTCACCATAACAGTAGAAACTAGTAGTACAATCGCCCCCTCTTCCTCGTCTGCCTCCTCTCTCCTGTGTTCTTGCCCGTCTTTCATCTCCTTCTGCCAATGATATAACAATGCATGTTGCCTTCTGCGTGCCGATAACTTGGGGGTCCTCGAATCTCAAACAGAAAGCGATCGCTTCGAAACGTAGATATCAGGACATGCGTGTCCTGTCCTGGGAAAAATAAAAAGACAACTGACTCCCCAAACGCTGAATGCGAAGGGTATCGATAGGTAGGTCCAGCACTCCGCCTAGGCCCGTCCGAGAGACACCCCTCAAATAAACAAGTTCCCACTAGATGGTGTTGGGGAGGAGACTGCAAAAAGGAGTCACCCTCCCGTGGAAACGATCGACTCGAATGATATACACCGCCGTTACCTTCCCCCGTCCTAGCCAGTCGGAATCCCCTCCGCCGCCAGCCTTTTGTGGTCCGTTTCTCTATACCGCGCTTGCCGTGATGTAGTAATATTTCCAGGTGATAAAACAAAAAACACTTTGAATAAATCCAGTAGGGTGTCCGAAGAACCCGTTGCTAAACCGCGATTCGTCGTGACACCAACGTTTGTGATGATGAGCGAGTGCTGTACTTGGGCGTGTGTTCGTAAAGTATAATAAATTTGATGACTCCGGAGCAGCATCGTGAAGCTGGGCCGTTCATCGACTTTGAATATAATCGTGTCGCGTGAGCAATTAGTTAGAGTGGTGGTCCTCAGACCCAGCTTCCGAACGGGCTTCGCCACGGTGAACCTTCCTGTGTCGTCGAAGGTTGGAGACGATCGAAAAGTGTCGGCCACAGCCCTCAACCTCACAAGCAAAGGCTAGTAGATCTTTAGCAGGAATTCTCGGCCACGCCACACAAAACATTGCGTCAGAGATACGGGTACGTACGCTTCTCGCCAGTATGGCTGTACATGTGAGTCTGCAGGGAACTCGGTCGAGCAAATCGATTGTCGCACAGCTTGCACTTGTGCTTCTTCTGGGTGCTGGAGGAGACTTTGGAACTGAACTGTCCCATTATTGACTGGGGGGCTGGGCGGATCTGGGAAGCCATCAACCCCTGGGGTCGAGGGAGGACCCGCGAGTTGACGGATTCGATGTCTGAACCAGCAGTTGAGTAATCGGAGACCGAGTCGCCATAGTGGGAGCTGAAGTTACCAGTGGAGGAGATGGAGGAACTGGTGGAGTGCGTGGAAGGAAAACGGTATGAATCCACAGAAGACCTGTCGCTCCGGGCACCATAGATGTTCCTGGGCGTTTCTTGGCTCATGGCTAGCATGCCGTGGCTTGCATCAAGAGCATCCGCGAAGCTCCTTCGGTCATCATGTGGGAGACTACTAAGTTGAGTGTCAGCTATCTGGCTCATGAGACGAAATCTGGTGTCTGTAGGGTTCTCGAGCAACTCTCGATGAACACTGGGTGGTACTGACTGCTGAGAGAACCGCCTGGCATGGTCTACATCAGGGGCGAGTGTGAAGTGTGGTGGCCGAACGGGGGCGGGGGCGTAACCCATGGCCTCGTAAGGGGCAACAGAAGTAGGTGCGAAATGGGCGTTGACTGGGGAAGCCGACGTTGTGTACGTCGCGTCCCCGCATGCGGCTGATGTAGTTTGCATGCGGCTGGTGCTGAGGAGATCTTGGGGCACATTGAGTAAGTCCTGATGCTCGTAGATACCGGCAATTGAAGGAGAAGGGCTGAGGCTACCTGCGGAAGTGTTGGCGACAGGCATTGAGCCGTACGATGCAATAGACGAGGCACTGCTGGTGCTGGCGCGGCAGCTATGCGGCGGCTTGCCAGCCATCATATTGGGGTTGAGAGCCTGATGGTTGCCGACGAAGAGACCGCCACCCGGCGGGGCGGGTTGAGGCGGTGACGATGTCGAGGACCATGGGTTTGAGAAAGCGGGAGGTTGTGCAGGTGCCGAATAGTCATAGTTCAACGAAGGCCCAAACCGCTGCTGTGCCGTGTCGAGAGTCATGGTCATGTTGGCGTGTGAACAAGACCATGTAAAGTTGAGGATGAGATGAGTGACCGAGTGAGCATAGATCGTTTGATGATTGTATTGGGAAAAAAAGGTTTGTTGATCAGATGCGGGATCCCGACTAGAGAAAAAGCCAAGTCGGTCACACAGATCAAAGACCAGATGATCGATTTGGTTTGGGGAAATATGGAGGTTTTGTCGGGGCAAAGGTGGGATCAGCGAAGTCTTAAGTGTCTGGGTGTGAATTGAAGTGCGTCAATTCGCCTTCTGAAGCGGGCTGGGCAGCGGGAGAGCAGTGGAGTTCCCTGTCCCTCTGGGACTCTGGGTTAAGTGTTCGGCAGGCCGATGTCCTTTCGCAATGGCTGAGGTGACAGGGTTGGTGCGATGAAGTGGGGTCGTACGACCAAGTAGTGGACCAGGGGGTTGTGGGCTGCATAAGATGATGGCCGCTCAAATCAATTTTGACAGCCACGGCACCCAGATAGCGTCCGCGGTACCAAGACGATGCAAAGGTCATCAAGGTCTCCAGAGGCTTCGGTCAGAATGTCCTGTATGGATGCGCCAGGATGTGTTGACCTCTCTGATCGGTTTGAGATGGTGTGGGTGAACAAGGATAGTCCCATCTAGCTTTCTGGCTGGGATTGGAAATGTGTGCAAAATTTAAGTTAATGGTTTGGGACGGACGACGAGGCAACGGCTTATACATGTCTCCCTCGAGAGGACGAACGCAAATGATGTCGACACCGAGTGAACTCTGTGGATTCTGTGGATCGAAAAGGGGGGTGGAAGATGGTGACGGGGTTACGGGGTTACGGGGACCAGGGAGGGGGTGAGCCATCCGCGACGGACTGAGATGGAGGATGGAGCAGGGTGGTGGGTAAGGCTACGTACGGACCGTCGAGTCGCAGGTCATGGGGGAGTCGGGGGAGGATCCCACGTCAACAAGCAAAGCTTGAGCTAAGATGTACCAGATACCTTCTGGACGACCCAAAACATCTGGGAGGCATCAAGCCGCCAGCCACCCTGTCGCGGGAGGGTGTCGACCCATCAGAGCCCTGACGTAAGGAATCAAAAGGGGTGTCGTTTGGGTGTGGGACTGTGGGACCCCCGGACGAGACAAGAAACACAGGGGTGCACGAAACTTTCCATATGAACGATTTGGGGAGCAAGCTATCACTCATACGGCTTTGCAACGGCACTTTCCTACCACGGAAATTAGCTGAATATTGAGGATTGGTTCAGCATCTTGGCTCAGGTGTTAACAACTCGTTCCCAACCACCGGGCTGCCTGGGACCAGGATTGTTACTGCAACCGGCTCCATGCAGCAAAATAGCACTCCTCATCTGGGTTCTTCGGAAAGCCCCACTTGCCCAATGTTTGAGTCGCTCAATTCTAAAAGGCAAACCTCTGCTGTCACAAACGACATTGTTTTGAATAACAGCATACATGTATATCCCGATTGAGGGCAGATTGTGTCAATATAATGCTAAGGCACACTTTCCCATAAAAATCGTGCTGTTCCATTGTCTGGATCCCCAGAGAGAAGGCCTGCTGCTGGTGGATGGGACTACGTTATGCTCGTGGATACGGCTCTCCGTGAACAGCCTTTTCATCACATGCAAGCTGCAGGAAGTGACAATCATTGCCTTTGTGTGGGACGGAGGGGCGGCCGCAAAATCCCTCCCGTGTGTAATACGGCTAGAAACAGGCGCGTAGCCTACCAATCATCAGCGCCATCTTACTGCGGATTACGTCCAGGAGGGCTCGGCGAAAGATAACTTGGGTAATTCGAAGGCGTGCTTGAGGCTTCGTGGGGGAAGAGGCCGCCGTCGTGTCGGGAAGGGTTAAACACAACGCAAGCAATGCAGGGTGATATATGCGATGCCAGACGCGTGCGTCGTGTGGTCGCGTCTTCGTCTTTGAAGAGGAGCTAACCGCGACCATTAGATGTACCTGAAGCACGATACTATGAAGCGCAACGCGGCGTAAAGAGTTATGCATATCTAAGATCTTCTCGCTCGAAAGCCTTGTTGATCTCCGACCATCGCCCGTCCGTCCCCCGACGAGCACGTCCTCCTGCCGTGTGACCAGACTCCCGCCAACACCACCAGCTGCCCTGGCCGTCCCCTAAGATGACAATTGAGCAAAGCCCAGTCCTGCTCGAGGCTATCTCAAACCGAAGTGCATCGTACCGGCGTGATACTGACTCCCGCCGCCCGTGTTGTTGTACTGAATGCTAAAGCCCGTATTGTCGAGTTGGGGACCAGAGCCGTAATGGTGGAACTGATTGCCTCCCTCGTCAGGCACAGATGGTTCCACCGCCGATAGCTCGTCTTGGAGACGAATGGTCTCTCCTAATTGTACAGGGTGACTCCTTGCAGGTGCCGGCGCCCAGAAGCTGGTCACCCTTGAAGAGCGATTGGCTGTACAGTCTTTAGAGCGAAAGCAATTTCCTGAGAGTAGGAAAACGCCGGGTGGTCTCCCCATGTGATGAAGTGGACCGAGCCATCCAAGCAGGAATCCTTGTTTCTACGACCGGGGAGCCTGTCAGAGCTAAAAGGATGACTGCCGGTAGCAGAGTAACGCAATTTGTTGGGTCGGTTTCTGATGAATCGTTTCAGCTTTACCTCAAGGCACCAGCGAAAAGATAGCTACATCCTTGCTGATACGAGTGCTGGGTGAAGGCAGCTCGACATATCTTCCTAACCGCTGCTCAAGGAAGCCTTCGTTCATTAAACTCTGGTATAGGAAGAGAAGCCAGGTCATGCATTGAAAATTGTACTGTTCAGTACTGTATTCTACAAGTTCGCTAATTAGCGCCACATGTTTTGCTTCTGTGACTTCTGAGCAGGTGTTGGATTGAGCATAGCTTCCTCTCTGTCTGAGCCAAGGAGAGTGGCCAGTAAAGTCCGGCCGGATCCGATCAGATGTTACGGCTTGGTCCTGCGTAATAGCGTATAAGACTTATAGGGCAGCTGGAGCACCTCCTTGATTTGCCCGATCTTTTTCCCTCTGGCGTAATGGTTAGAGGTGCCTGTACCATCAGAGACGCTATGGGCAAGTTGAGAAGCTAGTAGCCACTAGTCTCTCAGAGCTTTATCCCCTCCAAAGGACCCGGTGCTGACCATGATGATAATTAATGGGGAAGGCGCGAATGATTGCTGACTTGATAAGGAGCCTGATCCGGGGTGAAATGCAGGAGACCGGACGTCTGTGATGTCTGTGCTGGCGTTGGAGGATTTACGACCTTGAAACCAGACTATTCGAAACGAGCACCAACTTTGCACCATTACAGTCCTCACTCACTCGCACTTGACAAGCCCTCCGGCCTTCAGTACGGACCTGAGCGCGGTTTCATCAGGGATGTCCTTGTCGTCGGGATCAGTGAAGACTTGCTGAGTACCTCGAATGGTCTTCGCATGCTTCTCCAGCTCGATGAAGACAGGCTTGTCACCTCTCTTCTCAACACGCCATTCGGTGTTTCGGTAAGCACCCTGAAAGTTTGCCTTCTCGTGATCAAGCATGACGGTGCCACAGTTTCCTCCAAGCACAAATTCGACCATGGCTTTTCCAGGCTCCTTAGGTGCCAGAATCTGAAGGCCGAGAAGATCTGAGAGATTGTGTGTCCGAAGATACTCGATCAACTCATGGAGGAAGGGTGCGTCTTTGGCAGACCAGGAGGTAGCCTGCCCTGTCAAACGATATTCCGCCCCAGCCAAGGAGGCGTCCCGACCCACATGGGCACCGTTGTTGTGTATATAACTGGGACCTTCGTCTTCTTGACTTGGGCAGTGATCAAGGCCAATTTGACTCTCTACAACCCTCACATTTTGACATGGACTTGGTCCCAGATAAGCACATCGTCTGGATTTTCGGCGAGGGAGAGCGTTCCCTTCGTGCGCCGAAAGAATCGCGGTCCTCCTCGATCTGATTGAGCTGTGATCCTCGAGACAATTCTCGCGCTATCTGTGGCACAGCAGGGGCTGGTCCATAGGGGCTAGGAGGGATTCGACTCGTACGCGAGACGATCGATTTGGACCGTCCTTGTGAAAAAGAATGTTCGACCTCAGTTCTCAGACCCAGGCCGGCGGGATTCTGTTCGAGTGAATCACATGGTTCTGACCCCGAGTCTTGAGACATGGAACGGAAGTAATTTGACCGGCCCTGGACGATCAGGGGACTCTCCACCGTCAACGGCGGTAGCCTGCTGAATCTGTTGCCCTCCTTGGTGCTCTCTTGCAACTGTTTCGCGAGGATGCGGCTCTGCAAGACAAATGCGTCCAGCGGGGAGAATTCAGGGGGTATCTCTCCGGTGACATGCAGGCGGGGCGACCGCAAGGGCCGTGGCGAAGTCGAGCCGGTCGAGCCCTGTGAATTGGGCCGCAGGTCCAACACATTTTGGTGCATCGCCATAGTTCCTTTGTTTTTGTAGGCTAAGCGCCGTAGCCGCTTGATCCCATTCAGACAGTGGCGATGGATGAGGTTTCCAGAAAACCAGGTTCTCACAAGGTCTCGATTGAGCTCGAATTTGACATTAGCTCGAAAGTGTCTCGGTCGGGTGTGTTGTCACCCACCTTGTTGGCTGTTGCCAGGAGCTCAGGAAGTCGATGAGCGAATAGGGCGACAATTTCCTGCGAGTGTTGCGATGGTGAGGTGTGCCGCGCATAATCGATCAGGTCAGGTCGGACCCATCTAAAACAGTGGCTAGATAGAGCAACCACCAATGTGAGAATGGTTCGAGATGGTCAGTTAAGAGTGATGTTGCCGTGATGGTCGTGAAAGAGTTCGGACGCGCTGGCAAACGAGGCGCAGATTGGGAGCGAGGTGCCTGGAAAGATCGGCCACAGTAGCGGGCGTGGATTGTTGGGCACATTTGTTGTGCCCCCAACGTTGAGCCCCTAGTAATGTTACAAGGACTTGTGGTGGCGTCAACTCCCCGAATTCGACTATTCGTGGGTCAAAGAAAGGAAGCTATTGAGAGCATGCAGGAGGTCATTGCTGCGGAGGGCATCGCATTGAAGCAAAAATGTCCTCACTCTATCCGTCACGACCCGCTCACCTCCTTCAGGCGCATCCTCCCCGCATCGACCAGCGCAACCGCTGACCCTGTCGGCGGATCAAGTAGTCGCGACTCGCACGGCATAGAGCCTGTCCGGGGATGAAAGTAGACGATGTATGTTATAAATAGAATCAATTATTCATCTCGAGACGATATGGTCCTTCTTACTTTGGGGCGTTCTTTATCGCTGGCCTTGATATCTGGGGAGTGTCTCAGCCCTTGCTGCGGTAGACGAATTCCCGGGCCTGCCGACACCGACAACATCGAGGTGCGAGAGCAGATCATGGTTTATCTGCGGCCACGCCTGACTTTGGGTTCTTGGAAGCGTCTGGGTCCCTGCTGGTCTTGATCCGTCCACCAGAGATTACTTATTGCCTCCCATTCTTCACGGTTACTTCTGTCGCATTCCTCATCTTCACGCGGCGATCTGATCGTGTCTGCCATCTTGAGCTTCCGTTCTTTGTACGCCGCCTCAGACAAGCCGCAAGCGCGACCGAACTGCGTCCCATTCCAAAATTCCCATCGCCATTCCCATCGGTCATCTGGCCCCTGTGGCCCGTCCATCGGTTGGCGGCGAGCTCGATCAACACCTTTCTCAAGTTTTCCTAGCTGCCAGTCGCGATACGCCTGCAATTATGGGGAGTACACGTGACCGAAACCTCAAGTTATTGAAGCTTCATACGACAAACGTCCTGAAGAGTCAGATCTAGACGAAGGCTGCCCAGACTCGAACGACGGTTCCTCGGACTGGGACGACGGCTTTGCCGAGTCCCTTCACCTGCGCTCGACATGCCGACTTGTCAACTTGGCTGCAGCACGATTACGACAGTATCGGCTCGCGGGGTCTGGAAGAAGACGATCCGCGCTTGTCCACATCATCATTTACTTCTTATCTTCCATCTGCATGTACCTCAGCGGTCTTTCGTCATCGTTGACCTCCTTTGCCGATCCGTTCTGGTCGAAGCTATCTGCAACACTACATGTGCTTTCCCCATGATTGCTTGTCGCAGCGTCGACGTCGATGCGATTGTCTTCCGTGGTATAAATAGCCACGCCCACTTGTAAGCTTGAAGATGAAGATTGGCCAAGAAACCCCGTGTCCCTGTTCGTCTTTGACCGGCCATTGAAGGCAGCTAACTTATCTGGTCCTTCCTGCAACTCGATAGATACTGCATCAACTCCGCGAACAGTACGAATTCCATCCGTGGAGACTCTTGTCCTGTTATATGTGGACGTGAGGCTTTTACTTGGAGCGTTTCCCTGTCGCGCTGTCTCAAGGTCGCCAAAAGTGCCGTTGGAGATGACACCACATTGTCGTTGTCTGGCAATTTTCCCAATCAAATCTGCCATTGACATCTCGATCTTGAGCTTGACTATGTAGGCGAAGGGATGAAACTGCATGTAACTGAAATCATAGTTAGGAGTGTCTCCCATTATCTATTCCGCTTTTCCTCGTCGCGAAAGTTTGTCGGTTCATGCGATGTAGGGTAATATAATGGAGTTGACTTACACGAATGTGTTATGCAAGCTCATCATAGAGATAATAAGGACATCCATGCTGAGGGAGAATCCGACGATGCACATATTGAACTTGACTAGACTCTTATACTTGGTTAAGCCATTTGCCACCAGGTTGTGTTGAACAACGCGAATGAAATAGAAATTGAGTGCTCCGTCGACAAGAAGGTAGATCACCTTCTCGATACGGTCCCACCACTCGTTGATCCAGATATATCTCTCTGAGATCTGGAGACGGGCGGGGATCCAAATATTATAGACCGAGATATTAACAGCCGTGATCAAGACCGCAACACCGACCTTAAGACGGTATGCCGTTATATGATCTGTGAGAAGGATAGAGCAACGGTTAATGATAATTTGGAGAAGAAATTGAACCTTAAATGGTTAGAATCATTCATAAACTTGAGCATGGTAAGTGGAGCATACTTACTTGAAGTGCCCATGTAGTAACTGTGGAGGTTATTATCTTATTCTTGGCGACTTAGGGTGCTTATGGACTGCTTACGAATGCAAAAGAAGAACGCAAAACTAGAAGATTCAATCATCAGTATTTCCTTCAAACGTTACATCCCCAACAGATCCCCCCTCGCACTCTCAACTGCCCTTACCAACAGCTGTCGATTGCCCTGTCGCCATGTTCGATTACCAGCGCGGTCAGCATTTCCAGCATTACCTTGGGTATCTAGATATGTTCGACCTGTTGCACCCATAGGAAACGTGGGCTGTGCGAGGCGGAATCATCTAACACACAGGGGATCAACGCTTACCTCGGGGGAATTATGCCTTTCAAGTGCAACCAACAGATAATGCTGAAGATGAGGCATACAAGAATCTCGAGCCAAATCATCCAGACATAGGCACTGCGGAATACGAGAAGGCCGCGTCTCTCGTAAATACGTTTTGTTTGCTTCATGGCTGTCCAGGTGGTGAGCCATCCAAAGCCGATCGTGAAGCCCCAGGCCAGCGAAGCAAGAGCAAGGTCATCTTCGGTGACCTCTTGGGGGACAAAATGGGGAGAGAGGAGTGTGATCATCGTGAACCAAATATGGGTTGAAATGACCATAACTTTAGCCAGACTCTGGTTCCATTCAGAAGAGGCATCACAATTTAAATGAAGGACGATAGTGATCAAGATAGGTATCCTTGCCCTGGTGTTGGTGTATCATCAGCCGCCAGTCAATAGCTTAAGCCACAGGAGCTGAAGTCCAGCCCTCGTACGGATCTAGTGACACAGCACTGACTTGAGTACGTCGTGACGCCCGCAAACATCCCCGCCTCTGCACAGATTGGCTGGAATTCAAGCCTTCCTCCCCCCTGCCTGAATATCGCCCACCATTAACAGCACAGGAGGCTTCGGTACCTGAAGACGACTCCGGTAAGAAAGCTTCGAGAGCTTCAGGCAAGCTTTCAGAGAGCACGGCCTTGCCGAAGACTGGTCTGGACTCGGCACGGACGTTGCTTGTGGAGTGGCGTAGGGTTTGGCGCCACGCTAAAGCCAACTTGTATTTCTGGTAAACTCCGGGGAGGGAAGTATGGGCATAACCCGAGCGAAGTGATCAACATAGAATGCTGAACGACTTTCAGGTTGAACATCACTATAGGAGTAGCGCTCTAGGGTTGGAGGCTGGAGCGGTTGAGTGTCGCGAGACTGGATGCGATTCCTAGTAGATCTGACTATACCTTCAAGTTAGCATAACATCTCGTCGGGTCCTCTTCTGTACAATTCAGCACCTAATGTGCAATCTCCAGCCTGGTAGCCCCCGTCGTCGAGAAGAAAATTAAGAATGAGCAAAACGTCGATCATCGCTATGGAGAGAGCAATGAGCGCTAGGGTTTCGGTGTATTTCCAGATTTCCGCGGCGCGAAAGCATCAATGTCTTGGGCAGCGTCTATTACATCAAACACGAGATGCTACTGGCACAACAGGTAGACAGGCGAGTTATTTGCTAGAATAGCTACTGATACGATTGTTATCACACGAGGTGTTGGTTTTTGCTGTGGCTAAAGTGACCCTGTCCACTCCTGGCCTGTGCACCACTGGGGCAGCAACGGCACCGATGCATCGTTGACGGCGGAAGCCATGTGAAAGTGACAGATACCAATCCTAACGCCACGGGCCGCTGATATCCAGACGTCATGCAAGCGTGACATCTGCTGCTGTTAGCGCTTGAGAGACGAAAACCTTCTGGGTGGGTCCATGAATCGTAATATCGTGGGCCACGGTCGCTTCATAGGGATGAAGCATTCAGAGGACAAAAGTTGAAAGGGGCGTGGATTGATTTTGAGCCAGGTGGCACTGTTCCGTTCGCATTCCCGGAGAGCCCGGTGCGGGGAAGCAGGTACTGGGGTACTGGGGCTGCTACACTGTCACCGACGCTCTCCCTACATAGTACATGATGCATTTTGGATGCCATTTTGTGGCTTGCGGAAGGCCGGCACATCGCCCCAGCGGAGCTATCCTTGCAGGTTGTGTTTGCGCTACTGTCCGTTCCCCCGCATTCTGCAGTTGGGCCGCTGGGTGCCGGCATGGTCCTGGGTCAGTGACGAACTGTGGCGAGAAGACAGTGTTTCTAGCACTGACGAGAATCCTCGGCCATCAACTTTGGTTATGTGCCGTTGCCGTCGTCTCTATGCCATAGTGCCGGCCTGACCTTAGCATCCGGTGACAGGGCTGCGATGGTATGCTACTCGACAATTCAGCAGCAAAAGGAACCCGAATCCCAAGGCTGACACGCAGCTCGAATTTCTGCACAGAAAGGCCGAGCCCATTTCTACCGCCGAATTCTTCCGCTGATTTGGAAGCCCCTTTGTAAAAATGTACCTTTCTGTCATGTTCATCCGTGCCATAAATGGGCATGTTTCTCCGTCAACCCATATCATTTGTTCGTTGTCCGGGCTACGCTGGGCTGACACTCGGTGGCGTCAGCTGGCTTTCAGGGTAGGCGAACTCACTCTTCAGCAACTGACAGAAGTTTGGGCTGGAGCCACCCACCTATTTTGCGGTATTTCCTGGCAGGAAAGCATTGTGTTAGCCTCAAGTGTTGATACGGCCCCTTACATTGCCCTGGACAAGGCTTTCCCAAGCATACCGGCATACCCAGACATGATTAAGATAGCTTTCAAAACACGCCTTTCTATTGGCTACGGATGGTTTTTTTTGCGGGCTTGTCCCTTACACGATATGGAAAGCAGACATCAAGCGCTGTGTCGGTATAACAATATTAATGTAATAGACAAAGGAAAAGATGTTGTCGTATTTGAAGTGCACGGAAGAGAGTCGACGCGCCATGATTCAGATTATGGACACACCAGACCATGCATTCGACGCGCCAAGCTTGATCGATGCAAGAAGTGTGTGCTTGCGAGAACCTGTCATGTGGCCAGAATGTGTGTTGAGATCTTTCTCCTCACCAAAATGGATTGCTTGAGAAAATGGATGGATTCTACAGGCTCTCTTCTTAGAATTGTTGCATTATGCCAGCAACCGACGTGTGATACTGAGTAATTGGTCGTCATCAATCGCTAATATGCGATGTCTGAGGGTTGTGTTGCGCTCAGTTCTGCCTCCTCCGGCCCTGCAAAAATAGCTTCTGCTCTGTTGAAGTCATCACGCCGAGATCGGTCATATATGATACACCATCAGACAACGTGAGTTGGATTCCAAGATCCCTCGAGAGCACAATCTCATCCCTGGCTAGTCGAATAGGGCTGTTGAAGACGGGCAGTGACCCGTTTCTTTAATGACTACTGGCTGTCATCGAAACCCCACGCCGCAGGATAGTGACCGCGATTCCTGCGACAGGTTATCTGTTACGACCCAGGGAGATCAACCGGGTACGAACGGGAAACGGCGGAACTCGGAACGGAACAAACAGACCCCGGTGGAAGTGGTGTGTGGTCGAACTGGTCGAACGAGAGCGCGTTCGACCACGTTCGACCAAAAATGAAACCTTAACCTTAAATGGTCGAACAGGTCGAACGAGAACGCGTTCGACCATGATCGACCAAGCAAATCAGAATAGTATATAGCTTCACTCGTTTGCACTCTCCCATGTCTAGACAGCTCTCCAGCTTTCAATACAACTTGATTACTCAAGAATACTTCTTGACATTATCAGACGTGATACGCGACCCTACGCTCAGCACGCTACGCCCCGTCGCAACTGCCAACATAAACCAATCAGGTTACGGTTTACTACGTTGGGAACCTTGACCGTCACACTGAGGCTCTAGTTGCTGGTGAAACTATTCCCGAGCCAAACAAAGCAAATGAAGAGGCAGGGGCTGTTGAGGATGTGATCGAGGTGGGAGGGATGCAAGAGGATGAAAGTTCAAATTCGGAGGCGGAAGAGTTACCCGTTGTACGCACCCGCGCAGGCCGTGAAGTTAAAAGACTGTCGCATTCTGTCTCACTAACTCATCAGACCAAAAGTGGAATGCACACTCCAACAGGAGGCGCTGATAAGTTGTGTATATGAGAGATGCATATTATGTAACAAAGACCGAGAAAATATTAAATTTTATTCAATTTTAAACTGCATTCCGGAAATCCTTTAATTTTATTATTTTTGGTGACCTTTCCGCATGAGGTTGAAAACTTGCATTTTGTATGGGGGAATTTTCTTTTTGGTGTACGGTAGGTGGGTATGACCGGTAGGTGGGTACTGCATGGTAATGTCCCCCTGTAGTGGTTCAGAGCATGTCGATTCCTGTCGTACTTTTCGGGCCCTCACTCTCGCGTGTGTAAAGGCATGCATCTTAAGATCTTTAAATGACCTGTTACAGTCGGGACAAACACCTCGCGGCGACCTGTCACTTTCGTAAATCCGGGCGGAACGAAACCTGAAGAGGAATATGCTCTATTCTGTCTAGCTAGCACGAACATTGGGATGATCGAATAACCGTCGGTGGGGTTGGGAGCTACATATCAAAGTCGGCGCGATCAACATCTCCGCGGCCAGGGTCGGTCGACGTTGTACATCAGCGGGGGGGCCGCGCTCAAGATCGAGCTCGGGTTTGAAATCCTTAACTTTTAGTCAAGTTCTTTCTTAGCCAACGCGGAAACTCCTCGGTGTAGTAGACGTACTTCCGGCCCTTGAACTCGTATCCATCCTCGACTTTCTTCCACTCTTTCTTAACTGTATCGATCTTGGATCCATGGGCGTTCGCAAAGTAAAGCCCCGACCCTGTTTGTGGCGTTGGATCTTGACATGCTTGTCGGGGCCAGCGGGCGTTCGTCTCAAGACCAAGTCCAGCAGCAATCGCCAGCGATAACATCGCCAAGGGACTCTCGTCACCCAGCGGACTGGCCTGAAGAACAACGTCCGCAATGTTCAACCCACTCTGAACATGTCCTCGAGCGATCCCACGGGAATGAGCGCTAACCAGTCGGCTTTCGGGGCAAGTTCACCCATCCCAAGTCTGCTCAGCTCGTCTTACGAGGAACTATCAACAAGTACTGCTTTGTACGTACCTGCCACGTCCACATCGACTTCCACTACGCCCCCACCACTGCTTAGCTGGGATGCTTCCATCCCGTTGGACCCGGTGGAAGGCGCTCGAGAGCCTGCATACGAATGGAAGAGTTGATGCTGACTGGTTTTGGCGTGTAGTTTGGTTCTAAGCAATCGATTAAGGATGGGACAATGGAGGGGACGATCAGTGTACCAGTAGCACCAACTCACCAGCCGCAAACCCCAGAGTGGCCACTGCACTGGAGCGGCAGCACCGCGATTTGAACCCTTACTTTCAGCATCCGACCTACAGCTCCTCCCCCGTCGGATCGTAGTGTTCTTATCCACGGATCTTTCCGAGCAGTCGCCTCAGACCCAGATTGCTGATGTTGAGGAACTTCTCTAGCATGGCGCCACCACTGTCGTCCTCACTCATATTAAGCTACCTCGCGGAAATGGGCGTGGCTGTCCGTGTCGCAGAGATGCGAGAGGCCGTAACTGCCCACAAGCAGGTTCAAACCGAAGGCGAGGCCGAAGGATCGCAAAGAAGTAAACACCATCATTTCTGCGATCTAATGCGAAAAGGCGCTATAATGCTCGCAGGGTGGCTTCGATGATACTACAAGCTGCGAGCTCTGAAAGTCTCCAAATGAGCAAGCGATTTTTTTCCACATATCGTTCAAGTTAGCAGGCAAGGGGTCAGTAACGGCCCCATCTCGATCGAGCTGGCGGAGGGAAGAGAAAGAGAGCCAAAAATTGGGGGCATGGAGGTGGAGTGACGTCACAAATGCCGAGTGTCTGCGGGGTATTCTAATAGAACTGCTGGTGGAAGCCCATCCTCAGCACTCAGAGCATCTTCACATGACAACAACTTATTTCGTGAACAATGTGCGCAGCGAGTCAAGGCCCCAGATCCAAGGTTCGAGGCAGTTGCGAACCTCGTCGTTGTGTTATGGCGGTTAGCCAGCCAATCAAGGTAGTCTAATGGCATCATATTAAGTTTTCAACGCCTTGTTGGCAGTTCTACAGCAAATTATCGCTCGTGCGTGTCGCTTGGAGAGGGTAGAGGGATGTCACTACTTCGCTCAGCTAGGTGTGGGGAGAGGTACGGTCTGATAGTGGGGTTGACTGAAGAGGCGATTGATGCACATTGCCTCTTGCGTCAGTGGCTGGAGAGAGCAAATTCTGCTAGCGCGTTGAGCTCTGCAGTACAAGAATGTGTCAGCCCTGCCTTACTCCCAATATCGGCAAGCCTTCTAGCACTTTCCAATATGTCGTTAGGTCTAGAATGGATGTATAATCCATGCCTCGGTTGTGACACCCAGACAGAGGGAGCAGCTTACTGCTCTGATTCCTGTCGGCTGTCAGAATACGAGAAGACGCTGGCGTCGATTCACTGTTCGAGCTCGCCTTCTATGCGGATCACATCGTCATCCTCGACATCGCCAGCCCAAGAAGTCGGGGCTTCGGTCAAAGCAGAGAAGGAATTGAGAGCGTACAATATGTCATTGGACCAGTCGAAGATGCGGAGAGGGCATCGGAGTGAAAGCCGAAATATCTCCACTCTATTCACATTTCGGCTCAAGGGGCGGGAATAGGGGCTACATCATCATCTACACTGACACTACCATATGGTGATATCTCCCCAGGGACGCGCTCGTTGAGGTATTTTGCGCTCAAAAACACAAAAGAGACAGGGAGTGGTTGAGAATATCACAGAACAAGAACAGCAGTTTATTTTCTTGGAAACACTGCATACACTGAAGCCAATGTCAAAGAAATGTTATGTATTCTAGTACCTTATCCCCTTTGAACTAAGGCTCTCTTGGTGTATTGGAATATTCCTAGCTTCCACTCCGTCGACGGGAGAACCCATAGTGTTGGAGGGTCTGTGGACATACCATCGCTAGATGGCTATCATGCCGATAGGCAAGACACATGCCTCAACGCGTTCTTCAATGCACTAACACCCGAAGAGACAACATGTCCCTAGGTGGGAGCCCGCTTGAACTCACATTTTGTCCTTGTCATCACGCTCACCATACTCAAAGCACTGAGAGTAAGTAGTTTGGGTATTGGACAGAAGAAGGGAGTGAGAGCCATTGAGAACGGCCGAAGTGGTTGGGAGGACACGGTACATCCACACAATGGCGTTGGGTTCGTGCACCCAGGGCGCAAGCCTCGTTCTGCGGGGTGTCATGCTGTAGGTTAGAGACTAGTTCAAAAAGAAAGACACGTTGACTTGCGGTTGCTGTTTCGATGCAGCACGGCGCATATGACGTGCTGTTGATATGCTTTAGTACTAGTACCTCCCATAGCGCAAGTCAAACCACGGACCTAGGCGATGTACATACAGAGTATACTGTGTGACGTATATGCATACCTACCTAGTACTAAACCGGGGTTATTGGGCGTTCTCATGCCGGGTATAGTTGATCAGTGGTAAGGTAAAATGGAGGTAAGACGGAGGAGGAGAAGGAAACCAAAAGAGAGAAGCGGCGTCATGTCCTACACTGGCCCGAAAAGGCATGGGATAACCGGAAGAGATAATGTGCATGTCGTCAAGATAGGGAAGACGAGTTCGAGACACACCGTGTGGCTGGAAACAGGTGCCGCTCACCACCCAGGGCCCATGTGGCGCCATTGAACGTTGATGCAGTCCGCAGCCGAGGAGGGGTTGCATTAAGGCAACAGTGGCAAATAAGGACCTTTGACCCCAAGAACTGGTTGACGGGATTGCAGACAGTGGCGACCCCCCCCAGTCTAGAGGGTCGAGGTGTCTCCCCTGGTTGGGTTGGGGCGAACTTAGAAGCATTGACAGGCGTACTCAATTTTGCCACAAGAGAGTGATTGGTCGTGAATTGTATACTGGTTCGAAGCTGCATTGATCTGAATTCTCAAGGACCCACCCAAGGCGCCTCATTAGGCGATCCAAAGTGATAGATATTTTGTTGCTTGGTCGTGGTCGTGGTCGTGGTCGTGTTTGCGTCGGCATTGCAGGCGTTCGGTTCACTCCCCTTTTACAAAGATTTGAAATTTAAGTCCGTTGATGGTGGCCTTCATTTGGAGACGGTTCCTTGATCTCCATGACGTAGCGATGGGCTTTGTGTGTGATGTAGTCTTGGATCATCGAGCAGTTGCAGTCGGCGTGTTGTAGAAGTTGCATCTCGAGCAAGTAGACATCGTGGGTAAGGTCGGCCACGCGGCTGGACAAGTCGCGGTTGATGCGCTCTATTTCTTCCTCGTCGGATTTGAGTTTCAACGCGTCTTCCTTCTTCTTGACTCGGAACTTTCTGGAAGCGGTTCGGTTTCGTGGCCGAATCCGTTTGTTGCGCTGGCTGTCTCCTCCCGAATTCAAACCGGTAGCACCCTCTCTGTTGTTGCTCCTGTCGTCATTCTTGCTTTCCTTGTTCTTGCTGTTGCTCTTGTTGCTATTCTTGTCCTTGTTGGCATTCTTGCCGTTGTGCTTGCTACTACTTCTGCTGCCGCTGCTGTCACGGTGACTTTTTGAATGTTCTGAATCTCGTGGCGATCGGGCCTTGATTTCATCGTTCCGCACAGAGCCTCGTTTCGTGGATTTTCGAGTTGGATGTTCGTCAGAGTCGCGTTTCCGCCTTCGGGGCCCGGGTTCTTTCTCGGTTGCTGGGAGCTCTGGCCGGTCGACAGAGGCGGTGGATTCCTTGAACACTGCCTGCTCAGAAACGGAGGCCATAGGAGTGTATTCAGTGTTTGGGCTCGGCCAAGTCGAATAGCCCAGAGAGTTGGTGCCGTAGCCACACGCGTATCCGCCGGGCAGGAAATTGGTCTGCGCAGAGGCAGGTGACATGCCACCTCCGTCTTGAAGCGAACCGACAAGGGCTGACTGGTCTGTCGACCACCATTGCTCCCATGGAAGGTCCAGGGGAACGTTGAAGGGGTGGTCAAGAGTCGGCTCGCCTGTCAAGGCATTGAACTGTTGGAAGGCTCCTTCGTCTATGGCGTCGAGAGCAGGATACTGTGCGGGACAAGACAGTTCGGACCCATCAGCGTAGGAGCGAGAGAAGGATGCCAAAGATGTCGAAGCCATTTCTCGGTAGTATTCAAGAAGGTGGTTCTCGATGACGCGTGTTTCGGGTTGCTGGGATGCCGTGGCCGCGACTGGTCGGGAGCTTTGAGAGGTTTTAGGGGTTGTTCCAGGGCAGCGGAATACAGGGCAGCAGAAGGCCAGGTACCCTACTAACAGGCTAACAGCCCCGCTCGCAGCAGATTCATGGATGAACCCCAGAGATGGAACCCAGAGCTGACAAGAAGGGCTGTTGGGTGGATGGTGTGTTTTTTTAATGTTTCGTGGGGGCTGGCCCGCTTATCGAGATTGATGTGCGGGACAAGGTTCATTTCTGGTGGACTCTAGCTCGGACGAGGCTGCATGGGCATCGTGACAAGCTAGAGCATCGAGATCTCAGGGATGGAAGGGTGTGCTGTCACTGCTGTAGTGCTGTGGAAGCCTGTGGCAGTCCTGTGGATGAGGACACCTCCTAGCAGAGGAAATACTACCGGTAGACTCTCCACCAGCTCAGCCTAACAACAGATTTCCATCATGACGCTCCTTCTCAGGATGATGACGTCATCTGTCACACTGAGTGGATAGGATCAGGATGATAATGATGAAAGCTCTTGATTTCCTATCTAACGAAGGGCTAGGGAACGGTCTTATAGATGAAGTTGAGGGCGGCCTCCGGCAGCCTCCGGGACGAAGGTCCGGAGGTCTGAGACCGGAGGACCCACCTGCCGGGGTCTGAGACCCGGTCCGGACCGGATTCCTAGCAGCCGGTCTGGAAGCTGTTCCAGGCATCTTACGATGATCCCAAAATGTGACATCATCATGCAAGATCTTGATCCCACCTGGTTCCTGGATACTTTCCTCTCCTCCTCCGAATTCTTCGTCCGAAGCGGGCGAGGCAACCCAAGCTATCTGTGGCCGCTCCTCGCGTACCAGTTCCTTATATCCTCGGCCATTATGCCAACCCCGCCACGGTACTCGTATCAGTCTGCATCACTCAGGAGTTCGAGAAGCCGCCTACGATGCCGACCGTCATTTTCTCTCAACGTCAGACAGTCCCAATGAAGGGAAGGCGTCGAGTTCGCCGCAGATGTAAACATTTGCGACGTCAAGGAAGGTTTGGAACATTGAAAGCAACAGTAGAGAGGCCAAAGACATCCACCTACAAAAATCGTCACTTTTCAACTGACAGTTCGTTACAACCTCGATCCACCGTGCCGACACCACAGTGCAATTCTCAGGCTATGTTGCAACCACTGGCACTGCCAGAGGAAGGAGGGTTATCTGCAGAGCAGCTGGGTCGCCTCGTTAGCTCGCTCCACCATGCCCACGCCTCCACAATACTCACAGGGCTCGTTGTCATCGTTCTCAACGGATTCTTGGGGAAGTAGCCCCAAGACATCTCAGTTAAGTCAAACCCAGATGGATTCATAGCCCCTTAATCCAAGATACTTCAAGAAAATCCCCTCATATATCCGGGATGCCATCAGGTGTCTTCGCTTGTGAGTAGCTCTACACCACCTAGATCTACGTGTCCGACCCCGCCATACTTCCATAAGCCTATACAAAATGATGTGAATGGTCAAGCAGTTGTCTCTGGATCACGAGCCATTGATAACATGCACGCTCTCCTTCCTAATTGCCGAGAGGCGCCGAACCTGATCGGCTGCCACCAGGATGGCAAGGATTTGACGATAGTGATGATATGACGTCTATTAGTTTCTAGAATAAGAGTGCTAGAAGCAATCTGCGGGCTACTCCTCAATATCCTCATTACAACAGAGAGACACAACAAACTTGCACGATGCTGCATCGACGCCAATACGGCGTTTACTGAACGTCTGGCCCTTCCGGACCTGTTTGTTCAGGCCCACGTTTTGACCAGTCCTGTGTGGGTTCCTCTCACACAAACCCCGTGAGATACCCAAAAGTGGTCCAAGCTCCCGAGGCGAATGACGAAACGCTGAGTTCATCAAGCTCGGCATATCCGCTTTCTTCTGATCCCTCCCCCAATTCCGAATCTTGGATATTTTGACATCATTGCCGACGGAGCACCACCACGTTTCTAAAATCACTTCGTTGCCCTCCTGCCTCCATCGGTATGGTTTCCCTTCTATCTCGCCTTGGATATCGATTGAAGTAGAATCCAACTGGCAATTGATTCTCTTTTCTTTGATTCCATTCGTTGATATAGAGCCGGGCTGACAAGTAACCCCCACGTCAATAGTTTGGAAGTCGACCAAATACACCTTCATCGCCATCACCATGTCGCCCACCCTCCTGCGCACCACGCCCGTCCTGCGCGCCGGCCTCCGCGCCCGCGCTGTCAAGCCCCTCGCCGCCATGGCCTCGACCAGCTTCGTCCGCGGCAAGGCCACCCTCCCCGACCTCCCCTGTAAGCTCTCTCCCCCTCTCCCCGGTTCTTCTCAAACCCAGAGTCACTGACCTGAGGTGTCCAGATGACTACGGCGCCCTCGAGCCCTACATCTCTGGCCAGATCATGGAGCTCCACCACTCCAAGCACCACCAGACGTACGTCAACGGCTTCAACGCCGCCCTCGAGGCCCTCGCCGATGCCAGCGCCAAGGGCGACGCAAAGGCCGTCGTCGCCCAGGCACCCTTGATCAACTTCCACGGCGGCGGCCACGTCAACCACTCGCTCTTCTGGGAGAACCTCGCCCCCAATGGCAAGGGTGGCGGTGGCGAGCCCGAGGGCAAGCTCCTGACCGCCATCAACGGGGACTTCGGCTCCTTCGACGCCCTCCAGAAGCAGACCAACGCCGCCCTCGCCGGCATCCAGGGCTCCGGCTGGGCCTGGCTCGTCAAGGACAAGACATCCGGCACCCTCAGCGTTGTCACCCGCGCCAACCAGGACCCCGTCACTGGCAACCTGGAGCCCCTCCTCGGCATCGACGCCTGGGAGCACGCCTACTACCTCCAGTACCAGAACCGCAAGGCCGAGTACTTTAGCGCCATCTGGGACGTCATCAACTGGGGCACCGTCTCCAAGCGCTTCGAGAAAGTGCAACGGAGAGGGAGAGTGAAGGGCGACGCCATGTAGATGTCATGTGCCATGTGTGGCCCGTGTGAGATTACCGTCAAAAGTAGTGCATAGTATTGGACGAGTATCTAAATGGAACAACCTTTGAGTCAAGGTACAATCAAAGCCCTCCCGTTTCTGAACCCAGTATCTGCGGCGCAACCCAATGGCCAACAAGGACATGCATAACCCAAGATGGGCAGAGGCGAAACAAACCAATTCACTTCTACCCCTGCCGTCTCGCATTGAGCACCTCACAGCCGCTGGCACCTCACCAACCCCTTGGTAAGCCGCCAGCTCCGTGGGATACTCGTCCGCGAAGATCTCACCCACATAGTCATACCAGTCATCGTTGGCCTCCTGGGTCCGGGCCTCACCATCGAAGTTCGACCAAACGGCGATTGGCTCCCGATTACTCTGCGCTGGAATGGCATGTCGGGGCTATTCGAAGGGCGGGAGGTGCTTGACGCAAGAGACTTGACGTTGACGGTACAGTGATTATCAACATGGTGTGTAACGGCGTGGGCAGGCAGGTTTATGAGGTCGTTTGAGGTGACGTGGAGGTTGATTTTGCAGTTGTCCCGGTGTGAGAATCATGAATAGCTTAGCAATGAAGTACTTTCAAGATGTTGTGAAGTGTGGAGATGTCTACAATATTGTTATCCGACCGTGGCATCTGTGAAGGTAGTGGAGATCGATGTGGAGAAGACGTCTTTGCGACGTGCAAAGTCCACAAGCCAAGTAATTCGGCTTGTGGTCCCTGCACGATGAAGCCATGGGGTCGACGTTGGTCGTGCATTGTATTGGAGTGTCGCTGCCGGGGTAGCCGGCTCACCAGGTCTTTCAAATCGGCAGGCGGGAGATGATCGTCGCTGGCAGGGTTAATAACCAACCTGCCGCGCCCTTTCTAAGTTTGTGGGCATGAAACATGTAGATTCTAACTTTGAACAAATCCTCCGTCTCGGACACCTACGATATTAACCTACTGTTGCCCACAAGTTCCTATGTGTGCGATTCTGTGATCTGTCTAACTATTGTCAACGTTCAAGTTAACTTCTTCGCCTCTTTGCACATGTTCGACAGAGTTCAATGCCGGATTTTCGAAGAACGATGGGAGGTAAAGTACAGGCTGCCATTCGTCGAGGCCATCACTCTGCGCACACCTTCCGCATACCTGATCCTTCTTGCACGCGAATGCTTTGTGGCCAATGTTCCAGCACTTGTAGCACTGAACTGGTCCTTGGCGCCGCTCAAAGACTTTGGTGCTGGCCGACTCCCCGGCCAGGTGAAAGTATCCCTCCTCGAGGAGTCGTTTCGCGTCGTGTCCTTTCGTCACGTAGATCACCATTGACCCGTACGTCTTGCCGTTCTCCCTGTCGCTGAGCCAGTGGATCTTAGCAATCGTTGCATCGTTCTCTTTGCCTAGTGCCTCTGCAGCTCCCGGTAGTTCGTTACCAGAAGAGTCCAATACCGCGGTGCGGTTTGCGCCGTCCACTTTGACCGGGTACAATTGGTCCCTGAACACCCTTGCTCCCTTGACTGCAGTCCTTTGTGCTGTCTCTCTCACCAACTGCATCTCCGCCTCGTCTCGGCAGATCACCTTGATGCGATCTGGAATCCTCGCGTCCTTCACCACGGCAGCGCACCTCCAGCTTTGCCGTCCCTCCTTCGTTCGCATCTCTTCCTCAATGGCTTGTCGAACTTTTCCCACTTGTGCCTTGTCCTTGTCCTCCTCGTCCTCGCTGACTCGTGACATGCCGATGGTACAGTACAGAGTGTCGGTGAATGAGGACGGTGTTGTTCGCATAGATGACAGAGATCGAACATTGCTGGGTTGGCTCATCGGTGGAGTACAGGCTACGTCTGCATACGATGGCTGTGGGCTTGTCTGGGCACTGTTGGCTGTGACGCTTTTGGCCATCACGTCCAGCTGCTCTCGTAGCTGTCTCATTTCTTCTACCGTTTGCTGCCGTACCTGCCCAAGCTGCTCGTTCATCTGCTCAGTTATCTGCTTGCGCAGTTGTTTCAGATCTTCCGCGTCCTGTTCCCGCATCTGTCTAAGCTGTTCGGCTGTCTCTTCTCGCATTGCCCTGAGCTGGTCAGCCGTTTGTTCGTGCATGCGTCTAAGCTCTTCTGTCTTCTTCCGGTCTTCGGCTGCCTCGGCACTGATCGTACGGATTTCCTGCTGGAGTTGTCGGATCATCTCCAGCTGGTCGCTCACCATCTTCGTCGCCGATCGCTGGTTCTCCAGCAACGCATCCCAGAGCCTCTGCAGCATCTTCTTCTGTTCGCTCATTATATGGGTCGACGTTTCCTGGAGCATCCTCCGGAGCATCATCTGGATTAGCGACTCGTTGCCGCTCACCGCGCTCTCCTTGGCCTGCGATCCCTCGACCGCATTGCTACGATCGTTGTCAACTGCTGCCCTTTGCTCTGCGCCAGCATTTTTTGACGTTCCGGCCTTGCTTGCGCCTGCCTGCATACTTTTCTGGGCTTTCGCGGTCGGTTTCACGGCTCTCGAGGAGCGACGCGTCGCGGCCACCGAATCCCACCCTCGACAAGGATCTCCTCGACGGTCGCGTCCATCTCGCGATGCAACGCTCACGGCAGCGCCATCCCCTCCTTTCGCCTGTAAAGAATGTAAAGAGTGTAAAGAGTGTAAAGAGTGTAATATTGTATTGTGACAATATGGCAATCTGCATATTGTATTGGTACAATATCGTGTAGGGCATATCATATCGTATGTATTGCAGTATATTGTTTTATTGCCATATTATTAGCAACACTGCCCGCGCGATCGGCCGTGGCTCTGCGAGGGGCCCGATTGTCCGGAGCCTGAGCCTCCAATGCTGCGGCGCGCGGCTGCGGCGGCTGCAGTCACCAGCCCGGCCTCATCTCCCTTGCTTCCCGGATCTTTCTCACCGCTCTTCACCCTTGTCCAGATCACCAAGTACGTGGACCGTACGGTTCCTCATTTAGATGACGACGACCATGATAAAGATAGCTACACTATCAAGTATTGGATCAATCTGCCGTGTCTCGCGTAGAACAGCCCCCGGTATAGATCGCACACAAGGGCAAAGTCCTCTGTGTCTTGTAGATTCATGTCTCGTAGCATCGTGCTTTATATCTGATACGTCATGTCATTTTCATTCTTATTGTAGTTCATATCATAATATCCAACACGCTTTTGCGCAAACCATTCTCCCGCAGCAAAATCCCAAGTGCTAAGCTATGCGAGCAAAAACAACTATGCAGAGAATGGATTCAAAGGTATCCCAGGCTGTGCATTGCGAACGCCACATGACAATCGCCAAAACAACATTCATCGTAGTCTCCCTTATCTCTCACACCATCCGTCTCCTCCCGTCCGGGTCAACGCCCTTGTCACCGCCTCCCTTAACTGCGCGTCGAAGAAACTGCCTTGCTCTCGTACCCGTTGGCGTCCACAAACGGGAACCGGGCACGGCGCTCAAGGTCATCCAGAGGAATAGTGGAGCGGATATACCTGTGCCGGCATATGTTAGCATGTCTTGCGCTTTGCCGGTGATGCAATTTCAATGTGGCTTGGTGAGGGTGGTATCAGGGGTGGGAAGGAAAGAGGATGAAGGGGTTTGGCTTACTTCCTTCTGCCGTCATCGACACGGTCAAAGTCCCAGCTGGTGAATTCGCCCTCCTTGAGGGCATTCCACACGACCCGGCGGGATCGCTGCGACGCAAACACCTTATCCGTGATGGCTTCAAAGTCCCACTTCGCATTGGCCTCAGCCTCAAACTTCTCAAACGCCTCCTTAGCCTCCTCCTCTTCCGGGGTCTGAGGGGCAATCTTCTTGAAGCGGGATAGGTTATCCAGCTCCTTGGGATCCCGCTCCAAGTTGTACAGCTGGGGCTCGTCGGCGGGGCAAGTGATGTACTTCCAGGGACCCCGGCGGATCATCATCATGGGGCGCACGGTTCCCTCACCCGTGTACTCGGCAAAGACGGTGTCGTGGCCCTCGTGGCCCTCGCGGCCCTCGAGATGGGGCAGCATGCTGATGCCGTCCATGGGCAAGTAGGGGGCCGGTTTGGTACCGATGAGGTCGCAGATAGTGGGGAGGAGGTCGAGAGTCGACACACTCTGGGTGACGCGGTGGGGCTTGAACCGCTTGGGGTAGTTGACGAGCATGGGAACGCGGACCGACGACTCAAAGTAGCTCATCTTGTACCACAGGTTGCGCTCGCCCAGCATGTCTCCGTGGTCGCCACTGAAGATGACAATGGTGTTCTCCGCGAGGCCGGCATCCTCGAGGGTCTCCAGAAGCCTACCAATGCAGTCGTCGACGTAGCTCACCGATCCGTAGTAGGCCTGCTTGGCCCGCTTGATCTGGTCGTCAGAGAAGTTCTGGTCCCAGAGGTCACAGACCTTGAGGAGGCGCTTGCTGTGGGGATCCTGATCCTCGTTGGCGATGCGGACTTCGGGCAGGTTGATATCAACATCTTCATAGAGGTTCCAGTACTTCTTGGTGATAGTGTAGGGATCATGGGGATGAGTGAGGGAGACGGTCAGGCAGAATGGGCGCTTGTTGGAACCCTCGCGGACATGATCCCACAGGTACTGGGTGCTCTTGAACATGACCTCCTCATCATAGTCGAGCTGGTTGCTCCGTCCACAAGGACCAGCCTGGAGAATAGAGCTGGCGTTGTGGTACCACTCGAGGCGAGTGTCGGGCTCATCCCAGTTGACAGCCCAGCCAAAGTCGCCAGGGTAGATGTCGCTGGTCAGGCGCTGCTCGTAGCCGTGGAGCTGATCACCAATGAAGTGCATCTTACCAGCGAGAGAAGTGTGGTATCCCTTGGAGCGGAGGTAGTGCGCATATATGGGCACGTCAGAGCCAACCTGGGCGGCATTATCAAAGGCGCCAATCTTCATGGGGAGGAGACCGCTGATCAAGCTCATGCGCGAGGGGGCGCAGAGAGGTGAGGGGCAGTAGGCGGAGTCGAACTGGACCGAGATGGAGGCCAGGCGGTCGAGGTTGGGCGTTTTGATCTGTGAGTTTGGGTTGTACATCTTAAGCTGGGGAGCGGCCAGTTGGTCAGCCATGATGAAGAGGATGTTGGGCTTGGAGGCATCAGTGGCAGGGTTGGCCGTATCCACGCCAAGCGAGGGAGGGGGGGAGTTGAGATCGGTCGCCATTGTGAGTGGCAGAGATGAGCCTTCTCTTTGGGGTTGTTTGTGAAGTGCAATTATGATTGTTACCCCTTTGTGTCTTAGGTGGTAGTGGTAGATAGAGAGGCAGAGGCAGAGAGAGTGTGTGTGTGTGTGTAAGTCGGGTGGTGGGTGGGGTGGTTGTGTGTTTATTGCCTAGGTATCAGGTGTGTCTCTTGCTCTCTCACCCGAATGAAGGACGATGGATGGAAGGTGAAGAGGAAGAAGTGTAAATATGTGTGAGAGACTTGAAGGAAGGGAGGGTGAGTTGAGGCGAGATGGGAAGAGGAGTGGGATGGGGAGGGCCGGGTATAAATGGATGGCGCAACACGAGGCTAGCAAGGGCGTGGGCGAGGTCGGTGTGGGCAAAAAGCGGGAAGAGGATCTAGACGCCCGGAAAGCTTCTACGCGTCTCTTGGGTGGAGTGTGACGGGTTCTTTTCCACCTTTGATCCAGATGACGGTGGCCACCGAGACAAGGGGCTGAGATAGGTCAAGGATGACGCTGGGGGGAGTTGACGAGTGAGCCCGCCAGGTGCTTGTGGAGAGTACGTGCGTATGGCACGAGCACAAGCACAGCGAAGACGGAGCAACAGGAGCAAAAATTGTCTGTCTGTTGATAGGGTAGAGCCCAGCAAGCCGCAGGACGCAAGACGCAAGACGCAGAAATGCAGGGGAATGGAGACGGGATTGACGTTGGGATCTGGGGTTGGAGGGGTTGGAGGGGTATGTCTGAAGTGAACAGTGCTCTGTGGTTGAGGCGCATGCGCAAGTGCGTAAGAGCGGCCGCGTGGAGGAGAGATCGGAGACGAGATGTTAGAAGGATCTAGGGACAGGTGCTGTAGTCTTTGACTCGCTAGTACCGGCATTGGGAAGCAAGCTCCCATCCAGCAGATCCAAGAGGTCCTGGCAGACCTTCTCGAGCTCATTCTCAATCTTGTTGCGGTATCCACGAATAGTAGCAATATGCTTCTCCCTGCCCCTTGACTCCTTCTGCTCGATCGAGGAGATAATGCGCCAGCTGGCACGGCGGGTGCCGACCACGTTCTTATACGCAATGGTGAGAAGATTCCGCTCACTGACACTGGGCTCACCACCCATCTTGACGACTTCCTTCAGATGGGGGACCATATCATCGTAGCGCTCAGCCTGGCCACAGAGGCGAGCGAGGAATGTCAGGCTACGGCCATGAAATCAGTGTTTTGGCCCTCTAGAGGCCCATCGAGCGGATAGACAAACTTCTTACGCTGCATGATAGGTGTATGGTTAGCCAGGTTCGTTAGACCAAATATTTGATCGAAGATAAGGCGGCAAGTTGGGGTGATAACGGCAAGGTATGTGGGGCGATTTGGTGTGGTGAGGCGGTACGGTGGGCTCTAAAAAAGAGGAACGCGGACTAGAGCAGCGTCAGATAATGGAAAATGCAGTGCTAGAATGGGAGGTGATGACGTAGCGACAAGAGTGACAAGAGTGACAAGAGTGACAGGAAGAAGCGCGGGGCGAGGGGCAATTCAAGGCGGGTTTATTGTTCGTTAACTCGTAAGTGTGGTGATTCGGTTTGAATTTGTTGAGAAATTAAGTTAGAAAGTTCTGCGACAAAGCAGCGCAGTCACCAGATAATGCCCGCGGAGCCATGTGACGAGCCAACTCACTGGTCTCCGTATCGGACTCCTCGGACAGCCAAGCCAAGTCTTCCCAACTTATGACCTGTGGTGCTATGGAGCATCTTCCATCAACTCCCGGGTGGCAGTGGATCTCCGTCTTCCTCTTTCTCTTCGTCATGGCCATGGTCATCCTCCTCCTTCTCCTCATCGTGCATGTCATCGGAACGATCGCCAGTGTCGGAGTATTGAGCATCGTCGTCCATCTCTTAAATCTCACTCTTCAAGAGTCGTTTCTTCCGCGCTGGCTCCATATTTTCGGGCGACCGACGGCCTAAAATCACATGTCAGGTTTCCCGCAGCACAAAACCCGAGGGGGCGCCAAAGGAGCGGTTCCCGCCACAGAACTGGACATCGACCACACAACTCCGGCGAGATTGATTTTGTGAAACCTTGGGAATGCCCAATGCCGTCATCAGTCGCTCATCACAGTGGACCAGGTGAAAGAGTTGGTCCAATGCTCGGAGGCATGTGCGGCATGGGTTTCCGGCCCCGAGGCATGCTCAACACTCCAAGGGAAACCAGGATTGTGGTTGAGCAGAGATCGAAACGTCAGGACAGTGTGCAGTGATTGATTCTGTAATTGACGCCTGGGATGAGTCCTGAGATGGTGATCATCGAACGCGACATCCAAACGAAGAGCCCATCATTCCGTCAACGGATCGCCGTGCCTCATCGGAAATATACTTCTGTATTAGCACACAGTTGCAGTCGGTGCGCCGCAGAACGCTGGGTTTTGAGATAGAAGATCTCGGTGGACAACTCCTCAAAACACCTCGAAAGATACTGATTCTGCTCTTCCATCTCTGGGCCCCGCGGAATGCTCAATCGCCTTCCACGTTGCATCACGGAAATGCCAAGACAACAGTCTCAATTCGATAAACCATGGAGACCTTATCGATAATTGGACTGTCAACATGAGCACCGACACCACTGCTTCGGACGAGGGAGTCTCGCCTGCACAGCTGGAATTTGTTTCGCTGCTCATCTTGCTCGGCGCCGAGTTCATCATAGCGCTGACATTCTCCCTGCCTTGGTCTGTTTCTCCTCCCGCGCCAATGGCTCACCTTTTTGTTTCCCTCCCCTTCGATAATTAACAGAGGCCACAGGTATTTGTTAAGGTAACTGGAACGCGAACGAGTGGGCGCCTATCTAGATGATCTAGAGGCTGCTAGACGTCCCTTCTCAATCGAAAACCTAGACCAAGCAGTTCCAGCCCAGCCCTACAACAAATGGAAAGCCGAAACGAAAGATGCCGGGGGGTCCGCTGAAGGGTCCTGCATCTGGTACAAGCTTCCAAACAACCTGCCCAACATGTGCTTAGGCTCTAACTCCACACCTAGCATCATTTGCCTGGAGACGTTGCAGGACAGGGACATAGTCCGTCACTTACCGTGCGACCACATCTTCCATTCAAATTGCATCACGAAGTGGTTCCTGAAACAGCACGACACCTGTCCGGTTTGCAAACTTTGCTACATACCTCACATAGCCAGTAGCTCGAGGCAATCGTCTGTAGCTAAGAGACGCGATCCATCTAGGGTTAGAGAAACTCCTATAGTTCCATAACGGGCTTCACCCTTCACCAAGGTTGCAAGAAAAACTACTAACTAGTTATAACATGTGAAAGTCAAAAACTATTGAGTTAGAATTAAAATAAGGAAACGAAGAACATTATGATGCAGGAATGACCAACTATCGGAGTCGCTAATTTTGCACTGGCGTTGCTTTTTATTTTACTCTTCAAAAGCTTGCTGTCCATCCGTCCCCATCTTATAAACTGTATCCACAGCAAAAACACATCCTACAATACATCTCAAAGGAACACATAGCTTAGAAGCAGCAGTGGGTAGGTTATATCATTAAGAACTATCGCAACTATGGGCAGCGAGTCAACAGCCCGGTCGAAACTGTACGTAAGGATGTGAAGTCATATCTACTGACCAGCACAGGCAACCTCTTACACCTTCACACAGCCCTTATGTAGATAATCCAATGCAAGGAATGTGATTATATTGAGCGGGCTGCAGATATGATGATAAGGCTTCGTGTTCAGTACGTTAGTCAGGAATGGCTTGGTAACTTACCTATACAGATATCCTACTGTGCTATTAACCTTATCGTCTCACAATATCGCCGGACAGCAGCTGTTAGATTGGACCATGCACCTGGCATCAGACCGGGTGGGTCATGTGATCAGTTGCCTAGTATTTTGCCACAAGGCTTAGGAATCAGCTTCTAGCTGATTCTACACAGCACAGAACGAGGTATATAAAGCTTGCTCTGATACCTCAGAACAAGAAGAGAGAAAAAAGACACATACACATATAATACACACGATTGACATCATCAGAGTGCCACGCTAGCTTTCCAACAGCAGCAGCTTTATCTTCAAATGCAGAGCCTGTGCCACTTCCGCCTTGTAAGGGTGTATTTATGCAGCAGTATGCCCTGCCGTGCAATCATTACATTCTGCGGGAGCTTGAAGCCTAGCGGCCGCTGATGAAGGAGGTTGTGCATCCGCGATAGTGGCTACAGAAGCCGTTGGTATATTCTTAGTCATCTAGCTACCCGATTTACTAGGCTATTGGAACTAATACAGACTTCTAGGACCTTAAGGAACTATTACTACGCATCCATGACCCTAATATTATCACTAACCTTCGCGGGCGCCAGCATACACTATCCAACTCGAAGCTTCCTATTCCGCCATACCTAAAGGTTGAAGTTACCGAAGGCGTTGAGGTCCTCCCGCCCCTGCCGCCCTTCCCGAGTCAGGGCTACAGCAGCCTTAAGCCTAGTATCCGGCGGTCCCTGACTCAAGCTGAAATCGAGATGCAGACATCACTATGGCCAAGTTCGGGCCCGATGTCAAGATCAGGATCACCTGTACATACACCTGCCCGCATACAAGAAACTAGAAGAGGACAGGCTCGAGGGACAAGGGCGGGGGTGCCATCAACCTCACGGCAGCTCCGGTCGTCTCGGGCGGCGGCGGAATAGGGGTTTTCCGCTTGAAAAGTAGTATTTTGTATGAAAACACCGGAAATGCGTTTTTTAAACGATTTAGCCCTAGCTAGGACCGTCAGGCTATTACTGTGTGTGTGATCGTGATGTGTGCAGTTGACATTTTATTGTAATTCGGGCTGCACTCTTGATTGTATAGTAATCAGTATGGTAGGTGGGGAATGCAAGGAAAAAAAGGGGGCAAATTTTGAACATGTGACTTTGTTCGTGCGAATTAGCAAAAGTTGTTAGTGCGAATAGCACGACTCCCAGGGTGTCCATAATTTCTGGAGGAAGAGAGCGCGGTAGGCGAGGGGGAAGTTGAGGACTGGCTCGCTCGTCATTATCAAATGTCGGAAAGCGGTTTGTATGACGCAGTGAAATAGATCCATACGAATGGTCCCAAGAGAACCACCTCGAGCGCTGTGAATGTCGTGTCAGGCGGTATTGGGATGGCTTCTATGATGTTAACTGGTATTGCCGGATCTACGAGAAAGAAAAGGTAGTAGCACCCACTGAGGCAACCGGGGAAATAACGGGCTGGGAGACGGAGATTTAAGACTTAGCATAGGATTAAATTCTAGCTGCTACTCCAGGCCCAGCGCCCACAGTACCATTATGCAACCAAAAAGCGAATTTAACATGTCCCACATACCACATTAAATAAACTTTACCCAACTGGAATGCGTTCTCGACTACGGAGGCAATTTTCCGGACTTTCCGACGTTTGGCACTAAGGGTTTGGTCTAAGATCGACCAAGGATATCCCCGCTGGCCAATCCAAAATCTAGCTAACAGATATGAAGAGATGCTTGTGGCGATTTGTGCTTTTTGGAGCATCCCGCGGACCCTTGAACGTTCTTGCACTGGGAGGGTTGTGTGTCCGATCTCCTGACAGTTGCATCATTTGACGAAAGGGGCACTTTTATCACATGCACAATATTGACATATCGTCATACCCCCCTCATTACCTTGCTTAGTGGCGTTTTTAATCAGTCGACTATTTTAATTCGATTATGCTGAGCCCTTGCTGACAACTTTCGGCATCTTTAGTGGTCGACTCTTTTTTGTCCTCATTATGTCAAAACCGTGCATTCCTACATCTCCTCATCCTATTCCCGATGAAGAGGTTATCTCTGACATTTATGACTTTCCCGTACTCTCTTTCGAGGGCAAATCTAGTCCATTTGGTAAACTAGTCGCTGCAAGAGATGGTGTTCTCAACGTTGTCGTGATATTCAGTAAGTCCTTTACGAGAGTCCTCGATGTTTGAGAAGCGCGATTAACAGTCAATAATCTAGTTCGCCACTTCTTCTGCTCCTGCGATCAAGATTATATCCGTTCCATAGCGCTATATCTTACACCAACCGTCCTCTCTACTCTGGCCATTGGGCCGTCTAGACTCATTATCGTCGGTTGCGGTGACCCGTCCCGTATCCTCCCTTATGCTGCAGAAACATCCTGCGAGCTCCCAATATTCACGGATCCTACTGGCCGCATATATGAAAGGCTCCAGATGAAAAAATCCTTGACTATCTCCGGAAGACCGTCATATGTGAAACAGTCCTTACTCAGTCTTATCATTGTCACGAGCCCTGATTGTGTGAGGCGTCTGATTGGATGTGTGTATATTCTGAGTTGCATATGATCCCCGCTCTGAGTCCCTGTACATCCTTATACTGAAACCAGCTACAAGGATATAGCTATAGCAGTCACACGCCATGTACACGCCCAGCTACCCAAATACACATCGTGACACACCCCCTTAGCCGAGGCCATTCCCAAGGACTTGGCTACCCTATAACTTGTCTTTTGGGTCTCTGCGCTGCCCTCCTCGATATCCGAGTCTTGCCTCCTTGTCAGGGCTGTTGCCTTCCTTCTGGCTGCGTGCTTTCACAATCTGGTCCTTCATTGCTTCCATTCGCTGTTCCAGGACAATCTGGTCTGAAATGTCCTCCATTTGAAGCATCTTAATGAACGTTGCATGCCGTTGTTTGGGTAAGGCCTTTGTCATTCCGTCTGCAATCATCTTCGATGTTGGAACCCAGCCGAACTCAAATCTCTTCTCCCTGTATTCCTGTCGTAACCAGTGTCGATGAATGTCCACGTGCCGAAGCTTCGTAGTCAACTTGGCTGATTCTTCAGTCAGGAGCCTGATTGTCTGGGTATTATCGCATTCAATATGCAATGGCCCATCAATCTTAGCATCAAGTTCCTTGAGGATTCTGCTTGCAAAGATGGCTTCCTTGGCTGTCTGAGACAAAGCGAGCAATTCAGCTTCAGTGCTCGATGTAGTGACAGTGGATTGTTTCGTTGCTTTCCAGGCAATTGGTCCTCCAAACAACATCATCACATAGCCTTGCGAGCTCTTCCTGTCTATTGTATTGTCTGCATAGGAAGCTCTTGAGGAATCTTGTTCCTCCCAGCCTGATTCCCAGTGAACGTGTTCCATACAAATACTGCAAGACTCGGTCTGCGGCCTTATGATGTGTCTGATCTGGATTCTTATTGAACCTAGCAAGCCTTGCAGCTGCAAACGCAACATCGGGTCTTGTTGAGATCGCTGTGAACAATATCGATCCAACTTTCTTCAAATATTTCTCGATCGAACGACGGTCGGCTTGGCAGGTTGCTGGTAACAGCTCTTCCCCTGTCATCGGAGTCTCAGGAGCCTTTGTCTCTAGATCAACATCATACTGGTAAGCAATCTTATCAATATATGCATCTTGAGTCAACCAGATAGATCGCTTAGCTCTGTTTCGTATGATGTGAATTCCAAGAAACCACTTCAGTTCTCCCAGCACTGCCATGTTGTATGTCTGCTGTAGGCCTTCCATAGCCTTCTTTGCCCTGTCTGCCTTCTCCTTCCGGTATGCCCAGACAAGATCGTCAACAAAGAAGAAGACAATCACTCCGTCTTTAAGCATCACACAGGGTTCGTCGGGAACAGTCCTAAAGCCGAGATCTCGGAGGGTTCGTGTCAGATCTTGTTGCCACAAGAACGGAGACCTTCGTAGTCCGTAGAGCGCCTTCTGGAGCTTTAGAACTCTGCCGTATTTTTGGAATCCTGGTGGCATTCTCATAAATACCAGTTCATCTAGCTCGCAGTGCACGAAAGCATTTACAGCATCCATCTGCACGAGCTCCAGATCGTACTCTGCCGCTATTGCCATAAGCGCCCTAAAAGACATGCTGGCAAGCGTTGTCGCTCGAGTAGGCAGATCTCCCCTAGCCTGTTGATTGCCACACACCACAAGTCGGGCTTTGCATTTGACAAAATATCCATGCTTGTCTGTTTTATAGGTAAACACCCACATACAGCTTAGCACTTGTTGTCCCCTTGCCCGACTCCACGGCACCTCAATGAACGACTTCATCTGGTTGTGAGATGACATATGGTCTTCTTGTGCTTTGCGAAATTGTTCCTTGAACGGGTGGCTGTCGAGATCCTTGAGAGTCTTCGGTTCGTCTGGTAGGTTTCGCTTATGTATCTTCTTCGGCTTGAACTTCATTCCAGCGACAAAACTCCCATGGTAAGCAGTCTCAATTGGAACTGGAATAAAGTCGTCCAAGCAGCTCTCCACGATTGCGATTGGTGGGTTATCTGCTCTCACCCCCTCAGCTCCAGCGACTGGTAAGAAGACTGAAAGAGCTGCGTCTTGCTCTTGGTCTGGTTCAGTTGGTGGAGGTGTACGGAATGCTTCCTCTAAAGCTCTTGCCAGTTCGTAGTCTTCTTTGTCCGCTTCGTCGTCCTGGTCTTCTTCCCGATCATCATCTGGAACCATTTCTCCTTCGTCGTCATTCTGATCTTCGCCATAGATACCAGATTCAAAGACTGGCTCGTCTTCTTCAAGAATTGTTTGATTGTTCAGCTGGCTCAGCGGAATAGAGACCTTTTCGACCAGATCGTCAACGCTATCAATGAGTTCCTTTTCCGTACATTTGCCATCAAAGAATGTGTCTTCGTCAAAGATAACGTCTCGAGTTGATATGACTTTTCCTTTGTGCGGAACCCAGACACGAAATATACTTGTCGAGTTGTAGCCGACAAGATAGCCGATGTGCGCTCTCGGGTCAAGCTTGCGGAGCTTCTTTCGTTTGAGTTGCGCTCGTGAAGTCATGGCGTAGGCCCTGCAGCCATATGCCTTCAGATGTGATAGATACGGCTGCTTTGAGTAGAACAACTCGTAAGGCGTCTTCCAGCCATTTGACTCTCTTGGCGTTCTGTTCTTCAGGTACACGGCTGCGCTGATTATCTCTCTCCAAAGATCATGCGGTAGGTTGGCTGTGATTCTTATCACTCGGCTCTTCTCAATTATCGCACCCCCTGAGCGCTCAGCTCCTCCGTTCTGAGCTTGCGTATTTGGCGCTGATGGTTTGCCAATGATGCCTCTCCACATCGTCCAGTATTTGATCTTCTTGGTGAAGAGCTCGTTGTCTGAGCGAACCACTCTAACCAGATAGCCATAGTGGTTCTTCATCCAGTGATAGAAGTGTCTCACTATCTTACCACTTTCTCGTCTGTCATATGTCTTGGTATAATATGGAAAGACCATACCAGACCATGCGTCTGTGATAAACATAGCTCGAACAAAGCCCTTTGCATCTTCATCAACGTCGGTCCAGTCAATCCAAATCTCATGACATGGCTTGTCCTTTTCTCGGTCTGGTGGCCGTCGAGATATCTGCCGATGTATCTTCCCTTGGCTGCAGGCTGGACATTGTGTTGTCTTCGGTCCGCGGAGTCTTATCCCTAGGGAATTCTTTCCCAAGTGATGTAACACTAATGGACTTGGATGTCCCATTCGAAGATGCCATAAGGATCCATTCGCTACCGCTGGTGCCCTTGGGCTTCGCGATGTTCTTCGCCTGTATTGCGTGCTAAAGATAGCATTCTCAGAGTCGCGTGTAATCTCTTGATACTGCAGTACGAATTGATTATGCATCTGGTGAACGATGCATATGGTTGAGCCGTCCCTTCGGATCAGGAGATTGTTGATGGTATCCCAGAAGATTCCGTTTCTTCGAAGCAATTGAAAGGATACTAGGTTCGTGCTGAAATCGGTACAATAGGTTGCGTTCCGTAGGCGTAGCATTCCAACTCCTCCTCCTGGAAGTGTGACCTCTAGGTCAACTCTTCCAAAACCTAGGATTGGAACTTCTGATACTCCTGCAATGACTGCCTCTCCGTCTGCTGCCTTGCGGAAGGTCTTAAACCTAGTCAGATCGTTAAAAATATGCAAGGTTGTACCAGAATCCAAGATCGTTGATAAACGTAGCGGATACACAGTAGTTGTCGAGGCAAAGGCTGATCGTAGGTGCGCTGTGTTCGCCTCTCCTATGATCTTTACTCTGGCCTTTCTCTCCTTTGATTGTCAGTTCCCTTTCTGTTCTCGTAAAGCATCAACCCTTCTCTGCAGCTCGTGGTCATCCTCCAGCGCCTTCTTAGCCTTTCGCATACGACGATCGTTGCGAGGCATGCCCTCCGGTCTCTTATCTTCGAACACACACCAACAGTCAGGTAGGTCATGCCCTCTCATACCGCAGGCTGGGCACGTAAGTGCTGGCCTCTTTCCAGAGCGTCCTCCGGAGCCAGACTTCGTCCTCTTCCCACCCTTTGGCGTGGATGCCTCCTCACTGTGGTCGCTCTCCTCGTTGCCTCCCTCTGCGTGAAACGCCCCGCCCCTCACGGTGTTACCACTCGTGGGCCTGTTGCGGGATGCCCATTCACGCATTGTTGAGGCAACCTCTTGAGGTGTCCAAACCTTTGAGCCATTGGGATCAGGTCGCTGTATGGCCGGTGCAATCAGGTCAATGCCTCCTGGTCTAGATTGGGAATCTGGTTCTAAGGTTTCACTCCCACTGCTTGCCTGGAGTCGTCGCTGCTCAGCCGCTTCTGCCTGGGCAGCCTGGTAGGCGAGCGCGTCTTGTAGGCGTCTTCTCTGAAGAACTGCTTCGGCATCTAGAGTCTTGGCCCCCTCCGCAAAAGCTGTTGCATAGCTTTGATGGATTGGTTCAATTAGGTCAGCGAACTCTCGAAGCCATTGACCGGTCTCAGTCTCTGCTAGGTGATACTTCTTTGCCTTGATCATCATCGATTCCCACGACTCAAGCCATTGTGGGAAGGCTTTCTGATTCTTGAAGCCTTTCATCACGACAATATATTCGTCTTTCACCTTAGCCATCATGAAGCCTTCTGATGGGGCAGCAGAGCTCTTGAGCAGCTGCATCCACTCTCGCAGTGTGTCTTTTCTGTCGAGCGGTTGCCTGTACTTGGTCGAAACTGCCTCCAGGATGGTATCGTATACCATATTAATCTCTGTCTCCTGCTTTCCAAAGTCCCGCTTCCTGACTTCCCACTGCCTAAACACAGCATCAAACGACCGCTGCTGCGGCTGTGATAGCTGGGTATAGTCTGTGGCAGTAGCGTTGAAGTCGCCATACTGAGGCTCTCTTGGTTCTTGCAAGAGTTCCCCAATAGGGTGATCAGGATGCATGTAGGACCATATCTTCCTTGGAATCTTGGCTGACATGGATTGAATCCACGCATCCCAATTTTCCTTTCCAGTCAACATCACTTTCTGGTCTTTTGACGTCATATTCGGATCGGCCGGAATGGACTTAATCGATCGATTTGGACCGCGTCACGACGTATTCTATCTGAACAACGATTGATATCGGTCGTTCAAGGGTCTGACTCGATGTGGATCGCGTTGTTGCCGTCTTTTCAGTGGAATTATCGCGAACCGGGCTCATAACTGTCACGAGCCCTGATTGTGTGAGGCGTCTGATTGGATGTGTGTATATTCTGAGTTGCATATGATCCCCGCTCTGAGTCCCTGTACATCCTTATACTGAAACCAGCTACAAGGATATAGCTATAGCAGTCACACGCCATGTACACGCCCAGCTACCCAAATACACATCGTGACAATCATAAGAAGCATGAAACAAATGGTGTTGGGTTGACCCCTCGTGTGGCGGCATAACCTCTGATACACCAATATCCTAGTCTTAGTCATAGGGCGTGAGATGACATAAAACCCCTCACAGGAAAAGAGGGGGCCGGAAGATCGGAGAGAACAGACATCAATACGATCATCTTTGGGCTCCACTATCGTCTTGATCATTATTGCCCTAATTGACTTACCCGTACCGGATCCAACAAATGGTTAGGAGCGGATATGGTGCCTTCAAAGGTGGAGACTTTTGGCAGAATGGTGGGGAGTGAGAGGGAAGATGTGTATGGGTGCATAGGATGGAAACAACGGCAGATCATTTGACGGCGGAGGAGTTAGTAAAAGTTCTGTCAGGAGACGAATACTGGCTCCCTGCGACTTGAGAGATGAGAGGTACCAGAAAGCACCAAAGTTCAACTTTCCGGCTTAAGCTGCTCTCGACAGCCCCGGGAGATATTCCTTCCGATGATACCAGCACCGCCTAGAGCGATAGCGCCGCAAGGAAGACGAAGAGATATCCAGTTAGCATTCAAGGCTAACATTCACTTTTATGAGGCTTTTCTCCGTGGGATTTCCACAACTGGCAACGAGACAATCAGGGGCTTGAAGATGACGATGGTGGTTTCGCAGCCTTCGGCGAGATGGTGAAAGGCTATTATACGAAGGATGGGAATGCCGAGGGGTTAGCCGAGATTAAAGCTAACCCCTTACACTTCAAGTCACAATAGGAGTACAAGCAAAGAGAACGGCAACTACAGCGGCGGTGACGCATTCCCCGGGGAGCCGTCTTTCCATCTCGATCTTTGGCTCTAACATCGGCTGCCCCTTTCACCAACTTACCTCGACAGTTGCTCGATGCCCATGCCGCTATGTAGGTAGAGTGGTGTCTTGCTGCTGTATTTGACATTTAAGTCGGCTTTCCACCTTCTCAGCTTAGAGCGACCTATCGGAGGGCGAGGGTCACGAGGGTGTTAGGAGTGAAGGTATGGAGGCATTGTTGGCTCACATGCTCCGCACTACAACCCAACCGCCTTTAGCGAGTGACCCCAGAGCCAGCCCTTCAACCCCCAGCAGGTACCAATTTCAGTCGAAGTGCTGGCAGCCACTGAAGTGGCTCTGCAGTACCCTGCACTCGGCGACGAAATGATGACCAGCAACTAAGGAGATGCTGTAGATACCAACCCCCCTTCACTTGAGAGTTGAGAGTCTAATAATTCACTCGCCGACATCGCCGCGGGACCCTCAAAAGAAGTTCAATCACCTAAATCGAACACACTCCAAAGTCAGTGGCCAGCTCATCTCCGCTTTCCGCCAAGAGATGGCGGCTCTTAAGGATGATCGGTCTTCCAGCAGTGGGAGTGAGAGGCAGAGGAGGAGAGAGGATGGGAACCACATGCCAGATCAACAAGGAGCATTACTGCTTCAGAGCCAGAAAACAGCCCTGGAATGGTGTGGCTGAGGGGGGACCCACGCCGCCTCACGGCGGCCCAACTGCATCCCACCACCATCCAGCGATCACCTATCGCCGCAGAAAGCTTGCGCTCTCACAAGCGACAAGAGAAACACATGCACATGCTAAAACTAAAAAATACCAAACATGATTCTGTGATAATAGATTTTCTTGCTGGCACGCGCAGCCGGTCAAACTGTGGCGTTTTCAACAAAACCCGGTCGCTTGTGTTACCCATTTAGCTCCCGGTTCCCAGCTACCAACTCCCAGCTCCCCATCCATCTACACCTCCTCGCATTGCCCTCCCACACGCTTCAGCCTTCTTCTGTCAGCTTCTTATAGGCTCACACTGATCTTTCCTGGCTCTCATCACATTGTCTTAACTCACCTGACTACCCAAGGTATCTGACTTGTGGCCGATCGAACCTCCCGCTTATACATCCTTCCCATCATCCTATCGTCATGCGACCGGACACCTTCCTCACCTAACCCACGAAGCTTACGACTCCCATCTCCCGCCTCTTCCGGCCACCTCACATATCCCCTAAGCTTTCAAAATGGCCCCTGCGCAAGTTAAAGGCGACATCCCGACACACGGCTCCACCTTCATCAAGGTACGTCTTATCAGCACTTCTAGCTCAATCCCCAAGCACCCGCCAGCTAACCGCGCTCCAGCACCTCCTGAACTACCCCGTCTTCAAGGACGGCGATCAGAAGGCCGACGAGTACGGCCAAAAGTCTATTCAGCTCGGCAACTCTGCCTATAAGACCTTCGCCGCCCCCGTCCTGCCTGCCCTGGTTCGCCAAGCCCATCGAGTACGTCTCGCCCTACGTCCAAAAGGCCGATGAGCTCGGCGACAACACCCTCAATCGCATCGATGAGCGTTTCCCCATAGTCAAGAAGCCCACCAGCGAACTCTACAACGAAGCCAAGGGTCTCATCCTGCTGCCATACACCAAGGGCCTCAAGGGAAAGGACCATGTTCTCCAGGTCTACTCCACCGAGTATAATAAGAACGAGCAGGCCGGCTTGGTCGCCGACCTGGTCGCCCACGGCAAGGCGGTCTTCACGACAATTCTCCTCGTTAGCAACGAGACGCTAAGTTGGCTCAGCAGCTTCGTCAGCGCCAAGAAGGCTGAGGCGACGCAGAAGGTCAACGATAAGATCAACCAGTAGACAAGGACTTTGGTTGAGATAGACCGAGTTGACGACACGTGTTTAGACACATATACCTCTTTCCCTTATTTCTAGGCTTTCTTGCTACTCTACTATATTTCAATCTCTCTTCTCTGTCTTCCCTATGGTTGGGACCTCAGTCGACGCTCTATCTGATGAACCTGCAGGCGCCTTATAATACGACCAGTAAGCGTCACACAGCCTGGCTCACCGCCTACACGTGAACAAAGTTCCGAGGTTGACCCAAGAGAAGTCCTCCTGAACAATTACTTCGGCAGACAGTTCAACTCGCTCAATGATGTGGTCGTCCATCCCCGTAATGGTGACCTCTACTTCACGGATACTCTATGGTTTCCTCCAGGACTTCCGCCCCGCCCCAGGGCTACGTAACCAAGTATACCGGTACAACTTCACCACAAGTGCCGTGACTGTGGTTGCTGATGACTTCACGCTACCAAACGGTAAGTCTCAACTTACAATTAGAAATCATGGCGCAACTTACAATCATCAGGAATCACCTTCCCCCCGACGGGAATCGCGCATACGTTACGGACACGGGAATCGCCCTCGGATTCTACGGCCATAACCTGTCTTCCCCGGCCTCTGTGTCGCCATCTCCAGACTCGTTTCATGTGGACAACCCTAACAAAATGTAGCTATCAGTTTGACGTGAACAAAGACGGCACCTGACAGAATCGCAAGACTTTCGCTTATGTCGCATCTTTTATTCCAGATGGTTCGTTATTTTTCCTTCTTCTTGGGGTCTGACCTGATGTCGTGGTCTATGCAATTGGCTAATTCATATGTGTGGCAGGCGTCCATACCGATTCCAAGGGTCGCGTGTACGCTGGTTGTGGAGACGGCGTCCACGTCCGGAATCTCACCGGCAAGATTTACGCAGGGACTACAGCGGCGAACTTCCAGTTTGCTGGCCGCGGGCGCATGATTATTACGGGGCAGACCAAGTTTTTCTATGCCACTCTGGCGGCTTTGGGTACGGTGCTCACTTGATTCCTCGGTTCGCCAACATTTAGCTGCATAAACAGCCGCCTTCCACAGAGAGTTAGCTTGACTTGCACGCATTTCTCCTCATGTAGCGCCAGCCCTACCTGCAACAGCAGGGTGTCACGCCAACAGGCCTCTGGGTACCTGCAATGAGATGATGCGTTCCCGTCACACTGGCGAAGATGACTGAGGATCGTGACAACAAACACCTTGTAGGCGTCCTTTCGTTGCAACAAGATTCCCCACCACTCTCAATCCAGTCTTTTCCTGAGGTCATTAATCAATCCCGCTCCCAACTCTCCAGTCATCTCTAAGAGGCGTTGGGACCTGCTATCCTTCCACAAGTAGCACACCCTACCAGCCGCATACATGTTGAGCAGAAGCCTCAACTCGTCTCCCTGTTGCTTCCCTAGGATATCCTCGTAGCGGTGTTGTATCATGTGTATAATATCCCCAGTATTCTCCTTCCACACAGTGAACCATTTCAAAAACTGTCTCAATTACCAGACCCTACTTTAGGGACCAGGTTCCCGACTATCGAACATAACATCGTTTATCCTGCTCTGGCTCGTCGTGCTGATGGCGGACAGACTAGATCTGTCCACCACGTTTTCACTGCTGCCTGAGGGACCTACGAGCCACCGACCCCGGTGACATCACAGTATAACGGGTGACGACGAATCTACTCAAGATTCTCATGTAGCCCCTAGGGCTTGAATGCTTGCAAAACTCTAACTCTGTCCCGTGAACATCTTCGAAGCGCTTCATCCCGGCTGTCCTCGAATTCAGGTCTAACAGGGCACCAGATAGCACCATTTACGTTCAGGTTCATGGCAGTATACCAAGAGCTACCAGCCCAAAAGGGCTGCTCATCATGTCGTGCTCATCATTCGGGCTGATCGCATACGTCTCTAATCATGCCTCCGGAAGCAACTTTCAGTATGGTTCTAGAATACAAGTGTCAAATATTAGGGTGAAAAAAAATTGTCTGTTCTCCGTCCTATGTCTTGAGGTTTCAGGGCAAGCTTTATATACCCTTTTTCTTCTGTATAGAATCAACTAGAAGCTGATTGCTAAGCCTTGTGGCAATAGGTGGCAATAGGTGGCAACTTTCGCCTCTGACGTATCTGACAACAAGCCGTTCGCCAAATAGCGTCATGAAAGACGCACCTTTGCAGAGTTAGACACGGTTTATTTACTTTGATGCTCTAGATCACCCTCTATGGTACAGGTACCATCCATGTACTAGCCAGTCTCAGGACAAACTCATACGCCCCAAGTGCGATTACGGCTGCTGGGATTGGGTGCAACGGGTGTGGCGTAAGGCCATACAAACCGCTCCGCTTTGAACTGGTCTACTCCGTACTGGTTTACTACCCTGCCTGCACTGGTCCAATTCATCGTACCAGTTCATTCTATTCGTTACTGATCGAGTCCAGAGGTATGACTCGGCTCTTGTATTCGAGCAATAGTGACGGGTAAGATAGTGTGGCTGCAACATCATGATTGGAGTCTTCAACGCCGGCGAATGTGTCCTGGTCACAAGAGAGCGGCCTAACATCTGTGTCGTGTGCGACCATCGTTGCTTTGCATCGGCCACCTTGTTTAGAATAAGGTACATTTGTGTGGCGCTTATCGGGAGGTCCTCCTCAATCAATCAACGCCGATCCATCCTCAAGCTTGCTCTTTTCCAATCCCTCAAATCTATCGTTGCTGAGTCGCAGACGAGAAAGTCTGGCACATTGCTGCAAAGCCTGCTTGAAGTGGTGCCACTGGCTTGCCAGAATGAGATTGGACAGAAGGCAGTTGTCCTCGATCCCCGACCGGAGACACCCGACATCTCACACTAACCCTTGTTCCCCAGCTTATTGACATGACATTTTGCGCCTTTACTCTGACAGCGGTGAAATCCAATATACATCGCTATTCTTTATGCCTTGGATGGCTATACGCTCGGTTCCCCCACCCGGCCTTTATAGTACGTCAAAGCACGAAGGCGAACGCGCCTTGCGTCAATGAGATGCCGCGGATGCAAAGAATCTAACTTAAACCCACACTACAGAGGGGAACCGTTTCTGGCAGAAGAATGGATCGTTTGGGTGGGGTAGCACTTCCAGAGGTAGCAGGAATTGGGTAGGAAGCAGCCACTCTTGGAGGCTATGTTTGGATGACAAAGAGCCGTTTTAAATGTTAAAGGAATGGAGTAGCCAGTTTTGGACGCTGCATGGATGTGATGATGCGCATCCATTTCTGAAGGCAGCAGGGACTAGCTAGTTCTAGAGGTAGCAGGAATAGAACAGCCAGTTCTGGAGTTGAATGTAAGATGTGCGCTGGCTCGTGGCCGGACCCAAGAACGTCTGGAGACCGCAAAACGCACCAACAGAAATCCAATGGCCAAACATTTTGTTCCAGTTGCTGGAACCAAGTTCAAAGTCGGGTTACAGCTGTTGTTGCGTGTCGGTCTCGGGAGAACGACAAAAACTTCCCACGAAAGGTCCAGTACTTCTCGTAGCTGCCCGAAGCCATGTTCTAGCGCATGCTAGTCAAATCTCCAATATATTTCTGCAGCAACTTGTTGCTGTCTAGCTTCTCATGTCCCTTCTTAACTACCTCGACGCGGTTAAAGATGAGGAGTAGCGAGTCCTGCAACGCCTTCGCATGCCTAGATCCGCAGGAACAAACGTCAGTGAGCAGTTCCCAAGATGGCCACCCTCGGACACATCTAACGTTCACGGCAGATCCCATAGTCTTCACTGACCGGCGCAGTTCAGTGTGTATTTCACGCTCCAACGCTTCAACATCCTCGCTTGTCATCCGCGAGCTCATGGCCCGCAAGTCATCTGGTTCAATTTTGTCTCGACAGGCTCGCTGGTGTCTTGGCTAGGAGCACGAATGGACGAATGTGGCTGGCGCCCTCGCCAGCCAACCGACCCGATCATGGCTGGATGTGGATCGTAGGGCCCAAAGCTAGGAAGGAGATGCTGCCCGTCCATCTTTGTCATGTTAAATATATAGGATAGCTGGAACCGATTCTGTGGAAGGAACCTCGTATGATCATGTGTGGCTCGAAAATGGAGCCGCTAAATGAGCTTCATATTTCGTGAGCCTCGCGGAAGCAGGGTTGAGGGCCGATCGGAGACTGGCTGGGTTAATTTTCTCAACATACTACGTGCGTATGACATTGCACCTATAACAAGAGGCCGGCTTGGAAATGACCGGAAGGAATCACTACTCCCCGTACACCGTTCATGGCTCCTCCTTATTGGACTCCTCGATCGGTATGCGAACCGAGTCGATCGTGGCTTATTCAATGGAGAAAGGACCGAACCTGGAATTAGCCGACTCGGCTTTAGATCGGATCGACTGTTCGGTTTAAGTGGCATGATGATTGCCGTCCCTCCTGCAGATCATGAGGATCAAGAAGGGCTTCCACTTCGTGTCTCTTTCCGTATGCATACCCCGGCGCATATGAGGAAATTGGAAGAGCTGGCAAATGACACCATGACGGCCACAACCTTGCTCTTCCTGTCACTGGGCTATATTCCGAAGCCAAACGATCAAGCCCGGTACTTTCTCGGCATTCCCGAAGAAGCTGGAATGCCAAAGTATATGACGTATCCCAGCGATGACAGTACGGAGAGCGGCAATTATTCCGTGGTGTGGAAATTCAAGGAAGGCGAGGAAATTCTCGACTTGGACCCTAATGAAAGCGTCATGACAGAGCTGGGCATTAACCGTCCTCGCATTTATGAATTTATGGAGGTTCGAGCACAGCAAAATGAGACCAGGCTTTCAGTCACTCATTGTCATCTCGGCTTGCGCAATTCGAACATCAAAGTCTGGATGAATCGAACAGAACTTGCCTCTGTGTTTCTCGCTATTCTGCAGCTAGACGGAAGCGCCCAGTCGTTTCTCTACAAACGCGATCCGTCAGTAGCCTGGACAATGGGACTGGAAGCTTTGATCTGGGTGCGCTTTCCCAATGCAGACAACCAAAATATTCAATCGGCCATAAATGATGTGGCAAGATATGTCTCTCGTCATGATTTTAGTCCGCGACTCTGGAGTCGATCGGTCTCGAAAGCATACTTCCAACCAGACCAGGCACTATGTCATCACATTCAAGCCGAACGCCCAGCCATGCAGGCTGTAAGCGTTTTGTTCCTGCTGGATGGCAAATTTCGCGAAATATATGAAACGTTGGACCCGACGGCCAACCGTCTTCACGTTACTTTGGCCCTGGACCTTGAAAATAGCGCTGTATTATGAACAACCAGCCGTCTCTTGGATAAAGCCAGCGGCCCGAACAGCGAGAGCAGCTCAGTGGCATTTTCCTTTGACTTCCCGGCGGTGTTGGGCCATGAACTTGACGGCCTGAGGGATTTTCAAGCCGAGGGCAACGCAGATGGATTACCACTCAAACTCTCATACCCAGAAGTTATCGCAGCATGCCTACGTGGATATATCAAAGTCGCAATGTGGATCATGGCTATTCCTTCTCAGGACTTATTCGCTTTCTACGCCCAGCTAGATACTGTAGTGCACATTGCCGCTCGGATCCCCGTTGCGCCAATGAGTGCTGATCAAGACCAAGAAGTTCAATGGCCTCCTGCTCTGAATTCTCCTACCGAGGTCAATGTGGAATCTCCGTAGGAGATACGTTTGTCACATCTATCTATAGCAACAGCTGCTATCTATAGCAGTTACCGCTAAAAGACGGAGCTGTCATCATAATACGAGGAATTGTTTGCTTTTTCCTATTTAGCTGCTTCAGCTACTTTAGCTGTGATGCTATTCACATCCAGCTGAACTGTTAGTCTGCGATGCCTCAGGCATCAACTATCGTATCTTTCTTCTATAACTACGGTCCTTACGGCCCTCAGTTAGCTAGAAATCAAGAGCTTCTACACACATCTCAATGCACCCTTCCTATCAGATGCAACAACGTTAACGGGACACCCGAGGGTTCTGGTCTAGAGACAAGCGTTGTTCGCACTAACTAGTTGATAAAAAGAGTATTCATATGCACTGCACTGCGGGTTATCTGCCTTGCACCATTCCTAGGAAGCAAGACTGGTACATAATCGAAATCCTCTCGTCAGCGGATGCGTGCTGTTTCGTGACCGCAACGGCCGCGGCCCCGTCGATGATGAATTCCTGGGAGCTGGCGCCGTCGCTGGACGGCTTCCCCCCGCCAGACGCCTCGACGCTCCGCTCGACGTTCCGCATGGAGAGCATGTCGATGTCGTCGTGGTGGTCGCTGACGGCTTTCTGCGTTGCTGAGTGGTGCAGTTTCCTGGACCTCGCCGTTGTCGTCGAGTGGTGTACCGCCGCAGCGCCGCGACTTTGCGATCCCGTGCCGCCGACAATGTTGTGGCTTCCCGTGCTGCTCTCATGGGCGAAGACGAGGCGCGAGGCGAGGATGTCTATGCTGTTTGATTGGGGGGTCAATAGGGTGGTAATTCTTGGTGTTGGTGTTTCCAAAGAAAAAAGAAGAAAAAAAGGGCCCGGAGGGGGGGAATAAAACTTACAACATTACGATGGGAAACAGACACTCCAGCGTGTACGCAAACCGATCCAGCTGGCCCGCCACCCCCTCTGCGCTCTGCGCCGTGTTCTGGAACGAGTACGTCACAGCGCGCATGACGCCAATGAGGGCCAGCGTGGCGAGGCGGATCTCGGTGCTGCGCATGAGGTAGCGGAACAGCTCGCCGCGCCCCAGCGTGGTCGTGACCGACGTGCGGCGCGCCGCACGGAATGTCCTCAGCAGGAAAACGGCACTCGCACATTCGACCACCGCGATGGCCGTGAAGTATCCCACGTGCAGGTGGTCGACCGTCCGCTGCAGGGATGGGGAGTGGTTGTCGTCGAGGATGAAGCGCACGCGGACCACCATGATGCCGAGGCGGACGGCCGTGATGACGAGAACCAGCGTCCAGAAGAGCGACATGAAGATGGTGCGCTCAACGCCGCGGAGGATACGGACCAGGATCGCGTAGCTGTAGAAGGAGAGTCCAGCTTCTTGAATCTGTGTGGAGCGGGCCGAGCATGTTGAGATCCGTGGTTTAACGGATTAATGGCTATTCCGATCCATTGGTGGCTAGGATGTAGATGCCTTCTTGTCCATAGCTAGCGCTAGTCTTTTTTCTTCAATCAACATAACATGCTCATTTCAACAGAGCAGGCCATTGCGTTAGCCGAATTGCAACATCGCCAGTTAGGATTGGCACGGGACAGGACGGGAACGGAAGCAGGGTTGCATTAAGATGGAAGGACGGGAGAGGGAAACAAAGCCGGCTCCCTTTACCCGGACCGCAGCGTCGCACTCACCAGCCAAGCGAGATCCGCGAACGCGGAAGCGACAGCCGTATTGACGGCGGGGTAGTCAGCGTAAAAGGCGTAGTAACACAAGCCGTTGGCCAGCGCACACGCGGCGGAGACGACAATCGGCACGAGGACGACGACCGAGAACCCGCCCGTGATGCCGGCGACCATGAGGCCGACGAGGACGTTGTTGAGCCCGATGGTGCTGAGGATGGCCCAGCTCAGCTCGAAATATGCCGGTATTGCGGTTGATGCCATGGTGTTGCACTGACGAGTTCGGGTGGTTAATCAGCGTCGATGGCAGGGAAGCCATTTAGGCTTTGCACCGTCGCCGCTGTTAGGTATCAGCCAGATGTCATTGTTAGCACAGAGAGAGAAATTTTGGAGATGATCCTCCCGGTCGGGACAGAGACAGTATTTAGTCTTAAGGGTTCGGGGTAGAGAGACCTAGGACCGGGATCACTGCCTCCGCTGACCTACGGTGCCGGGGAAATATGGGGAGGAGGCGGCGAAGACGGAGAGCCGTTCTGATCCAACGTCGTACCCCACGACTAGCCAATTTCACCTACGTACCGGGTGGAAAGTTCCGGTGTTTCATACCTTGCAAGGCGGCTTGCCGCTAGTTAGTTCTCTTGCGTTGATCATAGCTGCTATTGGTGTTCTACACATCGGCTCTTGGGGTTGTTGGGAGGAAGCAGACGAAGCTTCCCGAAGGCAACCTGGCCGTTCACCAGAACCTGCTTTAACGTTAGTGCGTATCATGGTAACCCCACCTAATACCTCGTAATGTGCTGCGTGGTCACCAGACAAGTGAGCATCCCTCAAGTATTTACAGTACCGGTACCGGTACCAAAACCGAGCTCCACACCTGCCAAGCCATGACACAAACGCGACCCCAACCGCGTTTGGACCATGGCTAGCCACAACGGATCCCAGCAGCTGGGTACGCTCGTTGCGGAGCCATGCACGCAGGAGATCTTAAAGGCAATCATATAGTGCTGCTACGTGGGATGTTGGTGGGGCCCCAATAACCTGGCGGACCTGGAGGTCCAATTGCTGCAATAGGAGGGTTCTAGAAGCACTTTCTCTCCTGGAACTTCAACTCCAAGACCAGTAGCGCTGGCTCCCAGGGGTAGAGATATAAATTAGCCTCCGCGAGCCAAAACTCCCATACCTTCTAGGTAAAAGACGAATGCTGCTGGGACTCGTCACTATGTCGACAGACTTAGATACCAAAGTTGTAAAGGTTGCACGGGGACCAAAAGGCCAACTTAGATGACATCACGCCCATCGATGGTTGGCCATGCCAAAACTCTATCTTGGTGTACCGTAGCAACATTTAGACCCTTAAGTTCTCAAAGGAGGGTGCACAACTGTCGCGTGACTTACTGCTATGCTTGGAAAGCTCCGCAGCCCGAACTCGTAGCATAGCAGTTCAGCAGTACCACAATTCACGACATAATGGCATCATGCTTGTCGGGACGCCTCATCAAAGATCTACATCTGTTGTCGAGGGGCTCTAAAAAGGCGATAACGATGCCTCTCCTCATCTCCTCTCCGCAGTATTTCGCATGTTCGCGTTGGAGAATTCCAGTGTGAGGGTAACCATGAGAAGTCAAGCACTCCTTTTCGTTATTCTGCTCACGCTCCCCTCCTTGGGAAAAGGGAAAGATGAAATCCACCTTCAATGGTCGATCTGCGAACCAAACCCACAGATCGTGCTCCAGAAGCTTAATGAAGAGGGTCGCGGTCCGCATAAGCAAAGTCTGATTACTTACTACGACACCGACCGCCCCATTTATGCCCAGCAAGGGCTCATGTTCCGGACGAAAACCAGGGTCAAGAGACCTCCTTGATCAAGGTCCGTTTTCCAAAGGCAGTTTCGAATGCCCCAGAAACAGCAGACTGCGTTTGGGATCGTTACGGCGACAAGACCTCCTACACCTGCGCAAAGCTATCCCTTATACGTGGGACGAGCCTCTGGAGTGATGAACAAGTCCGCTTCGCTGAGCATAAGACGGGAAGCGAGGTGCATATGGCTACCAAAGGTAAAGAAAATGTCGTGCTATTGAGGGCAAAGCGCGATGTCCGCATCCAGAGGATGGATGTCTGCCATCGTAGGGGAACGGAGCGGCCAAGACGTCTGAACAGATCAACAAAGGCCAAGACAGGCTTCATAGGTTATTCTTCTTGCTGGAAATTACTCAGGGTGGAGGCTCTGCTTTCAAGAAAACGGGGCGACCATTTAAGGATCTAGTCAGGCGTTTTGTAGGAGCCAGTTAGGAGTAGGTGTATCCCAAATGAGCTCGACAAATGAACAAAAATGCAGGTAAATTGAAAGATATCGAAGCCGCGTTGTGAGATTGATGGAAAAGACAAGACTGGCAGGAACAAGCCAGGTATCATGTCAAAAAGCTGCTTGCCAACCATCAATCGTCAGATTTTGGCTTCGCCCCATTGTCCAAGGCGGGCTTTCGGCAGCTGCAGCTGGCGCCTCTCATACTGTACTTCAGGGTCGAGGGCCAATGGCCAATCAATTGTGTTTAGTTTCGATCTCTGAGATCAATCTTTTTCGCGGCATTGGCTCTGGAGGTGCCGTGACGCCATCGGCGCAGGCCAAGTGAGACGAAAGGGTGGGACGTGGCTGGCGGGCTGTGTCGTGGTCTACGCGCGGCTCGGGGCTGCAGCCGCAAGTGCTGTAGGAGTTTGCTTTACGACGATAGGACCCTGCGTGCTCGAACGCAACGTACTTCATTGGCGATGCGATCGTGCTAAGCGCTAGTACACGAGCGCAGAATGTGTGGTACTGTAGGACAATGCCACATCCCATCACTGACTTTTCAGTGTCGGCAGGCTAAAACGTTTAAAACGTTACAACCTAAGACTTCAAGCGGGAATGATAGGATGTGGAGACGCAATGGCACATCAAGCTAATGCTGGTTCAACCGCTCTACGCAAGTGCGAGTTCAGGTACATCTTGCCGAGCAAGGTGGGGGGTTTCGGCCTGTGGTATCCCTGTCTAGTGGATTATCATGTACCAGAATCCGGTGAGAACTCACACCCTACGCCGCACGTTGGTAATTATTGCCGCCTTCTGCGACATTTCACGTCTCCCTCCAGTTCCGGTTCTGAAAGCAGCGGCAAATACGTGCACTTTAGAGGCATCTATAGGGTGGGCAAGCAAGCTTGCAATGAATCCAAGCGCTGAAAGCATATTGGATGCGCCGGATTGGGTCAGCTTCGTAGGTATCTCTGGGGGTGAGTCAGAGTATGCATTCGGTGCCACGAAAAGTGTAGGCAGCTGAGCACGTGATCAGAAAGCCGGAACCTTCTCGAGCTTTCTACTCTGTACAGGCCAGGGATATCGATATGATTGGCTGGCTCACATCCTCCGCAGTAATAATTGGAGCTTCCAGGATGACGGAGATGATAGTCAAGATTTTGATGGCTCGCGATCCGATGCCACGCTTCCATCGATCAACAGTCTTGCTGCACAGTCTCAGTCCAGGAAGTAGCGACAGCGGCAGCAAACCATGCCCCTGGTTGGAGCTTCGCTTCAATTTCTCACGACAAGGTCACTGTTAGTGGGACCAGGGTGTCGCATGCATGTTCAAGCGGCGTCCCAATTCACGCCTAAGATGTAAGGCAACTAGCGACACAGACTTGATAGATAACTTGAAGAAGACATTGGGATGAGCCCAGGCATGCCTGTTTGACGAGTATTGACCGAGAAAATAGGAGCCAGAATCTCAGCATGCTTGTATTAACTATCCTGAACTTTTAGCAGTGCTTAAACCAGACACCCACGATACATGGAGAAGCGAGGCACAAGGTGTACGAACGAGTAAGGCAATCAACGTTTTCGACTAACGTGCATGATAAGCATGTGCACCAAACAAGCATGTGCACCAAAAATCCCTCAATCTCTACTCTTTCCATCTAATCAATTGTTTCTCAACTACAAAATATGTCACAGTCAAATAAAGAGGCAAATATTCTTCTTGCCCTTCAAGCTCTTCAAAATGACCCCACATTGGGCCTCCGGCGCGCCGCAGGGTTATACCAGGTCGATTACTATGCCCTACGCCGGCGACAGAATGGCATTCCTTCTCGAGGCGATTGGATCCCTAAATCACGAAAACTATCTGATCTAGAGGAACGAATCATTATTCAGTTCATTCTCGACCTAGATTCGCGAGGATTTCCCCCACGACTGCGTGGTGTAGAAGAAATGGCTAATCGACTACTCGCTGACCGCGACGCGTCACCCGTTGGCAAGCGCTGGGCTTCCAACTTCGTCAAGCGACACCCAGACCTCAAGACGCGATTTTTTCGTAAATACGACTATCAGAGGGCCAAATGCGAAGATCCGACTATTATTCGCAATTGGTTTTCGCTCGTGGCGAACACAATCGCGAAATATGGTATTACCCTTGCTGATATCTACAACTTTGATGAGACTGGCTTTATGATGGGTATGATCGCAAGCGGAATGGTCGTTACAGGCGTAGAAAGGCGTGGAAGGCCGAAATCAGTGCAGCCTGGAAACCGGGAATGGGTTACAGTTATCCAGGCTATCAATGCGGAAGGCTGGGCGATCCAGCCGTTCATCGTGGTTGCGGGCCAATATCACCTTGCCAGCTGGTACCAAGAAAGCAACCTCCCGGGCGATTGGGCCATCTCCACGACCAAAAATGGCTGGACTGACAACGAGACGGGTCTTGAGTGGATTAAGCACTTTAATCTGCACACAAAGACCCGATCAAATGGTCGCCATCGCCTTCTGATCCTCGATGGGCATGAAAGCCACCACTCGACCGACTTCGAGACATATTGTGAGGAAAACAACATCGTCACGCTTTGTATGCCACCTCATTCGTCTCATCTACTCCAGCCTCTTGACGTCGGGTGCTTTGGGCCGCTCAAAAAGGCCTACGGTCGGGAAATAGAGCATTTGATCAGATGCTCAATAACCCACGTTTCAAAGACCGAGTTCTTTCCGGCCTTTTACGCTGCCCACCAAGCCGCTATGACAGAAAACAATATCAAGGGAGGTTTTAGAGGGGCCGGGCTTGTTCCTTTAGACCCGGAAAGTGTTATATCAAAGCTTGATGTGCAGCTACGGACTCCGACACCTGTTGAGGACGATGCGAGCCTCCCCGACCCTTGGGTCTCAAAGACCCCAAAGACCGTCCTTGAGGCTAGCTCTCAGTCTGAATTCCTCAAAAGACGAGTTGAAAGGCACCAAAGCAGCTCCCCGACATCTATTTTTGAAGCGATTGAGTCGCTTTCTAAGGGAACGAGGGCAATAATGCATCAGATGGCTTTAATGAAGTCTGAAATCCAGATCCTTCGACAGGCGAATGAGACCCTTAGTAAGCGGCGCAGAGCAAAAAAGACACGCCTCCGTAATGGAGGAAAGATGACTCTAGATGAAGGGAGGGATTCAATTGAACAGAAGGATGTTGATGCGCAGGTAGTGGCCGAATCGTCGAGAAATCGTGGTCAAGGAGGGTCGGCGCGACTGAAGGAAAGGCATTGTGGAACATGCGGCAAGACCGGGCATAACGCAAGAACATGTCAGATAGTTGTTGCAATATCTGGGGAAGAGCATAGTGGTTGATTTTAATTGATTAGATGCTTTGTTGTGTTTTTTTGCTATGTTTTATCTTCATGGTTAAGTGAAAGTGGTGCACATGCTTGTTTGGTGCATATGCTTATCATGCACGTTACCTAAGGTGGTGGACTAAAAACTAGATATGAGAAAGATCCCGCCCAAAATCCTCAACACGTAACAATCTTCATTCCAAAGCCTTTTTACCTCTCCCAACATTTTTGGTTCACCTTTTCATTTTCCCCTTCCATTCACATAAAGTCGCGTTTTGTCGCAAGTGCCAACCCTTCCACGTTGATAAAAGCGATTTTCATTGTCTCGGTGATAAAATCTCAGTCCCCATTTACCTCGCTGGCCGCACTCACCTGCCCACCTTCCAATATTTCACCAGCAGCTGCATCAGCCTTACTAAATGAACGAACCATGTTTATCACACAAAAGACGGTAATCAAACATGAGAGAGAGCTGATCAAAGAAGTTTGATTTAAAGTGTGCAACTGCTGACTTATAAGTCGTGGGTGACTTATTTCGCAACACCCATGTAGGAGAAACAGTGCTTGAATGCCTCTGGCTCCATGGCGAAGACGCCACCGTGGTCAAGCAAGGACGCTGGGTGCCACAACTGAGAGTCAAGGCGCTCAAGCAGCCCGGGATAGCTGTTCAGCCCAATTGGCTCAGTGACGCCCCATGGGTTGCGGAAAACGACGTATTGCTTGTCCCCAAGAATGGTGTAGCCAAGAATGGAGTATGCATGATTGGCAATGATATTGCTGCCCCTAAAGTTGTTTCCAGTGGCGTAGGTCCAGGCCGCCATCGGATTGATAGTCTTGAAGTTGACGCAGTTAGAGCGGACCAGTCCCAAGAGGTCGTGGGCAGAATGGTTCTCAGTTCTGAAATAGTGAGGTTCCCGGTCATTGATCTGTGCCATGGCCTTGATGGGATCACCAGAATGCGTCTGGGTAATGTCAGGCTGCTCCGAGGAGCTGCCAGTGATCCACTTAGCGAATGCCTTCTCGTACAGCGCAGGCCAAATGTCAGCACCATCGCTGGAACGGCAATACAGAGGCATGTTGTTGGAGTTGTTGATGGGGATCTCATAGTCGACTTCCACAGTCTCGGTGCGGGCGTTGTTGTCACCGCCCTTGTCATGGAATTTGATGGACAGGCGCTTCTTCTCGTTCTTCTCCTGGTGAATGCGAGTAGCGCGGTTGATGATGTGAGGATCGGCCCAGAAAACCGAGAACAGCGCGGCAATCAGCCAGCTATTGCTGGCGCAGCCTTGAGTTGGATCATCGAAGTTGTGCATGGTCTCGCGCCGCTCGCCGATCTGGAACATGGTGAGGTCGCCAATGAGACGCTTGTTGACGGTTTGGAAGAAGTAGTCGTACATGTCGCGCCACGAGCTGTTCGGCGGTGTCCAGTGTCCCTTTTGCATCTGAACGGGCTGACGAGTTCGTTGACGGACATGGTCACCTCGCGGTTGGACACCGTCTTGCCCAAGGAGTGAGCATGAAGAACCAAATGGAGCTTGCCATTCTGCATGCGGGCCCTCTTAACATGAGTTTTGCCCAGATCCTTCAATCCGATCCTCTCGAGGTCATCAAGCTTCCTGACCTCCGACAAATCGGGAGTCATGAGATCCCGCTCATTCAGGATCCTCATGTCTTTCTCGGACAGCTTCTCGGCCTTCCTGTCTTTTTCGTTAAGTCTCAGTCCGGTGAAAAGCACTGAGTTATGCTTCATGTCGAAAAGCTCATCATAGTCCGTCTGCAGAACATTGGAGATGATCTGGGCCGACTTCGTCGAATAGGTGTCAATGTTTCGGCTGAGAAGCGCCTCGACCAGTGCGTATGGGTTTACAGCACCGACTCTAACATCCTTGGGTGGCGAGTCGGGGCGAATATTCCCACCACCTGAGGAGACTCGGGGCTCGAGTCTCATGTCGGGGTCATCGTATTCCAGATTGGAGGCTATCGGAACCAGCAAATCCCTGCTTTTCAATTTTCTGCCCCAGAATTGCTTCAACCAGGGCGTACGGGTCGATGGAAAGGACTCTTCCGTCCTGGGAAGAGGAATCAGGAGTGGAGAACCGAATGTCACCCATGTTGTAGTGAAGTATTGCAAGTTGATAGAGGAAATGGTCAAGTGAAGACTTTGTTGCTATCTTGTCATTCGTAGCATATCTAGGACCGGTGAGGGGGGTTTATAGACATCTTCGGCACATGTCTTGCGAGTTCTCCTCTACTTTAGCTCATGTTACACTGCTGGAGATGATTCAGGACTGCGTCAACGCCAAGCTAAACCTGCATGTTGCTCCCACCTCGCCCGACTTCTTGACCACTCACATCATCGGCGGCAGAGGTATTCTGCGGGGAAGCCTCCCTCAACTACAACGAAACTTCACTTGTGCTAAAGTTAAAGCCAGTTTACGATCAAGGGCAATAGGAGAGATGAGAACGACGAATCATGATGACAAGTCTTCACTGCAGACGTGGCGCTTCTGAGCTTGCATTAAGGTGCTGTAATGCCGTAAGAAGTGACTGCCGCATCAGCGCCGTTGCAGGGATGCGATGTTCTCCACATAAGTTCCCCGTTGTACAGCAGAGACGCAATTGTGTCTGGCATGTGAATGACTGGTGGAGAAGAACTCTTTAACGTACCAAACAGAAGGAAGGTTCAGGCCATTGAATAATCAGATAGGGGTTTGTAAGTCGCAAGTAATGGAATCGGAGATCTCGATCCCAAATGCTGCTACTCGAAGTCGAAGAACTAAATGGTAATCTCCTATCCCAAGCACCGGGATCAGACAAATTCTTTCGTGCATTTCATCAATTCGTAGACTTTCTTTAGACACGACCATTATATCATAATGAAGCGCCCGTCCGCTCAGACGGTGCTCCTAGTCCCCACGATTGAAAGGCCCTCGCCGAACCCGTCCGATATCCCCTGTGCGACCCCATCAACCGTCCATATGAATGCTTCTAGAAGAGCTTGTCCAACTTTCCCGTCGTTCATCTGACACATGGTTTCGGTAAGGGACACGCTCTGTTTCCCAATCGAGTTGACAAAGTCGAGCCCATGGCCGACCACGGTCTCGGAGACCTTGTATTTCCGCTCCATCCGTGCTATATAGCGGAGGAGATACATCAGATACGGCAGCAGAAAGCTGAGGACGAAGATCAAGTTGACCACGGTCATCTGGACACCGCGGTGCAGAATGGATCGCGGCTGACCAGAAGCGGATTGGGTGGAGCCGGCTCCAGGCTGAACCGCCCCCAGGTCCAGAAGGGCAACATCCTTGGGTAGAGCGGACTGGATCCGCCTCAGTTCGCAAACATCGAGGTCCTGGGGAAGTGCCTTGAGGAGATACGTCACACCATCAATGAAGGCCTTCCGCTCGAAAGTAACATCCTCCTCTGCGACTGCGGGCTTGCCTCCATCGATGGAGATTTTTACGAGACTAGTGCCTAGAGTGAAACATGATCAGCAGGATAGATATGAGTCTTGGCCCATGTCGCGGAATCCGCCTTACCTTGCCGCGCAAACTTCCAATGAACACCAGAGGCCGCCCTGATAGCCTGGTCATCATCGACCGACTCCGAGTAAAGAACCCGGCTCATCGGTCGCGGGCACACGGCCTTCGAATCCGCATCCTGATGAGCATCGTTCCGCTGGAGCATCTCAGTGACGAGTGGATCCTGGGTCAGAGTTGGGACATGGGCCTCTAAGAGTGGCCGAGGCTTTGGGGGCGCCTCTGAGACTAGGACGCCCGGTCGTAAGGTGTCAAGGCTGATGATGCGGCGAAGGAATCGAATCGGACTCATGCCCGACTGCAGCGATGGTGGAAGCATGGCAACAACATTTGATATCCTGCTCTCGGTGATTTGACCAACCTTGACCAACTTCAAAGGCTGGCACAAAAGGACCTGTGATCGGACGCCATGTCGCCGAATGTTGCTCGTTATCATGCAACGCTGATCTAGTGGCGGCGCGCGAAAATGAAGAATCATGTGGGCGACGATAGGACCATTTACCGGTTCAACGTCCGGGGCATAATGTTGGCCGGCAAATCGACTCGGTAAGAATAATAAGTATACAACGATTTACGAGAAGCAAATGTGATGTTCCGGGGAGAAGTACCGAGAGATCAAGACCAGCCAATGAGTGAGAGAGGTTTCCAGTGACGCGAACTGTGTGTAGCAGGCCGGTAAGTTATACTATTCTTTGTAAATCCTAGATCCCCTATATGACATGTGAAAGCCAAAAACTGTTGGGTCAGAATTAAAATAAGGAAACGAAGAACATTATGACGCAAGAATGACCAACTACCGGAGTCGCTAATTTTGCACCGGCGTTGCTTTTTACTTTTACTCTTCAAAAGCTTGCTGTGCATCCGTCCACGTCTTGCAAACTGACCAGACCTGCTGCTACTTTAGAAGCGCCAGTGAAGCAAGCCCCCTCCAGGCATGACCAGGGTCTCGGGAAGTTCTTGGACAATTGGATCACCAAAACGCGGTGGAGCTTTACTTTGCTCCAACATGTTCCCTCTTCACTGTCGTCTCAACTGCAAGAACGTTCCCCCAGTAAGCACGGGTGGGGACGCACAGTCGGTATTGCTCTTAGTTTCACACTTCATACATCCCTCTGTCAGAGATCCATCAGAGTTGTGATCGTGACTGGGCACGACCCGAGCTTGGCGTGCTTGGCGAGGTAGTTTGCGAAGGTCAACTGAGCTGGGCAGGCGTGATGTAGGAGACAGTATGGATAGACGAACTGGAAGTATTAGCCCCGTCGGGGATGCCATGGCGATGACGGTATCATGGGTTGAAAACCACCTACGCCACCTGGATGCGGAATGAACCTACGAGAGAATGCCTTATCAGAAACTAGTGATTTTCTGTTCCATGATCATGATCTCTGCCCGGCGATGGCCCTTGTTGAACTATGTCGCATCACCCAGGAAAATATGTGGTGGGGAGAGGTACGCCCAGTGAAGTAAATAGTGCAAAATACCGTATACGATATTTTTTCAACCCCACACTGCACTGGATTGTTTAGGAATTCGGTACACTGCACGGTATACAGTATTACACTGTATTTAAGCAATATCGTATCGTAATATCATATCGCACGGCGTGCAAAGAGCCGCATGGCCTAAGCATTAAACTAACTAAATTGAGTAAGGTTGAGGTTCAAGATCGTCTCGCGGACCATAACAAGATGAAGCTATTCACAGCTAACATATATGATTATACTATTGCCAGATAACAAGAACGCTCGGAAAAACGTTTTCCTAGACCTCACTCGCGTTAGGTAAGGGTTTAGCTAAGCTACATAATTGACTAATTCAACGTCACTCCTATTGCCTAGGTGCGAGAATGAAGTAGAATTAGAGGTCAAAAGAAAACTCCACAGATTCGAGCATTTTGAGTTTGAATTGCTTGCATACTATATATTGCTCGTAATATCAGGTATAATGTTAGAAGACCCCTGCTGTTCATCCTCTCCAATGATAGCTGTGTCCAAGACAAGCTCAACGTCGTCAACCCAAGCCAAGTTGTGAGTCTTCGACCAGGACTTTATGCACTCAATTGCCTCAATTATATCAATCCCTAACCTGTTCCTGCGATCTTGGAGGGGTGGTTTTTATATCGGAGAAGAGATGTTTTGGCTCAGCAGACATCGCAGGAATTGACAAAAGATCGAGCGCCATTTTGGAAAAGTTTGGATAGAGCGTTTGTTGTGTATCCTCAAGCCACCACTTTCATATATCCTTGACCCTGATTCTTGGGGCCGATATATAGTTCTGATACTCATCAAATAGGGTAGAAAGCTCGGGATCCTCATAATGTTCGTATACTCGTATTACACAGTACTTTCACTGTACAATATGGTATTAATATCATATTTATACGATATTTGAACGACCTTGCACTGTATTACACGGTTTACGGTATTGCTTGCACTGCACGGTATAAAAATACCGTGCAGGCAATACGATATTGAATATGATATCGTCTTATTTACGGCCACACTATTTACTTCACTGGGTACGCCAATACTCAATCAAATTGTTGAGCAGGCATTCCCAACAACGTACACAGATGATGGATGCCGCCTGCTCGTATGTAAGAAGCACTGGCCGCCCGCTTGCCTATCAAGTGGCTGATGCTGCAAGACTGCTTCATTAGCGCCGGCCATCGAACCAGAGGGTCACATTTAATAGTGGTGGATTCTAGAAAGTTCCAAGGTAGGGTTACTTTAAGTTCGCTGCCTTCTCTTTGCCCATGCTATTCCTCATACGTCATTCGAACATGTGAAATTAGCTGGGGCCAGCCTTGCTGTTAGCATGAAGACATTCGCGATCGTAGTGCGGGTTGGGCAACTCCAGTCACCGTGTGTCTACCCAAGAGGGAGGGTATCATCATGACCTCACAGACAGATGATGAGAAAGGCAAGCAGAGGCTTGAGAACAAGCTGGGGCTGCTTTGATCCGAGTCATTTTCTCATTTCATACATCCCGTCTGGCTGTTAAGTTTCTAAGTCTGCTCTTTAGGCAGTTTTAAGCAGGAAATATCGACCGCAGCAACGTCAAGCATCTCCACAACATCCCTATACGCAAGAGTTTGGCACTCGCGGCGACATGTCAACCCAACACGACACTGCCAGGGAATGCCTCGACGTCGTTCTTACCGAGCAGCGCGATCGTATCGAACTTTAACTCCCCTAGTCAACCAAGCCGGCAGCAGCAGGGTCAGCCCTGACTCCACCGTTGCGCCGTCCTCCTTGTCCGAGCCTTCCCAATCTTGCGCCTCGCCCGTATTCTGTGCTGCTCTCTTCCTGTTTCGCCTACCACTCTTCATCATTGCCTTCTCCGCCTACTTCCTGGTCCTGCAATGGGTTCACCCCGGCCCAGTCGGCAATAAACTGTGCCTATGGACGCTTATGGCCATCCTAGGTGTCTGGTGGACTGACCTGCAGATCGACAAGGTAAAGCCCGGGTCGCTGGCGCAACAGCCGCTCTGGCGCCTGCCGCGCCCCGGCTCCATCATGGTGGTGTCTGCCACTTATCCTATAGATGCTATCTTCCTTGCCGCAGTCTTCGACCCAATCTTCACAGTTCTACACCCGAGGTCGCGGCTTGTGCGGGAGCTGTCCCTACTTCAGGCTATCTTCCGCACAGGAACGAACGAGACCTCACCGCCAAGCCACGCCAATCTCACCGACCTGAAAACCGTGCTTGAGAGACATCCAGACCGAATCATTGCAGTGCTAGCAGACTACAGCGCGACGAATGGTACCGGTACAGTACCTAGCACGCTAAATCTTAGCGATACGGTCAGGATTTTCCGCATTAGCATACAATACTTGCCAGCGGATGTGTCGACGCAAGTGCCTGGCACGTATCTTGCGTTGTTGTGGACTCTGCTCTCACGACCTGTGCACCGCATTCGCCTGCGCATCGCGGATGGCGTGAGTAATGATGGTACTTCAGGGGTGTCTGACCAACCTAAGCATCCCAGGAATATCCCGCAGGGCCTCACACATCTTCCCCATAGTCTTCATGGTGGCAGAACTGTCACGGAGCTCCTTCCGTGAGCACCTCATCTGAACCTTCTCCCTGCTTCTGGGAGTACACAGAGTGTCGGTGAGTCTCCGTGGGCATTCTGGGACGACATGTGTGAACCATTTTTTGCTAATCTCGACTGCGGTAGCTCCTATGTCTGTGGCCCATTCGGCTTGTCTCTGTACCAGGAGGTCGCGGGTTGTTAGGTCGGCGGCGCGGATGGCCACCCGGTTCTGATTTGGGATGCCCGCGGGATCTGGTGTAGGTCAGTCCCGAGTTTTGTGGCGATGTGGGTCCGATTTAGTTCGCCGTGTTCCGGGCCGGAGACCCAGCTTCCAGGCAACGGACTCCTACGAACTCGTCACAACAGAGATACTACGAAGGGCCATCACCAGACTGGCCCAAACAGGGCCAAGGCGTACATGGCTGCTATGGCTCACGATAGGGTACAGGCACCCGGTCGCCACAGGGACTGCGATGCAGTTGTACACAAGCGCCCACCCGAAATTGAACTTGATCCGTCGGAACACCGCCCGGGACAAGTCCAGCAGGTTAACTACGCTGTGCAGGTCAGGGTTGAGCAGGACGAAATCCGCGCTGCTGATGGCCACGTCGGAGCCGGAGCCGGAGCCGATAGCGACTCCCACGTCGGCGGTTGTAAGTGCCGGTAATTAATGCCGTCGCCAAGCGTGGTGATGGATCACTGATAATCTTTTATATAATGCGTGCTGTGACATCAGAAGTATTTTAAGACGAACTGTGCACAAACACATAACAATACAAACATGTCATGCACGTCATCCATACGTAACATATCCGTCATTCACAGATGGTCTAGCATACATATCTAGCTTTGGTCCTCATAGGGGGTCATTAAAATCACCCCAATCAGGTATTTGGTCGCGTGCTCGCGTGCTCGCAGACTGTGGCGGTCACCTTCAGGGGAATCGCTCCCTCCCATTGCTCGATCCTGACGGATATGTTACATAAGGACGTGCAGGCATGTCTCAATAAAGTTTTCACCGTTCACACTAATTCATGTACTGACATACCTGACCATTTGGCCTAGGGTTAACCAACAGTAATATCTTCGCTCTCGATTCTCGGAGTTCAATATTTCCTTGGCAGTAACAACCATGCAGCGCCACCTGTTCCTTGCCTTCGCTTATTTGCGCTCTGCCCGCTGGGCAAGCAAATTAAAGTCAACCTGCAATGGTCCATATGCGATACAGATCCCCAGACTGTACTCCAGAAGCTCGGCGAAAATGGTACTCGCGAGCCGTATAAAAAGACTCCTATCACTTACTACGACACCAATCCTCCATCCTATTCCTAAGGCGGGCTCATGTTCCGCACAAGAGACGCCGCGAGGAGCTTTCCGCCGTTAAGGCTCATTTCGACCCGAGAACGTCGGATGCCCCGGAGGGATTCTTCCGCGACAAGGACGCACATATCAATATAACAGTATCGGACACACCCGAGAGATTCCTTTGCGTCTGGGATGGGTACGGCAATGATGCGCCCTTAACCTGTCAGATACAGTCGCTCCTAGCTGGTAGAAAGGAGCTCTGGACTGACGAGCAAATTCGGTTCGCTGAACGTTGCCAAAGTGTCATTTGGGGGGATCTTGGGCATCTTGTTGTGTCATAAGCAGGAGCCAAGAACCACAAGACTGTTTCAAGCTATGGGTTATGATGGGAGTTATCACAATCTGGTGGAACAGTCTGGATAATGCACCAACGCGAGGAGGGCTTGTTGTATTGGAGGCAGTCGCAGAATCATCATATTTCGTCGTCACTGTCATTCCTTTCTCTGATGAAGCAGCCAGAGATGGCGATGCAGAGGGCGTTAAAACTCCAAACGCGCAACACGCCTCCAACATCCAAAAAAAAGGCCCAACAACCCGGTAGACTTTCAAACCGATGTTTGTTGATGGTATTCATGTCGTCACCTAGAATACTAATTAGATGTCCGAGAAAATGCGATTGCTGTCTGGAAGGAGAACAAGCGATGTCCAACTTTTTCTGAAACTGTCCCCCTCCCTCATGCACATGTTCCTAGTAGCCGCCATCTCCAGCATGCACAGCACCGCTAGGGCTGTGAAGGTGTCCATACTCAGGTTCACCCACGGCAGCCGCACCGCGTTCCGGACGGCCGCAACGATCTCACCGGGACCCCTCAGCGGGCAAGGGCGCAGAGGTCACTGACTGGAACTTCAACTCCAAGACCAGCAGCGCTGGCTCCCAGGGGTGGAGATATGAATTGGCCTCCGCGAGCCAAAGCTCCCATACCTTCTAGAGTAAAAGACGAATGCTGTTGGGACTTGTCACTATGTCGACAGACTTAGATACCAAAGTTGTAAAGGTTGCATGGGCCAACTTAGATGACATCACGCCCATCGATGGTTGGCCACGCCAAAACTCTATCTTGGTGTACTCCGTAGCAACATTTAGACCCTTAAGTTCTCAAAGGAGGGTGCACAACTGTCGCGTGACTTACTGCTTTGCTTGGAAAGCTCCGCAGCCCGAACTCGTAGCATAGCAGTTCAGCAGTACCACAATTCACGACATAATGGCATCATGCTTGTCGGGACGCCTCATCAAAGATCTACATCTGTTGTCGAGGGGCTCTAAAAAGGCGATAACGATGCCTCTCCTCATCTCCTCTCCGCAGTATTTCGCATGTTCGCGTTGGAGAATTCCAGTGTGAGGGTAACCATGAGAAGTCAAGCACTCCTTTTCGTTATTCTGCTCGCGCTCCCCTCCTTGGGAAAAAGGAAAGATGAAATCCACCTTCAATGGTCGATCTGCGAACCAAACCCACAGATCCTGCTCCAGAAGCTTAATGAAGAGGGTCGCGGTCCGCATAAGCAAAGTCTGATTACTTACTACGACACCGACCGCCCCATTTATGCCCAGCAAGGGCTCATGTTCCGGACGAAAACCAGGAAGGGTCAAGAGACCTCCTTGATCAAGGTCCGTTTCCCAAAGGCAGTTTCGAATGTCCCAGAAACAGCAGACTGCGTTTGGGATCGTTACGGCGACAAGACCTCCTACACCTGCGCAAAGCTATCCCCTATACGTGGGACGAGCCTCTGGAGTGATGAACAAGTCCGCTTCGCTGAGCATTACCGGAGTATTGACTGGAAGGATATTGTCGCATTTGGCCCGTACTTAAATACGAAATGGAAGCTGAGGATCAAAGGATATAAGGCGGTGTTCGACGATGTTGTAGCCCGGTCGCACCACCTGATGGAGATTGAGGTGAAGGTTTCCACATCCGAGGGCGATGACGTTTATCAGATGGTCACCAAGTACCTGAGAAATCGCGGAGTGGCGCTTTGTTACTATCAGGAACCAAAGACTCTGAGGCTCTTCCGCGCCTTGGGTGTTCCGAGAATAGCGGAGGTTGAATCCAAACGCTTAGGCAAAGGAGCTTAAAGCAGCTTCTTGACCAGAAATAACATTTGGGATCTGATTTGCATATTCACATGATCAGAGCCCATTTTCGGACTCTGGCTAGCCTGTGTTCTTTGGTATCAGTCGACCTCATTCTTGGTTGCACCTCCCAAATTTGGCATTATAACTTCGTCACAGTGGTCCACCAGTCACTTACGGCACCGTTCCACGTCATCTTCCTACTTCTCCATCGCGTGTCTCTCCCAAAAAAGCCGTTCGAACCATTCAGGCCAAAAACTGCCAAATTCCCAGTCAATGATGGCATTGATCTTCAGCGTTCTTACGTTGTGTTGCCCCAGATCTTTATGGCAAAAAACGTACTCCCTTCTGCTTCCGCGGTTGCCAGCAACTATCGGACTTCCACGGCTGCGGTGGAGCTGCCGGCCTCGCATGAATCCGAGCCGTCCTTGCAGCTTTTGGTCCGTGCTCACCTGGCACCTGCTCCCAAGTCCCAGGGACTCAAGTCTTGGCGCCGCCGCCGCCGTCCCCAACCGAAGTCGCCGCTGTCCGCTGCACCTGCCCTTTATTCCCCGGATCCCCGACCTGTCCATTCACCTCCTCTGCTCTTGCCTTGCATTTTCTCTTAATGCACTCCTCCTCAGCGACGACTCTACCTCGCTTGAATTCCCCATGGTGATGCAGCTTCATCCACCGACGGCGTCGCGATAGCTCACCTCCGACCCGAATCCTGTTTTGCCGAGAGGGCAACGCACCTTCTGACGACGCCATGACGACGATGTCCATCTTCCAGTCGCAACGACGCTTGGTCGTCTTCGCTTCCACCGCCTTCTTTGTCGTGAGCGTCTACCTCTGCACCACTCGACTGTTGGCCATGGATTTCAACCGCGAGTCCGTCTTCTCAAGTTACGAGGACGTCGAAGCCGAGCTCTCCAAGGCCGATCTCCCCATGTCTAGCGGCTCCTACAACCGGCCACCGTTCGAGGGCATCACCGTCATGGCCGCGCTTCCCGACGAGTATGTCCCTACCACGGAGAATCAGAGGAGGATGATCGTGATCGGAGACGTCCACGGCATGATCGACCCGCTCAACACCCTCCTCAAAGAGACCGGGTTCGACAGCACAAAAGACCACATCGTGTCAGTAGGCGACATGGTCAACAAGGGTCCCGATTCTGCCGGCGTCGTCAAACGCCTCATGGACCTTAACGCCAGCGCCGTCCGCGGGAACCACGAAGACCGCGTGCTATTGGCGTGGGCAGGCTATAATACTATGGAAGTTGTCGCGGCCGACTTGGCAACGAAAGACGCAGAGGTGCCTCGAGGCGAGTCCGGCGATCTGAAGACAGCACGGAGCCTTTCGTCAGAGCAGCTGGACTGGCTCAAGAGCCTACCCGTCATCCTCACCGTTGACCCGCTCAACCTGTACATTGTCCACGCAGGGCTTGTCCCGGGGATCGAGCTTGAGCAGCAAGTCCCCTGGGCCGTAATGAACATGCGAACGCTCACCTACCCTACCGAGGATTTCCGCAGAAAGGAAGAAGAGAAGAAGAAGGAAGAGGAGCGAAAGAAGCAAGAAGAGGAAGAAAAGAACAAGAACTCCCGTCGCGACGAGGCCGAGCCTGACGCCGCCACCGAAGACATTGGCATCGAGAAAACCATACCCGACCACGACGTCTGGATCCCCATCGACAGCCACGACGGCGACGAGTGGACCGACCTCTGGAACCGCGAGCAGAAGCGCGTCCCCAAGTCCCATCGCCGCACCATCGTCTACGGCCACGACTCCAAGTGCGGCTACAAGGAGGATTCCTACACCTTCGGCCTCGACTCCGGGTGCGTGAAAGGCGGTGCTCTGTCCGGCTTCATCATCCAGGCGGTCGAAGGGGGTTGGACGCACACCACCGTGCAGGTGCCGTGTGAAGAGTCTGAGCTTGGCGGGGGCGTGAGTAGAGCTAGATAGACAGACAGCGCATTGCATGGGCTATGACGGATTTTCGGGGGGAGATACTCGGCCTACGTGTATGGTTAGGGGCGTCGTTGTGTTGAAATAGAAAGATTCAAGTTGCTTAATTCATACTAAATGTGCAGTAGGGGAACCACTGTTTATGTACAAGCACGATCTCCTGTAGAATGTTCCTCCTTCTTCCACACCTTGCCACCGACTTGGTCGCCTCACACTTGTGATCTCCAACACGTTGCAGGCGTTGAGGATAGGTACCTTCCAGCACACTGCTCACACGGTCTCCAGCCATTAGATAATGGAGTATTTAATGCCTCCAAGGCTGCATATCGACGAGAGTTGGAAAAGTTCGCTTCCCTGACTGATTCCACGCCGGTGGATAAAGTCAATTTCATCAGAGCCTACGCTAGGGCTCGTGAAGTGGGAATGACTAAGAAGAATATACTCTCCGGCTGGAGAACTACTGGCAATTGGCCAATCTCGTGAGAAAAAGCATTGCGGCATCCAGAAATTCAAGAGGACAAAGCAACGGGCAGTTCAAAGGGGACTCCAGAACGGGAGCCTTATTTTGGTTCTGATGATACACCAAAGACCAGTCGTCATATTCGTGACCTTGGCTTAAACAAAACACCAAAGACGCGGAGGCGATATACCGTGATAGCCAAAGGGTTAGAGACTCAGCAACAGGCAGGCTTTCTATCCATATTCCATATTCCATATGGAACGATTCTTGTATGGATTACGGATTCCTCCTCGTATGGAAGCTTATTCCATACGTATGGAATACAAGAAATGACGTCATCTATACTTTACCATTTCCGTATTAGGAAAAGCGCGCATTGTCTCGCTCATCTGTCAGCGCGGCTGGAATCCCTGATGCCTGGTTTTGTCCGACTTATTGTACGACTTCCTAGCAGCTACATCGATCCTGGATACGTTTCGCCGTGCACCAGAAAAGAGTCAAAAGACACGCTCTGGCTAGTGGACATGGCATGTTGATATCAATGGTCATTTTGGAGAGACGGTATTGTTCATGAAACCATACTGCTCGCCGAGCCACCAAGTCAGCGGGGACCGGCCACTAGCGGCACAACAACTTTTGTTCCTGGCGGAAATCATGAACATGAACTTGTTGCCTGACTGCGTCGCCCTGAATGGTGCCCGCCGGGATTAACATTCTTCCGCTGTATTTCCATACGTATGGAATACAGCCATCTCATATGGAATACGAATAATCCATATGGAGCGTTCCATATGGATTAACTTAATCCATACGCGTATGGATAGAAAGCCTGGGAAGCATCGAAGGAGTACCATGATGCCATCCGGAAACAGATGAAACTGCAATGGGACGAGTTCCTAGCAGAAGATGTCAACATATGGAAGGCAGCCAAGTATTTGAAACCTGGAAAGGACATCATGGATGATAGGGTGCCCCCTTTGAAGAGACAAGACGGCTCCACCACGGAAGATAGGGTGGAGCAGGCCGAGGAGCTGCTCAGCTCGTTCTTCCCGCCGTTGCCGGCCAGGATTGAAGATGAAGGTGACCGACCGCATCGGAGGGAAGTTCACATGCCAGACCTCACTATGGAGGAAGTTGAAGAAAAATTGCTAGCAGCGAAACCTTGGAAAGCGCCTGGAGACGATGGTCTGCCAGCAATGGTGTGGAAACAGCTTTGGCCAGTGGTTAGATACCGTGTCTTGCACCTCTTCGACACATCCCTCAGGGATGGTGCGGTACCCCACCAATGGAGGAGCGCGAAGATCATCCCGCTGAAGAAGCCAGACAAAGGGGACTACACAGTGGCTAAGGCCTGGAGACCGATATCGCTACTATCAACACTGGGCAAGATACTCGAGGCAGTCATTGCAGAGCGGATATCCTATGTAGTGGAGAGCTATGGACTGCTACCCGCAAACCATTTCGGGGCAAGGAAGCGAAGGTCAGCTGAACAAGCACTGATACTGCTGCAGGAGCAGATCTACAAGGCATGGAGGGCTGGCAGGGTGCTCAGTCTGATCAGTTTCGACATCAAAGGCGCTTACAACGGAGTGTTCAAAGAGCGACTACTAGAGAGGCTGAAGGCAAGAGGCATACCCGGTGGACTGGTGAGATGGATTGACGCCTTCTGCTCTGGGCGAACGGCCGCTGTGATGGTAAATGGGCACACGTCACAACCACGGGAGTTGCCACAGGCAGGTCTCCCGCAAGGGTCACCACTGTCGCCGGTGTTGTTCCTGTTCTTTACCGGTAATGCAGATTTGGTGCAGAGAAGAATCAACGCAAGAGGTGGTTCGATGGCATTCGTGGACGACTACTCGGCCTGGGTAGTGGGACCAACAGCAGAGGAGAACCGAGCAGGCATCCAATTCAATTATAGACGAAGCACTGGGCTGGGAAAGTCGGAGCGGCGCGACGTTCGAAGGAGACAAAACGGCCATCGTGCATTTCACGCGAAACGCCGCGAGTACTAGCGACACACCGTTCATGATCAAAGGGGAAGCAGTCAAGCCCAAAGCGAGCGCCAAGATCCTGGGAGTGGTCATGGACGCGAAACTACGATACAAAGAACACATAGCTAGAGCTGCCGCAAAGGGGCTCTCGGCCGCCATGTGTCTGAGAAGACTGAAGATGCTGTCACCGCGGACGGCGAGACAACTGTTCGTAGCAACAGTAGCTCCCACCATGGACTATGCGTCTAGCGTGTGGACGCACTCATGCGGTGTCAGAGAAGCAGCTTGGTTGAACAAGGCACAGATGGTCGGAGCACAGGCGATCACGGGAGCTTTCCGGACCGTGGCAACAGCGGTGGCAGAGGCCGAAGCTAGTATCCAACCGGTACAGGAACGACATGCGCAAGCGGCAACAAGGTTTTGGATCAACCTCCGGACCCTTCCCAGGACACACCCGTTGGCTACACTGAAAGTGAAAGCGTGTCGCCGATTCGTGTCGCCGATGCAGAGGATTGCTCAGGCACAAGGGGAGACAACCACTAAAGGAATGGAGATCATTCAGGAGTACGCGCTACCGCCATGGAGAGACCGTACACTAATGTCATGCGACCCTAACCGGGAGAAAGCGGTAGAAGCAGCGAAGGGGGTAGATGGCAGTCTGCCACCTGCTCCTTAAGGTAAGGTTGACACGTGATCACGTGGGTTCGTGACAAATAGTCCTCTTAATGGTCTGGACTATTAAGAGCGCTGCCTTCCGGTTTGATCATATGTATGACCTTTTGGTCTGTTGGGTGTGACAATGCCTAAGGGAAATCCGTAACCCGCTGCGAGTAAGAGAAGCAATAACCAAACTCACAATTATTGAACAAGGGGCTAATGTAAAGACAAGGCAGGACCAGCTGCTAAAAACGAGATGAGTCGGGTAGTACTACTTAGTCGCCGCAGAAGTGACAGCAGATGCCGTCATGCATTCCTTGAACATACCCATTAATGCCTCCATGTTCTTATCCATCTTCGTCGTCATATCCTTTATATCCTTCAGCTGGTTTTCTAGGCTTTCGACCCTGTCCTGCAGCTGCTGGAGTATTCGAGTGATGCGCTCCTCCTTGAGCTCCTCCTTGGTGGTCTCCTTGGGGGTCTCCTCGGTGGCGGGAGCAGAGACAGGCTCCTCGGCCTTGGCCTCCTCCTGGAGAGGAGCAGGCTTGAAGCTCTCAATGGTGTTCTTGTAAGCCTCAGACTCGGTGACGGTGCCAGCGAGCTCCTTGGCCTCGTCGATCTTGAGCTTCAGCTGGGCGACCCAGTTGTCACGCTCAGCAGTGTTGGCGGCCTTGAAGCTGTGCTTGTTGCCCTTGGAGGTGAAGTGGAACTTGTAGGAGCCATCGGTCTCGGGCTCGGTGGCATCGGCCTGTGGGGGGGACGTCGTTAGAATAAACTGGGCACGCTGCAGATGGGGTTTTTGTGGACCCGCGGGAGCTTAGCTTACTAGGCTGATGATGCTGGAAGGGTTCTTCTTGTCGCCGAAGAAGAGGAGACCCTGACCGGTGTGGGAGGCCCAGGCGATGTTGCTGTGGGCAGTCTCGGCCGACTTCTCGGTCTTGAGGTAGTGGGCGAGCGCCTTGGGCTCGAAGGCGTCGGTGCCGAAGAAGAAGAACTCCTTGCTGGCAATCAGGCTCCTGTGGGGGAATCAAGGTCAGCAAACGGGTCATGTCCATTGCGATGCGACGCGGCGGCGCGACGTACGGTGAAGGGCTTACCTGGGGAAGCTGAAGCCCTGAGCCTTGTGGCCCAGATGGCCCTCCTCGACGGGCTTGACCTCCTCCTTCTTGTCCTCAGCCTTGGACTCCTCACTCTCAGCAGGCTTGGCCTCCTCGGCGGGCTTGTCCTCGGTGGCGGGAGCAGACTCGGCGGGGGTCTCGGTGGCGGGAGCGGGAGTGGTCTCGGGCTTGGTCTCCTGAGGGACATCGACGTTCTTCTGTTCCTCGGCCATTTTGAATAGAGTTGTAGTGGAGTAGGTATTATTATTATTATTATCTTTTTTATATCTCAAGGGGTATCACAACAAAGACGGAGATATAAAGAAAAAAGATCCAGATCCAGAAAAAAGCATTGGATTTTGGAGTGTGGTCTTGGGACGGAGTGGTGAGAAAGGAAGAGGAGGGGGAGGACGGGGACGCGGGGGTACGGATCAAAACATCACGAAAGTAGCTTCAGCATGGACATAGACTTTCCACCAGCTCATCATGACGCTCCTTCTCAGAAGGATGGCGTCATCATGCAAAATCTTGATCCCATGCTGGTTCCCGGTGATCATCGCCGCACCCTCTTGCTCTCCAGCAGCGGTCCTGGCAAGCTTAGTCGCTCAATGAGGCCCTCAGTACCTGGCCAGTGAGTTACTTGACCCACCAGCGGTGATCAGCTCTCCTCTGGTAGTTCGACTTGCCCACGCTCCACAGTACCAAGTCCCTGGATACCTTCCTCTCGCTCTACGTATTCTTCGTCCGAAGCGGGCGAGGCAGCCCGAGCTATCTGTGGCCGCTCCTTAGCGAGGTCGCAATCATCTGCGCGCTGCCGTTCGAGTAACGACGCTGTTTCTTACATCTTCGACGGGTTCTGGGATGAAAATGGCGATCAGTACGGACGAGCGGCAACGTCGTCCTGCAGAGAACACTCTAAAACCCAACCCAGCCCTTTCTAAGCTGGGGTATCTTTGTCTTAATTCTCTCCGTCTTGCCATGGATCTCGCAGAACTGGAAGCAAAGGCCGATGACATCTTTCAACACATATAAGGTTGTCCTTTGGGAAAGATGCCCTTTGCAATTTCATCCAGAACTTTTCGCAAAGACATCTTGGATTTGGATGGCCTCCCAGCGCTGCGGTAGAGGATACTTGACTGATTTCTCGGCAATTATTCCTGCCGATGATATGACCGCGGATTTTGACATGTTCTACCAAGGATATGGCAACGACAACGATATGCAGCCTCATACAGTAGCAGCCGGAGAATTTTGGGCTGGAATTGATGCACTGCTGAGTCCACCCAAACCACGTCTTCCTCTTTAGCGACGGTCAATCGCCCATCATAGCGTGCAAATCCGTATGGCGGACCAGACCCCCGAATACTTCACATTAACCAGGACCTCATCAGAATCTGGCTTAGGAACGGGAATTTTCTTATAGATCACCGCTGTTGACTGATATTAGCGACTACCTTAGCCAGTCGAATATAAGAGGATACATACGTCCTCCGGACCCTTCCACTACTTGTGCCCATTGCTCTGTCGGGATATCAAAAGAAGTCATAGTCATGCAGCTAAGAGCGAATGCCTGATAGTCGTGAAATGGCTCAGGACCTATGCACGATTGAGCGAGCATATTTTAGAGGAGTGTGTGCAACAAATGAATACACACTCTGTCATATGATTGATGGTCGGCACGCAAACACTGAAGATTTTGACTTTAACATGTGATCTTGTGTCTACCATTGACTTGAGTTCAGCCATGTGTGGACAACGCCTTGAGCAGGCGAGTCCCCGGGGGGGACCAGGTGATCATCATTATACCCAAGGTCCTGAATGCAAAATGCGCGGGGCCGGTGCTTATGATTGCAGTTGTAGGACGCGTCGATACCCAAAGCTGGCGCGGCCGAGGACATTGAAGTGGCAGGCCGCTTACGGGAGCTTCGACGTTTGCACTTCTGCGGAGGCTCCAGCTCCTCGTCGCCACAGATGATCTGTCAATATCAAGCCGCTCGCTCATACAGTAGACAACAATGTCACTGCCTGCAAGGCAGCAGTATCTTCATCATGTATTTAGTTCAGCTTAATTCCACTCCTTTAGATAGAAAGTCAAGAGCCGCTCATTGCCTGATTCACTAGGGATCTTCTGCCCGATCGTTGTCAGCCATCCATTCTGTCTGTGCCACTTCTTGTTGTGATATGATCTCCCATTCGGGACCGCCGCCTCCGCACGCTAGGCTGCCTCTTGCAGCCAGCCTGTCTGCTTGCCCGACCCGAGGACGGCTGTCTTCTGTGAAATCTTGCCAGTACACAGATAGCTATGCCAACAGGAATATCCCCTCAATTGTGCGAAGCCTCTCCGAAGCGGTCACTCGCAAAGCATCTAACCCAATAAGAGCTAGCTCTCCAGCCTATACCTGTATCAGCACTGATCTTTAATGGCACTTTAGGTACACTGTGCATAAGATCATAACAGATAAGACGTTATCGCGGTGATAAAACCAAGTTCCTGCTAGCGCCGTAACACTGGGGATAGTCGTGAATGTTGGCGAATCTTCTGGTGAGAACAAGGAAATGGCTGGAGATGCACCCAACCCAGCCACCCGATGGAAGGGGACGGGATTTCTCTCCTGTACTTCTATTTTGGATCTAGACCGCTAGCGGCAAGAACGCTGGGTCTTACCGTGTCCCAGGATTAAAAAGAATGGTTGCGTCATCAGGCCATCATCTGCCTACCGAGGATTTAACCTCTTTCATGAAGCCATTCACATTACGAGTAGATCAGGTGATTGCAGTGGAATTCCAGGGAGGTTTAGGCTTCCGGGCTGGAAGGCGTCTTTGTACCTGCCATGCCTTGAGAATGATCTACTAATTACGTTGACAATCTTAGCTGTTCAGTGGTAGTTTTGTTCCTTTAAGTTTAGCTCTTTGAGTGGCAAGAACAAGTCAAGAATACCGAGATGTGCCCACGTCATCCTATTATCCAAAGCACAGCTAAAGGGCATTTCCTCTTGCGATGGGCCGAAAGTTCATGAGAGTGGGGAGGCCAGTAGGTAACAGATACTCGACAAGGCATTGACATACGTAAAACATTGTAATAAGAAAGTTGTGGCATGTAGAGCATTACACAAACTTTTCAGAATCGTTCACGAGTGCTCCAGATGACATTTTCTAGATGGGGCCACGAGAAAACGATCTGATCAGATGCATGTGATCGGTCTCTTTGTCAAATATATTGTACGCATGATCTCACCAATTTCAACTTCCCGGCTTCTTCTGCGTTTAGAAATCTATCGCTCAGGAACGAATAAGCTTTCCCTTCCCTTATCAGCCCCAAATTCAGTCCTACTCGTCGCCATGTCTTACCCAACCAAGCCTTGCTTTGTCGGCTCTTTCAGGGGCTGGGACAACAAGGCCCTGAAACATCCCGCTATGAAATACTTGAGCGACCTCAACATTGACTTCTGCGATACCAAGGCTGCGCATTCGGGGCCGCATACCAAGTGGAGCACCCAGGACTGGGAGTTCCAAACTCAAAGTGGGCAGGTCCTTAGAGGAGAGGAGGCTTGGAAGAGGCTCATTCATACGACTCGGTTCTATGACAAGTTTTCAATGGAGCCCCTCTCCGCTTTTATCCAGGATACGGAAGACGGATATGACGGCATAGTGTACGGGAATCTATATACCAACTTTGTGGAGCCGGGAGAGAAGAAGCATTCGGACAACAAGGGAATTGAGTGGGAGTTGCAGGTCAGTAGATTGCTTCGGATGTGGGAGTCCGCCGGTCAATTACTGAACGTGATTTAGATTCCAAGAGCTTATCGTCTTACCTTCGTGAAGGATTCTAGCGGGCCAGAAGGCCTGAAACTCAGCAAGCTGGCTATCGTTGGGGATGTCATGGGCACCATGGCAACAGCAGTTCGCAAGGGGCTGGTTTCACAAGAGAATGCGTTTGGATTCTAGGTGAACGGAATGAACCGCCAGCTGGTATCAGATTGTGGTGTATCAATTGCACTGGATAGGCCGTCCTAAGAAAAGCCAGTTGTGGCAATCGCGGTTGTCGCCAATAACTGCCTCGGGCATGCATGAGGTGTGCATGCGCGTGTTGCCGCCACTTTTTTCTCTTTCACATCGCCCTGACATTCATCCCCTGCCTCTTTCCAATAACGTGCAGGATAAACGAACTGGACAGACAAGTTAGCCGGACACTTGACCACGCCCACTCCATGACTTCTATCTGACATCTTCGCGCGTTGTGTCCTGTCCGGCCGCAGAAGCCACATCGCCTCTGCTTCGTTTCTGCCTTTCGCTTGCGACGACCACTTCGTCGACTTTCCTCACTCAGCTTAACATCGACAGCGTTCTGACCATCCAGATCCTGTCCTTCGGCTAGAGTTATGCTTCCGCCTTCTTCCGTAACCGTTTCTTTTGGCCCGTGGACGCCGGCTAAGTGTCTCGTTCTCCTCTCGAAGGATACTTGTGGGGGCCTTGAGTTCGGCCATCTCCCGTGCTTGCTGGTGCAAGCACGGGGGGTGCGTTGACTAAGGAAAGGGACTGTTGATTTGGGAAGAAAAGATACTTCGCCAATATAGCTATATCACTATATAAGCAAAGGTCACTTTCTTTCCCAAAAAGGCATTTTTCAACGCGACATACATATCAATCACATCAGTTATAGCAGATAACTCAACATGCGGATTAGCAGTAAAATAAGTAAAACCTAAGATGTAGATAATTTAAGACTCTACTTAATAGTAGATATATTTATTTTATCAATGCAGGCAAAAATAGAGGAGTTCTAGCTAAATAGATTTCTGCGTTCTGTCCCTATTCAACAGCCCCCTTCCTTAGTCAACGCACCCCTCGTGCCTGGACAACCAGGCACGAGGGTGGATCGAACTCAAGGCCCCTTCAAGTAGTGCAGGAGGCGACTTTGTCGATATCGCAGGCGCGGTAATGAAATAAGTGAGCGTCATGGTGATGTAGGAGGCGGGATTATTCTAAGAAGCAAGGTACCGGATTTCACGTGGAGATGCCATACTAATAGAAGTATTTTTTTTTTGGATCCTAAATCAACAGCCCCTTTGCCTACTCAACCGACCCCGCGTGACTGATCATTCAGTCACGGGAAATCGGCGCCAGACCACACCCTCATGGACACCTGAAATCAACGACGATCGGCAATCCCGACCTCTCCCAGTTGAGAATTTCGGCTTCATCTCTGCCTCGGTCCGTCGCGTGCGTTCTGTCACCGGCATCGTCGATACCGTCTTGTCGAACTACCCTCCCCAGGTCACTCATCAAAGACTATCGCATGACAACGGTTAATAACCTTCTTCTTCTCGACAAAAACGCATTCACCGCTTGAAACATCTCGCCATTTTCATTCGAAGAGGCTCTTCTGCCATCTTCCTTGCTGATATTTATTATCTATCTGTTAAAACAGACTTAATTACCCCAAAGGTCGCTATGGGAAACATTCTCTCTATTTTCTCTCACAGCAGCGGTGAGGGCCTCACCAAACAGCAGATTGAGGAGCTGCAGAAGAAGCTTGCCGACAAGGAAGAAACCATCACCGTTCTTGAAGAGGACCTCTCCAGGAAGGAAAAGGAGTACACATCAGTCTCAAAGGATGCAGAGGAACTGCGACAGAAGGTCAAAGACCTAGACGCGCAACTCACGGCGTCCCAGCAGGAGAGCCAGGCCCGCATCACCGAGCTTAAGAACAACAGCGAAGACGCGACCGCCGCCCGTACTCAAGAGCTACAATCTACGAAGAAGGAGCTCGCTTCGCTGGAGGAGAAGCTCAAGACGCTCAACCAAGAGAGACAAGCCCAATTGGGTACCCTACAGGAGGCCCACACCAAGCTCGAGAGAGATTTGGCTGCCGCATTGAAGGCTCTTGATGAGCAGGAAAAGACTGTGGCAGACGCGGATGAGAGATTCAGCACACTGGAGCAGGCGCATGAGAAACTCAAGACGGAGTCCGAGGCAGCCAAGAAGGACCTGGAAAAGTCAAAAGAGGAGTACAACGCTCTACAGCAGACCCACGACAAGTTGAAGTCGGATTCTGATGCCGAACTCTCGACACTGAAGAAGAACTTGGCTGAGCTGCAGGCAAAGCACGCAGCTCTTGAGCAGGCAAACGAAGGCCTCAAGAAAGACGCCGCAGACTGGCAGGAAAAGCACAGCGCTCTGCAGAAAGCCTAGGACCAGTGTGTCCATCAACCAAGTAAAGCAAAATTTGGACCCTCTACTTGACTTGGTTGACGGGACCCCCTTGCTTGACTTGGTTTACTCGGTAAGAGAGGCTTGCTTTGCTTGGTTGGTTGAGATTACTCGACTATTTTCCATTCCTCATGTGGCTCCGGTGGTAAAGCTATGCTAACATACCGCTTCGAAGCAGGTGCTTTTGGCATTCAATCGCTGCTACAGTATCCGAATTAAGCCGATTCCGTTCATCTGTGATGACCTTTGTGAGAAAACGCGTTCACACTCAGCGCTCATTGCTGGGCAACTGAACAAGTCAAAGGCCATCTTGGACAGGATGGGGTAGTCAGATGTATGGCGAACCCACCACTCCAGAGGATCCTCAACATCCAGATCAGCCTTATTTATTAGTCCTGGCCATAAACTCATCCAGCTCAGATGTCAGTTTTCTCCGCTTCCCTCGTGTGGCTGATGTCGCAATGGCAGCAAGCCTCTGACGACGCTTACGAGCTTGCTGGAGTGGATCAAGCCTCGCCCTGTTATCAGCAACAGCCTCCTCCTCCTCCTCCTCTTCCTCCTGCTGTCGTGCTCCTTCTATTAGGTCCACTTCCGCAGCTGCTTCCTCGTATTGCGCATAAGCCTCCTGCACCACTCTCTTCGCCCTGCTGATCCATTGCTTGTTGTAACTCCATACAAGCTCGACGTAGATAAATTTGTTTGCCGGATGCAGGGCAACTGCACATCGGTATGCAGGCGTGGCATCTGTGGGACCAAAATATTCTTCAAGCTTGACGCGAGCAGCATCAATAGCATGGGAGTAGTATGTTGACACCACGTCAAGGTGATCGTCTGCAAACCTCCCGGCCTCCTGGAGCTTCTTGAAAAGGACATCAAGCGACTCGATCGTCTCGTGGAGGGAGCCATGTAATCCTTCTAGACCAGCTTCATTTGCCCGGCCTTCCATGCGCTTTGTTAGATCTTTGAAGGGCTTTAAGATATTGAGGAAGTGGCCCAGATCGATCCAATCTTGTGGAGTAAGAATATCCTGTGAGATATCATATTCCCCGTTGATATAGTTGTAGTTGAGGAAGAATAGATCAGTAGCGTGGCGGAGTTTCAGAGCTCTCTCAATCATGGAATATACAGAGTTCCAGCGGATGCCGCCATCGACCAGGACTCTAGTGTATAGGTGCTCGATGCTGCCTTCGTCGTACGCCTGCAGAATGTATCGCTTCAGTCGTTCCCGTCGCTGGTCGCTTCTGTTGATCCACATACAGAAGTTGTGGAGCTTGCCGACAAAGCTTTGCTTCCTCCATATCTCAAACCGATCGTCATCCGATGCGCCACAGAGCTGTTGCTCCAGCTTGCTAACGCCCTGCCCAAAGAGGAGAGCTTTGACGATGAGGTTCAGCATATGGCCGA